TGACAAGGCTGAAGGGACCGAAGGGCTGGCTGTAGGTCACTTTAAGGACCCCACCCATAGGCCGTGATCTCAAATGTCAGTAAGATGACCTCGTGCGCCGATAGGGACCTCTGAGACCGAGCGTTCCTCCATTTCGGCCAGAGATCCCGAACAACGAACAGTCGGTTCCGTGTTCGTCTCAGCTCTGTGGGCCCATTTCCCAGTCAGGGACAAGTCCAGGTCCATGATTTACATTGGTCAGGCTCCTAAATCGCTCAGGGGCCCACGGTGCCTGACAGGGTATTCTGTGCCAACAAGGGCATTGAATTGGTGATGGGAAGATTTGCTTGACAAAGACGGGAACGTAAGCGCGAATGACAGAGGGTCTCTTGCGTTGGCCGGGGCCCTCTGACAAGGGAAGGAAACAATAATTTATGGCGAGGGCTCACATTGAGGCAATGGAAGAGTACTGTGCCAGTCAGGGCTCCAGCAGCGAATGGTGGGCCCTCCAACCCAATTCCAGCATGGGCCCGTTATTCCCAACTGTAATCTATGTGCAATTACTTGGCCACCCGCGGCTAGCAGGGATGTTGTTGCGTTAATGACGGTCCATGCGTCGATCCGGTGCCAACTGCGCGGGTCAGAAGGCCTCCCGCGCCAGGGAGTGAACCAATGTGATACGATGTATCCCTCCAAGGGCCTCCGGATCGGCCAGGGGATGCCAGCCCATGTCAACGGCCCGAAGACACACCGTGGTGGGACAGAGTGGCCCTCCAGCCCTTGACCGGGAACGACAATGTACCCCGTAGTGTTATACTCGAGGGAGCCCCTTTACCGGAAAGAAATAGGGGTCTTATTCGTGTTGAATGGAGTGGGTCGAGATGTGTTTAAACGCATAACGCCATCCCGTGTTTGCCTGTGAACGTTTTTTTTATTTTTAAAGGTTTAATCCGACCCATTTGAATGAATGGACTTCTGGGATTAGAGCTCACACCAAGCAGTGCTCGTTGTGTGAGCCCTGACCCCTGCCATCCGGTTGCGCAATTCAAAGCAACAGCATAATTTAGTGGCGAAAGTTAAAAGCGCCGCAGCGCCAGGCACGACCCGTTCTGCCCTCTAACGTCAACTGACTTTTAGGGCGATCGCTGCCCTGACCGTGGGCCGTATCTGTTCACGACAAATAGCGAACACCCAAAGCGACTCGAACGCACCCCACCACGGGATGGTGGATCAGAAGGCAGCACTCTTACCTGCGGAGCCAGCGGAACAACGTTCATCCTTTTGCAAAATCGATCAGTGAAGAAGATTACATTAAAATGTGTGTCTGCGTGCGGGGTGCCAATAGTGCGGTAATTAACGCGCATGCGTTAACCACCGCGAGTCTGGAGGGCCAGAGGTATGGATTTCGATTTTCCGGGGTGCCGGCTCTTCCCGCCAGGGTGAGAGACAGGCGATGTCATGTAGCCTCAGCACCTGAGCGCACCATAAAACCCTAATGACACGCTCGTAATCTCGGGGAGCAGGGATAGCGATGGCTTGGGTTTCAGTTCTCGTAGGAAAGTACAGCGTTGGCCGCTTCAAGTAACGCCAGCCGGCAGGCGCCGTGCGCGCAACAACGACCATGGTAAAATAATGCTTTCGAATGCCTTTGAAAATTCATTCGCACAGCCCAAAGGTAACAGCTAGCGAATCCTTTTTTTTTAGTTTGACGTTGCGCTCTGGTCAGATTAACAGTTACGACAACACGAAAAATGGAGATTTTACTTGTACTCTTCCAGTTCCATCCGCAGATTCCAGCACCACTTCGAGGTGCTGTAAAGGCCAGTCCGTTCTTATCACCAATCCAAAAATCGTGCAGTGGAAATGTACGCCCGAACTGCTTTCTAACTACACGATTTTATCTCATGAAGCGTTCAAAGGTACTGTTTCAGATGCGTCGTCATTTTCGTCCGTCCGTTGGCCACGACGTGGTGTTAACCGCGAAGCCGACGTCGCGAAGTTAATGGAGACGGCCACGCCAGGCGTCGAGGTCCTTGTTGCTAAGATTAACGAGCGCGCATGCTCAAAACTGAGTCGCATAATGTGAATAATTAATAATTAATCGACCCTGACCGAATGTTGAACATCCAGATAAACAAGGCTTGCCATGTCAATACGCATTGTTGACCCATTTCGGTCTACAATATGCATTCGCGTGTCCTTATATCTCTATGCCACACCCATCCAAATTCTAACGTAACATCCAAGCCTTGTCGTCTTAGAAAGAGTCCCTTGAACCATTAAAAAATGAAGAGCTTCGGTGGTTTATTGCATGCAATCGCTAAACGCAGCATTTCTTCACTTCATTGACTATAAAATTCAGGCAGAATTGATCTCGCGTTAGCTTCCGACGTATATTCCAGTTTCAAAAGGCAAAAATGTTAAGCATCAGAGAAAAACTTGCCCTCATTAACAAATATGCCATATCCGTCATTTTTTTGGGGGGGGGAGGGGCTTTGACTACCAGAGGGTCCGTTGTTAACCCTGTGTCCCCGCCCCCCTTGTCATGGCTCTAGCTGCGCGCCCGAATGACTGCATTCTGTAATTTCCTCCTAGCTGAGATCTGAGTTCCTAGCTGAGATCTGACAAGCTTCAGATCGTGATCAATAGTACGGTGCTTGCTGCCTAGAAATTACATGAGCAAACTTGGTGACGAATTTGCAAAAAAGCTTAACGGTTAATACAGCTCATAACAACGTGAAATTAATACAGTTAAAAACAGTTATTACTGCATGCTGTTCTTTTTAACACTCTGAAATAGTCTGCTGATTGATCAGGGCATGATGTGTTTCCCGGGCCGACTTTTCTTTTTTCCCTTCGCGTTTTTTCAAGTCCAAAAGTTTTTTCGAACTTTTTTCCCGGGCCGGCTCGCGCCCCACCACAAAACCATTGGCTCGTGAACTGGTTCACAATTTAGCTCGAATCGAACACAAGTGCGATCATCAGCCTTTCTGAAACTTGTGCTTTCAGGTCACTATCTTCAAGTTAAAATACCATGTAAACCCGATCAGAGCACTGGAGCCGAGCCCAAACTCGGAAAATGTTCGACCGATATCCTTAAAACCCGTACCAATAAATCCAATGCGGGTGGCGTCATGAGCCGCTCTGACATTGGTGGCCTAAGGGCACCATCTATGCCATACGTCTTGCAGAGTCATATCACCGCCATATCAAACAAATAAGCGCCGCCAGTCGACATGTTTGGGGGTCGTTCGATGACTGAGCCAGCGACACCAAACGCGTACGGTCCTACTCTCTGCACATCATTGTTACATATTTTGTAATGTTGTAGTTTGGTCTACATCGCTGGACGGATGCACGCACTCAGCGCTATCAGTCATGCTCTGTCAGGGGATCAGTTGTACGAAAAGGTGCCGCCGGCCGAGTACGACGTTTTAGTGTCGTTCGATAGCCCTTGGCTAGGGCTGTCGAGTGCGCACGGTTCCACGCATCTCGCGCGATTTTTTTTTCAACGCTGCCACGTTCTCCTCTCAACTGGCGCCAAGCGGCCACCCGCATTTCTTACCAATGAAGAAAGTGTTCCATTTTTGGGCATATTTCAAAAACAAACTATAGTGAAGCCTCAGGACTAGTTACCAGTTATCTTATATAAAAATGGGCCTAAAAATAAAATGGCCCTCGGTAGTGCCACTGCAGCACCCTCAAGCCATAAAATGGATACCAATTTTAATAATTTTCGAGTTCAAATTACGCCGTAAACGCTTTGCAACAGCACTACGCTTCTTCCCTGCAGTAGCGCCGACCGCCGCGATGGCAACCACCGTGCACAGCTCTCCTGGTGCGAATAAAAGAACGTTTGTAATTTGCCCAGCGGGCGAATTAAAAGTTCAGCGGTTGAAGTCTAAACCAGCGCGTCACATGGGTCATGTAATAACACCATTCCCAACCCAAAGTGCGCCTCGAAAGGAGCCGCTATGGTAAACGTCATAGAGGAGAAATCAAAGCCATAGTGTACCGCATCGCAAGCTGTCAGATGCGTTTGCGAGGAACATTGTTCATATACATAAAACAAAAGTAATAGCATTAGTTCTCAGAGAAAACCCGGGGGAGTGGAGATATGGATGCGTTGGTGTTTCGGCAACATGTCTTAATTGAAACGAGTAGCAGACGTGAAAAACGTTTCGCTGAATTCGCGGCATAACTTCACCTTTGCATATCCTCTAGTCTAACCAACGTGTTACGCTTTCAGTACCTTTATCACACAAAGTTTTTGACCCATTAGTGTGTTACAAACCTTACGGCACCCATAAGTTGAAAAAAGCACTGCGGATGAAACGCCTTACTGTCCTGGTGATGAGCACGGTCATACCAAACGCGAATATTTTATTTTCACAGCAAAAACGATTTCTTCCGCAAGATCAGGTACTTCGAATCGAAATCCTGAGCTATTCAAGATTTCGAGAAAACCGGCAATACTGATCAAATCGCACGCGTCTGGCGTAACAATCAGTGAAAATGCAAAATGGTTGGGATGCTTCCTTCAAACCACCTGCATCCGCATTCCGTACTACACAGTCATCACGTCATATCAGACAAATAAATGCCACAGGCTTATTTCGACGCCTGGGTATCATTCGATAACGCTGAGCGAGTGACATTGCAAGCACTGCGAAACCTACGGCGCCACGTCGCACGAAGAAGCGTTCGCAAGAGCAAAAGGACAAAATGCCTGCGACAGCGGGGTAATTTCACCCAGGAAACGGTGGCAACTCATTTCTCTATATTTTCTCTCGATACCCTCATCATACATACCTCCCCATAGTTCGGCCGATGCCCCACACTGGTCTGGTCTGGTCTGGTCTCAGCGGGCGGCCACCGACGTCGGATCTCTGGTCTGCCTCTCCAGGCTGTATTTGAGGAGTACACGTGAAGACGTGCTCCCACTTCAACCGTCTCAAGAACACAATTCACCTACTTTCGAAAATGCCCATCCCGTGGGCATTCTGAACGCGTAATCAAAATTCTGTATAAACTATCGGTTTATTCAACCAACCCGACTGTCATTTATATTTCTCGTACTGGCATTGGCCATGTCAATTAGACACTTCGTGTTTCACAGGCTGCGACGCCCGCTCCCGAAAATGGGCGCAATGGTCTAAGCGACCTTACAACCAAAAAAACAACAACACGTGGTCCTATTCCCACTTATCGTTGTGACTACCATACTTAGTGTCACGACTCCAGTATCAAAAATCCATTTACAATGGTTTGGCAACAGCATGCTGTTCAGCATCTAAGAACGTCCCTTAACAATCCGGGAGTTCTCAAAGCCGCACGTGTTCAGCATTCATGATATCCATGCCACGTGTGTACATTCATCACAGGAACACCGATGTGATCAAGAGACACGTACAAGCGTGGGCGTATTGAGGCAAAACAGTCTGAATTTCACCGCATGTGGTGCAAATTGCACAAGTATAAGTCACATGTGCTGGAGTTGAAGCTCCAATTATAGCTCGAAATAGCTGAACAATGTAATACGTTTCAAAGTAATCCGCAAACCGATTGGTGCAGCCAGCCGCCCAAGCCATGATAACGGTGCGTCATGTCTGTAGGCCTAGCCGAGTCCCTCCAAAACAGCGTAAGTGACACGTAAGGCAGCTGGACGGGATTAAGTGAGCGGCTGTGAGCACAGCGGTGCACTTCGTTACGTAGCATGCCGCGACTCTCGACACCACCGCCATCTATCACAACGATGCGGCGGTCCCGGGCTAAGTCAGGATATCAGACACCCCTCTACTCGTCAGCGGGCGGATCCATCCCGGCGCGGCGGGGCGCCGGCAGCGGGCCGACGGCTCATCCGCAGCAGCCAGCCTCCTATTTGGTACGCTCGTCCTGGTGGGGCGGCGGGAACGAGATTCGACAGCCCGGAAGCAGTTGCTTCAGCTCGCGCACGCACGCCGCCCGGTCCTCCACCTCTGGCAGGTCGAACAGGCGCAGCTCCTTTAGGGCCCTGCCGGTCATGCCGCACACACGCGCGCTGAGCGTGAGCACGGCCGGCAACAGACTACGAGGCGCACTCTCAACAGAGACAAACAAAGCACACGCGCTCCGCAAGTAATTTCACACTTTCATATTTCCTTTGACGCCCCTACCTGAGAATAGTGAACACCGTAGTACAAAATACTTCAAGACATGCAAAATGTACGCCCCCTATTTGCCACGGCTTTAGAATACGCCACAAAGACGCTAATGAAAGCACAACTCTGGCTAATGATGCGGGCAAACTCAACATAGCCGTCATGAGTACGCGTTCAGCTGCGAATGGAGTCCAACAAACGGCGCCCTCACACGCGGCAGGCTCGCACAAACGCTCACTTGAGCTTGGCAAGGTGTCGGAGGCCGTCCATGGTGACGTTGCCACAGCTGCTTATCTCCAGCGACTCGAGGGAGTGCGAGAGGTACTCGAGGTAGCGTAAACCCGTATCATCCAGGTAGCCACAGTAGTGAAACCGGATCCTGCGCAGCGACGACAGACCTCCTGCGGCAGCGGTCAGCACGAGGGGCCACGTCAACGCTCCGTCCAGCCCAACGAAACGCGGGCACGCTTCTTCGCATGCTAACAACCCGTATCGATATACACATCTGGAGATTCTCGAAGATCACAGGTACTCGTCGATAGATTGCGGCGTTGTAATGTCTCACATAATTTCTAACCTTCCGGGTTTGCTCTGAACTATCATTTCGATGAACGCCACCTATATTGAAAGCACGACACCGGCTTTTTCCGTTTTCCGCGTCCTTTGCGTGTTTTCTTTCGTTGGCGCTTCATTGATGCTCCAGTAAGATTTTGCTTCTACACAGGAGCCCACTTCAAGTTGCCAGAACAGGGTTGATTCAAAGTTGGCCGCTACTGGACACTTGTCATGTCACGTCCGGCCCAACCAGCACAACGTACTGCATTACTGTCCACACATCTTAAATTTTTAACACCTCACGCCAGACATTGGCCACTAGCATTCTTTTGATAACGCACTCCATATGATATGCACATGACATGCACAGCAAAAATTCAGCGCCTCATTACCGTCGGATGCCTTACAGACGGACGAAGACATGAACGTCTCCCAGCAAACACATGATGTAAACAGGAAACCCAACATTCGCACATGCCCTCCGCACTCACTGAAGTGATGAAATCCGATGTGCATGATGGCCGCGTTGTCGGCGTTGATCTCCTCGATGTAGTTCTTTTTACTGCCACCAGGTGGCAGCGAGTTGTAATCGGTCTGCCAGCCGGGCTGGCTGCGCCACCGAAAGTGAGCACCGCAGCGCAGCAGCCACTCGGCGCACGCGCGGTCCGGACCCACTGAGTCGATTCGGGACGCGTCCACCCTGCCGACGACAGCGTCAAATGGAGGCGTCGCCGGCGACGGTGCGGAGTTCGCGGTTCCCAACTCCTGAACACCATTATCACGGAGAATCACTGCGACCTTGGTTGGCCACTGTTCATATACGACAAGAAACGTACAGGTAGCAGACCATTGTAATGAGCCCACAGGCCTGGCCAGCTGGGGATGTCGCGCTTTAAATTAAAAGCACAACAGAATAACCTGGATAGAGGTGACTGTCTGATATTCCATACAAAAGTGGATGTTGAAACACATGCTTGTTGACTCGTTCACCTCCCATGGGGCCGGTGGACGTAAAGTGGGTGCTGAGGGGACCAGTGGACATGAATGCGGGTAGATGAGTGCGGATCAATTATGTGCTTAAGAACATCATCCTGAGCTGTTGCAAAGGGTATTGAGACAAAACATGACAAGCACATGTATACCAAAGAGCATAACACAATAATGTGCACAAGGTATATACAGCCTTTCTCATTTACATGTCTCTGTGCTAACATATTTACAGGAGTAAACAATGCTTACTCAAGCAACATTGTCCCCAAAGCACATAAATTTCAGTGGTGTATGCAGATGTAGTGAGGCTAAGAAATCCATCCACTGTAAGACAAAGACAGGCTTACTTGTTAAAGATGGCATTAAGCCAGCCCCAAATGTTTCTTCGCTGTGGCTGCTGAAACTGTGGTGCCCCACCAGGCATCAATCTTGACGGACAAAGCAGAACGATCGGCGCAGTGCAGGCCCGGAGACATCGTGCCTGGGACCGGGCTATGCTCAACGCAGATCGCAGCATCTGGCAATGCAAAAAACACATCATTCTAATGACACCTATCAAAAAGAATACTTTGGGCACATGCAAGTTAGCAAAAGGTAATCATGCTTGATAATGTACCAGCAAAAGCAAAGAAGATATCTCAGGAATACCATGGCTTGGTTCCAAAAGGTTACACCAAAAACATAACCTAAGGTGATCATGTATTTCAAAAATCACCCAATACCTAAGTCCACCAGTAGGTTCAGCAAGTTTCAGGGGGGCACATTGCTCTGGATGGGAAGGCAACAGGATATCACCAGTTTCTGCACGGATGACAAAGTTGTGGAGCCTATGTTGATAGTAGCTTAGTAGCTTTAGATATTGGGGTAGTTAAATGCCCCAAAAGGAGCTACTTTTTCCAGGGTCATTGTAACCATTATATTCAGCTGCAGGGCATCAGATTTGTATCAGTACTGGGCTGTATTGTCAGCTGTCACCCAAACCACAAGATTCATATGGCAGACAGCCAAATTGCAGGGTGATATGACTGAGGCCAAGAGTATCATTTGCAGTATATGCACATAGTAATATTGCATTTCTATTGACCTTGGTTATCAACTAAGCATAAAACTGCTGTTCCATCCAACTATCACTGGGTGACAGATTATGCCACACAACAATAATTCAAAGGAAGTGTTCCAAATTTGTATGGGGCTTTGAATTGAAATTCCTACCTTGAAAATCATTTGGTGCAGTTGACAGCCTTTCTACCCTATAAGTCACATGCCCAAGAAGGTGTACAGACTATTTCAGGGAGACTATTTCTAGGTCATCCAGGCATACATAATGCTTTACTAACATAATCTAAATCCAGCCATTACATGTGCCACACAACATTTAAGACCAAAAAAGAATGTAGTTGTCCAGACATTCATATCTTATGTTCCAACTGAAGTTCATGAGTATGATTTCCAGATAAAACAGCAGTTAATCAGCTTTCAATCAATGTTGTGCAAAGAACAATGACATCAAGTTGTTCTTTGCACAGCAATTGACAACTTTTAAAAAAAATTAACATGTCATTCAATGACATATGGAGGGACACATTTACTGAACAGAGAAACTATGTTGCCTAGAACAGCCTTTTCCACCCTTAAAGTAAGGCAACAATTAAAAGTGAGCCAATTTCATCATGTCTGATGCTTGCTTCAATATCTTTAATGTAGAACCTTTCCTTCAAGGGAGTTAATTTGCCTTCACACAAATTGCACATAGCCAAAATAAGTAATCTAAGATTTTGCTCAGAACTATTCCTTTCAGTATATCTGAATTACAAGCAAACCATGCATCACCACACAGCTTATGCCTTATCAACATCAACTCCACTGATTGCTGACCTTCTGTGAATGCTTCCCAGTATCCAAACCCAAATTAAATGTGACTGACATGCTTTGGCATGGTTATCATTATTGCAATATCAAAGGGTCAAACAACAAACAAGATCAGAGGGCATGGCAACCATGCTGAGCAATGCAACATATCAAACTTTCACCATGAAATCATGCTGTTGTCATGACACTGCATGGTTGGATACTAAGGTTTAGATTTCATGCAGCAAGCACTGCTTGACATAAACTCTGATCCTGTAAATCCACCCACTGAAAAGGTCTGGAATAATTCCTTACATATTTTGCTTTGCCTGATTCTGGGTTACTTTACGTTATACTGATGGCAACGGACAATTCAGAATTGGCCACTGATGCAGAAAGAGCCAGCTTCATTCTGCACTGCCCTACATGAGTAACAAGAGTAACATACCACACATGAGTGACTCTTTTCCCCAAATTACCACAACCTGCTCAAAACACCAATTGGAGCCACAAACCTGCTCCAGCAGCATCTTTTGAAAACATGCCATGCATTGCAGACTTCCCCACGTCTAGAACCAGTGCTACATTAATATGGAAAATGCTGATGGTAGTATTCATACAAATGCTTCTACACAGGATTGGTTGGATGAATTGCAAGCTAGTACGGCCCAGAGATGTCTATGGTCTTTGTCTATGGCCGTAACTCTGACAATCTTGGGTCCAAGGATTCTGCACTTCTATACTGTACACGCAGCGCGGCGCAGCATCCGCGCCTGATACAATGTGAACCACCTTTTTCTACTTCACCAGCGATGCGTCCTCTCCAGAGAGGGCCTAGAACATGACACAACCTAAGGGCCGCTCGAACCACCATTTAATCCGGGAGCATCACCGCATGTCTTGTCTGCGCCATAGATGCACGAGCATCAAAATTAATTAATTAAATGCCCTGGATCGCATGACGTAGTTCAAAGACATTTGCAGTAGTTGTACGCGGCTATGAAAGTGAAAAATAGTCTAATAAGACTAATTTTATCCTAAACGACGCGGTATTGGGTTTCCCTTCACAAGTTTATTATTGTACTTGGTGTCACTATGGCAACTCAACGACTCCTGTGCGCATCCGAGTGACCATAGGTGCACGTGAAGCATTCTGGTGGTTGGAGAGTGCCTGATTCCAGCAAGAGTTCATAACCCGCTACTTCCATTCCATTACTGGAAGTGGCTATACCAGCGAGGGTGTTCAGTAAGGTTATATGCACGCTGTCCTTTTGAAAGAAAGGACGGGAGCGGTGCCACGGATTTGTGGTGGCAAGGGGGCTGGGGGGGGGGGGGGGGGGGGGGCTGGCTGCGGGGGGGGGGGGAGGCGGGATTTTCGAGGAGCCTGGTCAAAATAGAAACTTCCGCAGGGATGGCGGGGTCTCACATCTGTGTTCCCAGGCAGTGTCGCATTCAAGGTGAAGGGGCACCGGTGGCATGTGCTTCATTATCAAACTGTTATATGCATTATATCCAAGTATCGGGCCTTGCTATCCAGTAAGAGGCCTCAATAGCCTAGAAAAGCATCCCCTGATGCCTAGAGGGTGGGGGGGGGGGGTCTCCTAATGCAGACAAGGGTGCTTCCGATTGATGAAAGGGGCCTTCGAATCCAGTCAAGGGCCAGGTTACCGCGGAGCAGGATATCCTTATTCCGGACCGCCACCATCTGATGCATGCAAGGAGTCTCCTATTCCAAACATGGTCCATCGTATCCAGAACAGGGCCCCGAGCATATAATGGGGTGTGTGTGTGGGGGGGGGGGGGGTGAGGCATGCAGTTGCAGTAAAGTCCGACTACTGAGGGAGTGCTCCACATCTATATGCGGTGTTGAACTGAAATAGCCATCTAAAAAATTATTCGGTGCAGTTCCCGACCCTGCCCTTTTTAAGAACCTAGAGGATTCTGGTATCTGAGCTACAAGCCCGCGAAGTTGTGCAAACTATTTCAAGGTCACCCAGGCATCCATGATGCCATTCCGTCAGATAAGCGGTGATCGAGGCCAAGAAGGACTTAATTGGCGAGTCGTTCCTATCTGGCGTTCGTGAGCACTGTTTCCGGACATGACGGACGTCGACTGGCTCTCAGTCAGCGCTCAATCGAATTCCAAATCACTGTGCAGCTTGCGGTAATGTTATCAGACAATGACGTAGTGAAAAATATATTTACTAAATAGAGAAATTTTGCTGTGTTAAGTAGCCCTTTTCACTTAAAAGTAACCAATAGTTATAAGTGAGCGTGTTTCATCATATCTGATGCTTTAATATCTGCAAATATGGAACATTCCCCTGCAAGGGATTGTGAACAGGATTGTGAACAGGGAGAAGGGAGCAAAAGGGCTGAACGGCACTGAAAGGTCTTCAAGTGGCTCTTTCAGTTCACAGCCCCACACAAATGTGGAACATTACATTTAATAGGAATGTTTTACCTTTGTATGGAGTTTTGAACTGAAAAATACACATTGGTCATTTGGTGCAGGTCACAGCCTTGCTTAAGACCTAAACCCTCCAGGTTCTGAGTCGCACGCCCTCGAATGTGCGCAGATTTTCTCGCGAATACCATTTCAAGACCATTCAGGTATTTTGACATCTCAGTAGCGTCATTGCAATTCTGCTACCCAATTGGTCATGCGGCGTTCAAGGCCACGAAGAAAGCAATCGTCAAGTCGTTCATATCTGACGTTTGTCACCAGGATTTCCAGCTATTACAGACGTCAATTGGCTCTCAGTATTGCGCCCGCTGAGCAAGTTTCAAAGACGAATCACATTTTGTGGTACATACAATAAGTGGGACATGTATCCTAGACGTTACGGAAATGCGACTTGTAATCGAGTAACTTAATAATTGCTTCGTAACCGAGTATGTTAACGCAAGTAACACCTTAAACTCACGGATAAATATGTAAGAACACCTCGAGGAAGGAACAAAACTTAAGCCCGTGAATATATTTGGTTGAGCAAACACTTCCAGCACCGCCGCGGCTACATGTCGGGAAATTGAGGCATGGATGAATGCTAGGGAAGCAATTTCGCACAGCCGGTTTGATAGCATCTCAATGTCATACCAAAGTTCCATGACGCAAACAAACAATGACGCGTGACGAGCATATTTGCGGAAAAGATAATGTTTGTTGTAAAGAGCAATTTCTTCTATTGAAAAGTATACCAGTAGCCATAGGCGAGCTTATGGTATCAGATCTTATGCTTGCTTTTACATCTTCATAGGTGGAAACTCCCTTTAACTTGCTGGCTTTTGTCGTTAGGACGTTTAGTGCCGCGTCACTGCAAACTCAAATGTTGAGTACGGCGATACATTTCTCAATCACAGGCACAGCACAGCACAGCACACGGCCAGCGGGGTATGGTGCTCGTGCGGCGATGTTATACACGTCCGGGTGACTCCCATAGACAGCACATCGTAGGCTTCACAAGCTCACGTGCACGGAGCTCAGAAATAAGATAATTTTAGAGCTTAAAAGGAACATAGCTATGAACTGCAAGAAATGTTCATGACAATGGCCAGTGTTACTTAAAACCCCATACCAATGCTGAGCAGTCCCTTTAAGGCTAATGATACGGATTCAACTGGGCGTTGTGGGTTTTAGGAGGAAATCATCAAACACGTTTCAGCCTGGCTTATAGAGGTAGAGGTGAATAATGACCCCATTTGGCATTGTATGTTAGAGTCGGGATTTTTGGCACTCAGTTAACGTGACCTAGTGTGCTTGGTAGTTGTCTTTCAAGCATGGTCCTAATTTGAAGGTCTAGAACGCGCCTTGGTCTCCAAATTTGCCGTCTCAACTTTTGGGCGCATAAACACATCTATGGCTTAGGGGGTAAGGAGATAAGTTTTACGCAACCGTTTTTTGATTGAAATTATGGTGGAAAGTCTCCTTTTGCACTCTGTGATGGATGCTCCTTTTTCCACACTCGCACCGTATTTCCTCCTGCACATTTTTCATGCTAGGAAGGCTGCCAGATCTGGTCGGCTTGCACAATAAATTAAAAGAATATTTGTTGCACTGTTTTCGATGCCCATGGATAAGACGGCACTAATAGTCTCATTCTTCGTAGAACAAACTGGAAGGAAGAGACAGATATATTTGCAAAGCGTTGCAACTCATACCGTTGGAGTTACTATTGTTGCATACCGAAATGGACTTGAATCCACCTATATCTCCATTCTCCTGGTTATTCTACGAGGAATTAAGCTATTTGTACTATCCTATCTCATGCACAGTATCCCTCGCAGATGCACCCAACAACTTACGTATTTTCCACACCACTGAACTTTCCATGGACTTGGACATGGACAAGCGATGGTCATTACAACACCTTGCATGCGTCGGTGATCAGGGCCGGGGAAAATGTTCAGAAATGGAATACGCAATAGCCGTTGTATTTTCAATAAACAGCGACTGCACAAACTGGTCTCTCGAGCTGGTGATCACAAATGCCGCTTTTCGGAGGAACAAAATAAACAGAATGCCGCCTGGCCCACGCCTTGTTGATCCGTGGACTTGTGGGTCAGGTGGTTGGGTGGCCCTCTTTCAATCGCCGTAGTATGAAGCAAATTCAGCAAATTGTGTGAAAAAGGAAGGCCAAATCCCAAAAAGCGCCGGGGGGGGGGGGGGGCAGGCAGCGTGGGAAAGCAAGGTACTAAAAATGTCGTGGTTAACGAAGTCCAAGTCTTTCTCGTTTCCTCGACTTTGTATGTGAGCTCTATTTAGTTTTCTTGAACTGTGTGGAATGATGTTACAGGGAATGTTTCACAATGGAATATATTGAAGCAAACATCAGATATGATGAAACAACCTCACTTATTGCCGTTGGCGCACTTTTCAAGTGGAAAAGACTGCTCTAAACAGCTAAATTCTCTGTTTAGTAAATATGCTACTCAATGTGTCATGATTTGATTACAGCATCGTACCTCTCACGTTGATTGAGAGCAAATTGACGGCTGTTATATCCGGAAATCGCGCTCATGAACGCCAGATATGAACGCTTCGACAGTTATATTTTTTTGCCCTTATCGCTGCAGGGATGATAGAATGTCAGGATTTGAATGCCATCATTATAACGTCATGAATGCCAAAGTGACTGAAATCTCCGATATACCTTTATCCATTTTCGTGGGCGTGTAGCTCGGAAACTAAAGGGGCTGAAGTCTTAAGAGGGGCGGGATCGTGAACACTACCGAGAGGTCTTCAAATGCCTATTTCATTTCAAAACCCCGCATAAATGTGAACCACTCCCTTTAAAGCTAGTGCTTCACATTTGTATGGAGTTTTGAACTGAGCTAGTCATCTTGACAACCTCTCGGTGCCTAAGACCTATGTCCCTCTAGTTTCTGGGCTACACGCCCGCGGAAATAGTGTGAATATCCCGGGAAATGTATTCAATGGACACCTGGACATTGATTACGTCATAATCACGTCATTCAAGTCCTGTCATTCAAAAAGCCAAGTGGCGATCAAGGCCGAAAAATCGGTTTGTTATCCCGTGAATGGCGAGTGCAGTTATTGTCCTGAACGTTGCATTTCTAAAGATATTCCCCAATGGCGTCACGTCGCCGGATCCCAATTTTGTGAGAGGGTTGCTCAGTAGTTTATTTAGACATGATGACCTGTCGAAATTTTCGCTAGAAGATAAATATTTTGCTACCCCAATTGCCGAAATTCACATTGTAATACCGTGGACCCGAGGCCAAGCGTCTTTTTTAAGCCATATAACGGTCAAATTATAATTTGCCCAAAACACCCTTCGCTAAGAGCACAAAAGCAGAGTGATTGGGGCTGCTGGCTGAACTAGGCGTGAACATTTACGTAGCACGCGGCCATGACCGTTTCCATTCAAAAGGAGCACATGAGGCGAAGTGTTTGTTACCGTGTATCCTCATAGATTCATTCGACTTGACGCAAGGCTGCTTTTGGTTACACGTCTGTGCACTGTAGTTTGAGGCTGGCTTTGGTGAGTAAGATATTGGCACATGGAAGCTCTAAACGGGCAGATTCAATTTGCCTGATTACCCGGAGGGACTGGCACGGATGAGTTCGTCACTGGTCTGACTATCACCTTCACCCTTATCGCCTCTTGAGGGCCGGACCCTTGCTCGCCGGGGTCTTTTCATGCGACTTCCTTTTCGCGTTTTACGCCGCTCTTGTGTTTCCTAGAAGCTAAAGTCTTATAAGTCAAGCATTCATTTTTATTGCCAGGAATTTATCTACCAGTGCATGCCCCTAAGAGACGCCGATTTTCCTGAAATATCTCATATAAATCAGGTCAGGAACCGCTCTTAGGCAGTGTGATGAGGCAATATTTTGTCAGGGAATGTCAAATTGATCGCTGTAGAAAAGTCAGCTTCATGGCTCTAGCCGTTCGGTTGGGGGGAGAGATGGGGGGGGGGGGGGTCTATTAAGACCATTAACAATTTAGACCAATAGAGCATTGTTGATCTATTGGGCTTTTGTATGGCAAATTTAGAGATGCGTTAAATGTTTCGAATGCCCATCAGTTTTCACACGCCAGGTTATCATATATATTCATCGGAGAGCTAACTGACAAATGGATTTACAGCATTTTCATGACGGCTCTTTCAGATTGGCCCAGGTATCAGCCGCTGGCGCCGCGTCGTTCCATTCTTGGTTGGTGAGAAGAGTAAGAAATAATGCCACGAGCTAGGTCAAAGAGCAAGTCACCGGGTAAGAAAACGCCCAAATCCAAGTCTCGTAACAGCCCACGTAGTCCAAAAAAGGGAAAGAAGGGAAAACACAAGAAAGGAAGAAAAGGCAAAAAACACAAGGAGGCGCCAGAGGAGGCGTCAGAAGTAGAAGGCAAGTGCGGAGACAAAACTACACATGCGCCTGTTGTAAAAACTGTGGTAAATGCCTCACGTGCCTGCAATAACGCAAGGATGCAAGGGAATGTTGTATGACACGGCTCTGTCGCTTAAGATGCAGACCTTGTTTCAAACGCCTGGAGGTGACAAAAACTGTCGGCTTTTGGTTTCGCTTAATATGATGGACTTAACATTACACATATCGATTATTGCACATGCACACATATGCACATTACATCGTATAATATTATGAAATGACAGGCCATTTTTGTTTCGTTGTTGAACGCCGGAATGTTTTCAGATTCTCAGTTTGACGAGTCAGAATGCACCGACCTAGAGAGTGATGAAGAGATAGAATCAGAGCCAGAAGAAGACGTGGAAGAATGGATAGAGTCGGTAACCATATGCGTAATGTGAATTGCATTTATTTCCACGTAGTCAGAGATGCCCCCCCCCCCCCCCCCTCCCCTTCTGCATGCGGCACTGCTCAGGAAGCCTCCTACGAGTAGTGCCCCCAGGAGGTGACCTGAAAAGTCCCGCTCCCGCCCCTCCCCCCCCCCCCGTCCCCTCCCCCAACTGAAAATCCGTGTCGCCGACCCTGGCGGCTAATACCGTGTGACCAGCCTTTGACAGCCGCTGATTGGCTGACGAGGATGACTGCCCTTAGAGCCCGCGGTTCCAGCACGGCGGGGAACATGCTACGCCCAAGGTCACGCAGCCAGGGGCGGGTCCAGCTCCATCGGTTGGGTGGGCGGCTAGGGCACGGAGTTCGCAACATGCACTAAAATTCAGACAACCACAACGAGCGCAGAAGGTTTTACGATATTGCGATGAAACATAGGTATTCGGCGAACATCCATGTCGAGATGTCAGGTAGTGCCGTAGCAGCTGGGCCCGGCTGAGGGTCTCAAACAATGGACGTGCCCAGGCAGAAAAATATGCGCAATCAGTGGTCACTAGCGAACAGCAGGTCAATACGAGGAATCAGGATGCCTCCACTGAGGCCAAGGGTCGTGAGCACTGAACTTCAGAGCTTACGTCATGCTTCTCACGGTCAACTCAAATCACAGCAATAGTTTCACGCAGTCCATATGCACAGAACGGACCAGCGAGGCACTGAAGTGGAGAGGACGACGCGCGCCGGCACCGCACCCATTCGGAGCGCAGCGCGCAGGCGACTTACAAACATCTGCCACTGTGGGGCTCATTGAGGGCGGAAATAAAAAAAAATGTCGGGACTTCGCTTGGCCCTAGTACAAAAATGGCAAGTCACACTGACAAACTTTTCAGCTCAAGAGACTCGCCGAACGATAGGTATTGTATTACGCACCGTTGAAAATTAATTATCATCGGGGTAGTTATTCACAGCATGTTCTGGTGAATCACTTCGAAGGGGGCAGGTGTCTGCACGCACCAATTACCTCCTCATCGTAAACCCTGGCGAATGTATGAGGTGTTGTTTTGCGTGCCACCTGGATGGTGACTCCATCCAGTCACCAAAGCTCTGGGCTCTCTTCCTGCACGCTTACACTTACGAAACTATCCTGGATAAACATGCGGAAGGTCGTAGTCCGCCTTTCAGCTCATGATGCGCTCTCTGAAGTGGTCTTCCAGCCAGGGCAAGGCCATTGGTGTGTGGTGAGCCGCCCCGTCCTGCTGCGGGGACCAGGTGTTTTCTCTAATGCCGTCTTCGTCGTGGAAGTCCTCTTTATAGGGAGGTAGTTGGAGGCCATTGTCCAGAATCTGTCCTGCGGGGCCATCTTTGGATGGATATGGATGGGTCCTTAGCAGTGACAGATCTGCCTTTGTGATGCCCCGTACTCCTCTCACGCTGTGCACAGTCAGCTGGCCGGTTTGATGTGAGGTGTGGTCTAGTTAGCCCTAACGACGCCGCTCTCGTCCTGTTGTGACAGCCACTGAGTCCTTTTTCGCCCTCCAGGTGGGCTACATTCGACGGTGTGCACTGCTGTGTGGTCTTCCTGCCGATCTGTGGGATGCGTCTCATGACGAGAAGATTGCCACTTTCCTCAAAGACGAGACCCGCCCCATGATCACATTCTTCGTGGAGACGGACCAGGAGCACCACAAGATTTTAACGGCTCTGTTCGGCGCGCCGATCCAACAGGTTTGCGCCTGTTCCTTTATGCACCAGCAGTAAATACGCTGTGGAACGCCTTTTTGAAGAAGGGTACGTCAGAACCGCTCAGCCTTAAGCCGCACGTACGCAGTTACGGTATTCTAAACAGAACAACTTTTGGCGCGGAGTCAGGACTTTTCAATCATGAAGCGAGCCGTCATTACATCTCAGCGTCCCATGCAACGTGACGGTTTCCAAGGTCATGACTTCTGTCGTTGGTGGCGCAGGTGGATGAGGTGATATACTTCCTGAAGCGACCCAGCGCGCCACCTGTCTTAAGCGACCTTAGCTACCGAGGCAAGGTGGCATGGGGTAACATGAAGGCTCCCTTTCTGGAGTCGCTGCTGATCCGGATGTCCTCCCTGTACATGCCGTACTTCTTGGATGACACCACATGGCCGGACAGTATCCTTTCGCAGCAAGACTGAGGGTGCTCACCGTGTTCCTCGCTTGTGGGCGATATCGAATCTTTAAAATGTTAATGTCCTGAAGCAATAGCTCATGGTAACAAAACGGGATGCTTAATCCCCTTCACTGTGTGATGTCTAAAACCACATGACCATGTGCCAGCAGCAAGTGATCGTAGATCAATATCAATATGTACACAGAAAGTATCTAATGCAAACTTATAGAAGTGTCTCAGACCTGTTGTTTGCGCTGTCGACTTATTAGTACTGCGGGTGCTGATTTCTAAATCTTGTTGGTAGAACATTGAGTTCTTAGTGCCAGATAAGTTTATTTTGACTTCCCGCGTTACGTTCGTCACATACCTTATTGCCTGTAGTGTTTTCACTCGTTATCAAAAACGTTTGAAAGTGTTAAGCTACTATTGTTGACTGGCATAAGTGTGTGTCGGCCTAGTCTATCATCCAGTAGACATCACCCTTTCTTAACTAGATTATCTCAGGCATCCGGAAAGATTTTTCAGGGAAGCTGCATCGGTTTATGGCCTACCTGACGGACGCCCGGTACAAGGCCATAGGCCAGACGGTACTGTACATCCCCTCCGAGGACCTGTCCCGCCCCGTGGAGGACATGGCGAAGGACAAGGACCTGGTGGAAAGGTTGGAGGGTGAGTGACCCCCACTGGCGCTGCGGAGTCAGGCGCCTTACAGAACTGCAGTCGGAGTGCTACCGCAGAACCAATTGCTTAATGCCACTTGTCAGTCTGGTAGCGAACCCTGTACAACGGGCCTTAGAAGTGGCATGGTTGTCACGGGCTGTAGTCAGTGGCCGGAGCGACATGGAAGGTTTAATCACAGAACGGACGTCGCCGGGCTCTCACTGGATAGCGACTGAAGGCTGGAAGGTCGATGCTCTGCCTACATTGGCCAACCACGTAGCGTCACGTGTCCTTTTTTGTAACCAAGGCTCGTGTTACCAAACAAGCTCCTTCTACCTGGTATTTTGTGTTCTGAGTGAATACGGGCGCCGGCGGTAAGGCAAACACCTTGGAGGCGATGTTGGGGGCTATAGGTCGCCCGCTTCATCTTGTGACTGGACATGGCAATATTACGCTGTACGTCGCTTTCGCCTCTGAGCCTGCTGCTTCTTCTGACGCGTCTCACGTCCTGCCCACTCCAAATGTTGCTTCCGGTCGCCGTGACGTCGGCTGCGGCGCTCTGCAGCGGCGATGGTGCACTGGATCCGCCAAATCAAGGAGATGCTGAGCAGCTTGGACTCGATCGAGATGCCAGAAAAAGCCGGCCCGCTGGACGAGATTCACTTCTGGAACGATCGCTGTACGTGCTCGAATAAGGCCTATGCTGATATATTTCGTCCTGGACTAATGCACCTGCAGTATAACATTTTAGCTTTTTTGATGAGCAAATTTTAATTGTTAGTAGTGCTGAGTTCATATCGTGTGTCTTTATGTTTGTGTAATTTGTCCCTGTTCTTGTTAATTCACTCTGGTGTAATATTTCAGGTTTGCCCGATAGTCATGCATTCCATCGATTTTGATAGTGTTGACTTGATGTTGTGTATTTTTCGCAATTAATTCAAAATCAACTGCTCAGCTAGCCTGTCATTGATGCCCATGGGCTTGACGCTATGTTTAGCAGCACTGTTCAGTAGTTCTTTTTAATCCCAGCGTTGGTCGATTAAGCGGATAGACGGTTATCTGATTAATCCGCAGTCAAACTAAGTTGAAATGTGTATTTGTAGGAAGTGAAGGCGTGAAACTAAATTGGGAGCATGCAAACACGAATCCCGATTCATTTACGCTGATGAAACACAGTTTACATAGCTGAACATAGTCGCGTACGAACAACATAGTCATGTGCAATCGCGTGTGGCCAGTTGCTAGGATTACGCGCAATGGCCTTCTAACCCGGCTGTTATTTTTGCGTATAAGCTATGGGATCGCGTTCGCTCAGCTTTTGGTTTATTTATTCTGCATTTGAGTGTTTCCAAAACCAATGAATACAACGGCAACGCGCCTAAGATCCGTGTACTCTTTCTGCGCTGCCTTCGTCTTGTGGCGAGGAGATCGTTTTAAGTATTGATCAAAACCGGCATGTGATGTCGCCTTCATCATGATAGAAAGGTGACGTGCTGTCAGATGTTATGACTGGGGTCCTTACAACCGCTGGAAATCTGGGGAGTATTAATTAAGTTCCTTCTGTTGGCCAGACTTATCCAGCCGTAATTTTTTTTACAGTTTTTGAAAGCTTTAGTGCAACGTCATCAGTCGCATCACAGATACTTAACTGACTGACGGTGGCATTCAGAGCACCATACCACCACCCGCGACGGCATATGCAAAAGAGATCCCCAGAGTGCTTTCGATAACATGTATGTCATGTCGATAACGTGAAGCCTGGTTTCAAGCAAGCCGGAAGTGCCTTAATTTAATACAATAAAAAGTCAAGGTTTCTTAATTTGCATCGCGATGTCGTAGGAACGTATGATAATTGCATGTTGGTGCCGAACTTCAGCCAAACCGAACGTGTTCTAAGAGTTGTCCGATTGCAGACCATTTCCAACTAGGTAAAATGTCCACACACATACTGCACGTTCTGTCATTTCACCGTGCCGTGCTTTATGGGGTCATAATGTTAGCCAGCTGCAGTGCAGCCCGTATACTATCAAAAGGTACGCATAGCCATCCGCGGCACCTGACCTGTCCACCTCAGGTCGGCGAGATGTATCATCCGTCGAAGTGATCGGGTACTGCGGTACCTTGGACCCTCGGTTCCTTTCTGGGGTGTACGTGTTTTGCTGGTTTTCACCTCAGGTAAGGACCTGTCAGGCGTTAAGGTACAGCTGGACAGCGCGGTGGTGAAGAAGATGAGCGATGTTTTGGAGCACGCGAAGTCTTCTTATATCGGCCGTTTCAACCGGCTGGCCCACGAAATCCAGGACGGATCACAGCAGGCCGAGAGGTGAGGTCGCGCCACAGCACTGAGCTAAGCGGCTGGAAACCTTAAGGCCCGCTCACGCCTGCAGACTGACTTGGGATCCGCTGCAGAGTCTGCAGCCAGTCAGCTTTTGCGAACGGGACGCGCTAGATGTAAGGCTGCAGGCCCGCAAAGCGCGGGTTTAACAGCTACAAAATGGCGCGCCTGGTAAGCATCCACCGCATTGGGGAGTCCGCAGCAGATCCTAGCGTGGTCAGGTGTTACGGACGAGAGATATCCTTTGTGCTCTATTCCCCACGGTTTGCGGGCCTGCGGGCTCAGAACTGGCATCTCCAATCCGCAGCAGCTGGCTGGCTGTAAACTGGATCGGTTCCGCAGCTACTTCGCAAGGTGCAAACGGCCATCAACCGCATGACGTCCTTTCGACTGGGGGACCTGTCTCCGTCTTGCCGGAGTGGTCTGTCGCCAACTAGCCCTCGTTGCCGACTCGGCTTCGGTGTGAATTCTGAGTTGCTCACCTGCGTGCCCGCCGGGTGATTACCCGGTGTCAGATGCTGTGCGGACATAAGGGCGGGCGCGCTTGGTGTTGAGTGACAGCAACGCCCCTGACTTAAGGATATTCCATACAAAGTCCCGCTGCCAATCCATCACATTTGCAAACGCGCTATGTGACACTGAATCGACTTGGTGATGCTTGCAATAATAATAACTATGAATTCAAAGATGTTATGTTAGAGCATAACCGAAGTCTGGTCTACACGCGTGTACTCTGGTAGGTCGAACAAGCTTAGGCTTTCTTTCCTAGTTTCCGGCTCCCTCGTGTTTTTTTCCTCGTTTCCGGCTCTCATGGTTTCTTACGTGGCTCCCGGCCCCCCTCTTGATTTCTTCTCTAATTCCCTGCTACCGGACTTCAGGACATGCAGTGATGCGGATGAGGGTGTGATGACCGAGTGGTTAGGACCTTCGACTACTATGTAAGTGCCCGGGTTGGAACCCCGGTTGCACCATGGCCCCTGAGCGATGGTGTGGTTTTTACAGCCGTCGTCCATTCATAAAAGAGTGCGCGGCCATGTATGTCGCGTTCCTAGGCCACATATTGCCTGAGCCGACAAATGGACACCACGTCTGACTGAGGCCGGCTGCAACGCTGGCGCTAACCTTGGCCCGCCCGCGTCCGGCAGCAACAAACACTACCTGAGCCTGCTGCAGGAGCCATGCGAGGAGCTCAGCAAGTCATCGCCGGACGAGATGGCCGGCCAGCTGGAGCACGTGCTCACTCTGATACGCGTTGTGTGGAACAACTCGCCGTACTACAACACCAGGTGCGAAAGGGGGAGCGGCGAGACTCAGCATACCCGTTGCTTTCTTTCGTGAGTCCTCCACTTCAAAGATCTGTCTGATTTATTGCGAAGACACGCATTCGGAGAAGCGCGTTAGCCGCTGCCAGCTTCGCCGGCCTCAACACATTTGGCAGTGCAATCTCACGTGAGTTAAGACGCCTTCTGCCAATTCCACGGCTTACGTGATGAGGCAAAAATTTGGAGACGGCGGCAGTCCGCACATGATTTACGCCGGCTATGTCTATGTGCATGTTATTTTACCGCATTTCTCAGTTTGACCTGTCTGGTTGGATCCGACGTGATCAGACGATACTTTTTCGGTATCATGGTCCATTTTACGTTCGTTACTGAAAACTTCCTCGAGCAGGGTAAGATTTGCTTTCAATGGATAAATTAAGCTCGTTGGTTGCCATTGCGTGACCTTGGGTGACAATGGGATTTAAATGTCCGTGTGCGGCAACGACACTGCTACACTAAAATATTTTCGGACATTGTTTTGAACACTTTTGAAGCTATGCGATGGTGGGATACTGCCAAGATCTCGTGCACTTGGGCAAATACTGGTGCTGAGAGGGCTAACAATCCAGCGCGGAGCACCACTTGTCCAAATTCCCACCTTGTGGGTCTTTGAGGACGAATCAACTACCTTTCCCATTCATGCCACCGAGGCTGACAGGGGCCACGATCCGATCCATCGATCTCCCAAGGCCCCGCCAGCCCACTCCCTGGCCTGGCGCAGACCTCCCACTGCTTTGTGCCAGCCGCATATGAGCCACGTCTTCTCCCTATCCACCATAGCCACAAAAGTGAATTGATGAGTAAAAGGGCAATCCTTAAAAGCTAAAGCTCAGCCCAGCCCAGCTCGACACCACTCGCGATAGAACAGCTGGCTGATATACACGCCCAGCTCTGATGAGAAGACCACGCTCCATCTGCCCCCGACAGTTGCGATACATCGTTCAGGGTGTGTTAGGAATGCACATTCTCCTTCAGAACAGGCTGCTTTGGGGATAAATATGTACCATTTGACGAAATGACCAATAATTTCGTTAACGTATTGTCTGATTTGCTGTCCTACAAAGGTAAAAAGGCCTGAGCGCCATCAGGTAACTTGTTCACAGGAACATTCTAGACTTCAGCGAATTGGACGTAGTCAGGTGCTGATGCTCTATCTAACGGCCACGGATTCTGGTGTCTGTTTCTAGAGCATTACAAAACAGGGGAACCAATAAGCTTACGTAGCAGTGCACTCACATTACTTATAACCCCTTACGTAAATTCTAACTAAACATGTATGTATTCACACATGTATATACAACTTCAACTCGACATCAACGGGAAAATTCCCCATGGAGCGGAGTGCAAATGATCAGGCCTAAAGGCAGACCTTCAAGTAACGATAGCCACCAGCAGCACCATGCGGGAGACGCGGTGGCAGTGCGGACTCGTGACAAGCGGGCATGCTCGGGAGGCGGGTCCGAGCGCGTCAGCCTATTTTGCGGACCTCACTCTTGGGCCTGTGTCTCCTGTCATCGCTTGATTTGTGGTTGGATTCGTGCTTCTTTTTGTTTTGTTTGGAGTCGTATTTGTTGTTGGGTTCGCATGCTTGCGTACTGCGTCGCACTCTACTTTGCCTGTGTGAGATTACCACCAGTTATACAGGGTGTGTTCTGAAGTGTTCTCGCCGTGCCAAGTCCAAGTGCTGTTATGCTGAGAACGCGGTGTAATTCACGAATTTTCTCGCTCATTGCGCTTGAAGAAATAATCCAAGGTGCAATGTTCATCATCAGTTTCGCTATTCTTCCAGTGGCTCCAAGAACCAGCTGAGCTTAACATTTCTGCCCCTGTGTAGGTAGGGTTGTTCATGTTTGGCTTTTGAATGACTGCCGCCACTGCTGTCGCCCAGGGAGCGCGTGACGGGCATTCTTCGTCGCGTCAGCACCGAAGTCATCAACGTTTGTCAGAACGTCATCTCCATCGACGACATCTTCAACGGCCGCTGTCGCTCCTCCATTCGAACGCTCGAGCAGTGCATCGACTGTTCGATGGCCTGGAAAAACATCTACAAAAAGGCATGGGATTATTTAGCTCATGTATGCTCTCCAGCAGGGTCGACAATTAAAAACTGACTGGATACTTTTAATGGCACAGCATAACCATGCTCAAAAGGGGACGGTAAATGTAAGTGTATACAGCAGTTTAATGAGACGACAAGCCCAATTCCAATCGTTTTGAATTCCGGATCCACAGCCAAAAGGTGTTCAGTTATCATTGGCTCGACACTCGCGGGGGTATTACTCAAATGAGAAGAAGTCTGTCATCGCCTGATAATCATGAATCCCCCTTGCTTCTGGATGACATCGGTCGTTTTCCTGATGCGTGCGCCGTGCCGACCGCGGCCGAGGTGCCGGGTGCCAGCATGGCCTGCGTGAGGTCGGCGCCCGTCAGTGAATGACCGGAGACGGTGCCTGCTCCGACAGACGGCGCGCGTCCACCACAAGATGTCTGAGCAGGGCTGGGTGCTGGATGTGACCACAATATTCGCCGAGCTCGACGCCTTCACGCAGCGCTGCAAGGACCTCATCGAGATCTGCAACAGTCAGATGTACCTCAACAGGTTCGAGCCGGATGGCAGCTCGGTTGAACGCTCGGCCACTGGGCCTGGTAAAAGGTGGAACTGGCTGGCATGATTTGCAAACTTGGACTCTTGGTACCAGCCAAGCATGCGCGATGTAAGTATTGCCTTGATTACGAATGTGCTAAATAATCTTCTCCTTGGACTTCCCCATGCCTTGTCTGTCGCACACATTTTCGTCGCTGCAATAACCGTGCGACAGGCAGGTTCCCACCGTGTTCCCACCGTGCGTGGTTGTGACGGCATGCCGCGGCCGCGGCTCGGCCTCACAGGATGGAGGACGGCGAGCAGGTGCCGCTGCCACTGTTCGCTGGAGCCCGCGGCCCGGAGATCGCGCGCAGTATGCAGGAGCTGGAGCGCGTGTTCTCCGCCTGTCTCAAGGACATCGGCTCCAACAAGCAGATCATCTCCGACAACCGCTCCACTCAGTGGCTCAACGAGTTCAGAAAGTAAGCCTGCCCTCCAAACTTCCTTCTGCGAAGTTTTCTTTCGGTTGTCATGAAATACATTTTGATTTTTCCCTTGCCAAATAACAACACGAAGAGCAGTCACACATGACATATTTTGAGTGCATTTAACAGAAATTACGCCATGCGCTCGTAATCAACTTCGTCTCTTTCGGTTTCCAAGGATTGTTTTCTGTATGCGACCGTAAGTCTTCAAAGTTTTCGTGCAAGGATTAACTTCTGGATACGAGTACGCGGTGGTGATAGTTCCATTCGAGTAGCGTTATGTCGATATGGTGTCGGCTTGACACAAAATGTAAAGTGACTGCACTTCTGTTGTTCACGTGTGATGTGCTTGGGATGAATATCTGCTTGTTAGATGCATTTCTGCTTGATCTGGGCAAACATCACCAAAGGTAAACCATTGCGCACATAAGCTCGTGGAAAAATCGAAACTTATCGTGCGACCAGCAGAGTTCCGATCGGTGACAAGATGTGAAGCCTCGGGCCATGGAGTGTGACCAAACTGGAGAACGTAAAGCAGCGGGGACGGCATCACAAATTCCGCACAGTGAGCCGATTAGACCATTGCATTTGTGTCCAGTGTCTCACAATGCATCTCGGAGGTCGGCATAGGCCATTGGCTGACAATCTTTTTTACCCCGAGCCCAGACGATCTGGCCTTCCCAGCCGACTGCTTTTCCAAGCCTGGGGCGTCCAGGTGCTAAGTTCGCCGCCCTCCGAACCCTGAGTGAAGGGCGGAGCAACAAGCTAACAACGCGAGACGGCGGTGCGGCAGCATACACATCGCCCCCCCCCCCCCCCCCCCCAGTTGTTCGATATGCCACATTGTGTGCAGTCGCCAGCAGTCCGGAAAGAGTGCCTTTCATTGGAATTCGAAAGTCTATGTTTCTAGTACCCGCCGTTTATAAGACCACTCGACACACATCTGCACATACGGCGCAGAGACCACGAGACAGTGCATGTGCAAGCTATTTGAATGCAGTCGAAACCGTATGGGATGCTATCTCAGCTCATCCCTGCCACACATAGCCATTTAGACGTTAGCAATAAGGGAGAAACCAAAACTCTCCGTGTGGGTTTCAGACGCTGGACATCAGAAGTGAGGCGGTACTCAGCTTGTGCACGCGCGCCACCAATCATTCAGCGTGCCGATCACACAACTGTGTGTGTACACAGCCCACCATAGCATCTGAGCCGTCGTACGTCCCTCTGCGTCTTTACTGGTTTCGCCCCAGCCATCTGCTTTATCCGGCCGTGCAAAATTGGAAGGCTAACATTGGGACGCAAGTTCCCTCAGCACTGAAACCAGTCTCCATTCATCATGGGAGTACCGCCTGCACCCGCCTGTGATAATCTAAGGCTTTTGAAGCACATGGAAATTGGTCATTTTCATGCATTTCATGTCACGAAATCTTATTTTAGGTAAACATTAGCACGCGGTAGTAGGAATAAATGTGCCAATGCATGCCAATGAAAGGAACACGGTTTGTCCTGATCAGAGGAGTGGTTGTGCCCCAACCACTCTTCTGATCTTTCCCACCTACCAGCCTGTAAGCCTCCAACAGCAAACAAGTCAGTACTATTGGGGCCTAAATATGTCCATCCACACTCAAGTGCATTGCACTGCATGGATGAGGCGATCCGAGAACTCCGTGAGGGATGGGTACCAAATTTTAATCTTGGCTAAATGGCGTGGTAAACATCTTTAGTAACGTCTGTTTGTGGCCCCGGGCAGATGATTACTATGATGTAGTCGCCCCATCAGGTCATAGTCGGCACAATTATCTATTCATTTTCGCTAACGAACAAAATCCTGCATACCGCGTTCGTAAAAATCGATTATGTAGATTTATAGTCACACGTTATATATTGCGCTCATACATATCCGGCAGATCTTTCGGGAAGTCCAAGTAGGGTGACTTGACTCGGTCATCGCGCCCAGCTCAGGTCGGATTTTTCCGCTATTGTTCCCCCTTACCTTTGATGCGTTTGATTGACGCGAGAGTAGTACGCATTGCGCTATTTCGAAACAGCATGCACCGAGGTCCAGCTCACGAGTACATGTGGCAAACATACGCACACCTAGTACCTGCATCACGCGCCTAATTCGACCTCGCTATCACAGCACTTGTTTTAGAATGTAGCGTTCCTGAGTCCGGTGGTGGGTGGTGGGAACCCCTCCGAGCCAAACCAAGCAGAACAGCCAAATAACCAATCAACCATGATTTTAAGAGAAAATACGAAAGTAGGAAGGTTTCGGTAGCTTGGGATTTGATGGAATCAAAATTGCTTTTAATACCACAGCGAGCGTCAAAATAGGCATTGCTCTTCCCTCGATGAAATGAAATTAAAGCAGATATTTAGAGGGCCCGATCCATTTTTCCCTACGGTGCGACATTTCTTTTTTGCCAATGGACAACAAACTCGGCCCGTCGCCCTCAACCTGGCGATGAGGACAGGCCAGGTGGGCCGCGAACAAATGCGTGTCACTACGCCAGGACAGGGCAGAGAGTGCGACATCATAAACGACGGGGGAAAATCCGCCATAACAAAGAGTATTTCCTAGCGAAGTCAGTGAATTATCCCGCCGTGCTCCTTGCCGTATAATATCATGGGTACCTTCTCACCTCAAGACTGGTGCTTACTGGAGGAGGTTAAAGAGCATGGTGGTCAAAAAAGCTTACTTTTCGTTGCATCATTATCCTTACAACATGTGCAAAGCATTGCCTTGAAAGCCCATGCTATGTTTAAACTCAACTGATCGTAACCATTGCAACTAAGTTCTAGTTCAACACCGTCAGTACGCGCTTTATGGACCAGTGCCAGCAAAATGTGTACAAGCTGAAAATGTACCCGCGAGGATTTAGATGGCTTTCAAAGCGCCTGGTGGTTGCCTGCCATTATTCTCTAAGTGTGGGCTGCCATTTTTCCAGAGCCTAAGCCACTTGTACTTACGCCAAATAGCGTTCACCATGTTTCATGTGCATATAAAGACACTATGAGGTCTCGCGCTACTGTGGCTGCGCACGAGCCTCCAGGGGCGTAGTTTCGCAGGTTGAGGTTGGAGAGGGAGAGGGGAAACTGAATAGGGAAGTACCGCTCTGTGAGCCTTTGCTGCCAGACGTTGGGATCGCTCCCGACCGGCCCGTGCTGTTATCAGGTTCCGGATGCGGGTCAAAGACGTCGAGGTGATGCTCACCAACATCATCGATTGGTCATTCGAGACGGTGCGCACGGTGGAGGAGGGTGTGCTGCTGCTCTCCTGCTTCCGGCGCTACGCCAACCGAGAGATGATACGTCGCATTTTCGACATGAAGACGGTCCAGGTGAGACCAATGAAGGCTCTGCGACGGGGTGATTCAATGGAATAAGTGAGCGTTCGCATTGCTTTCTGACATCTCATCACCAGGGCAGCAGTGCTCGCCACTCGTTCAGTGATGTGGTATATCAAGTATAGCGATATATCAAGCATATCTGTCCGAGCACGTGGCCGGCACTGGCCCAGGGTCGACTGCAGAGAGCACGATCATTGTCAGCTTTTCCAAAAATGTCAAATACGAGGCGTGTTGACCTGCACAAAAAGAGATTGGCTGGGCCATGCAAACTGTACAGGCGCGTACCTCCTTCCATGGTGACGAATACGCGCATTCCATGAAGGCCTTCTCACTGAGCTGGTCACGGCTGCAAAACTGCGTCATCTGAAGTCCATTGGTTTTGTGTACCAAAGGTGCCAGTCATTACCGCTCTAAGAGCCGGTCATATTACCGGCGATTTCAGCTGTTGTGAATCAGCGTGTGACTTCGCCATGAGATGGACCTCTGTCATGGCCGACACCGGGCTACACTGGGATCAGAGATCGTATGTTAGACGGTGGTACACGCTCCCACAATGAGCCCACTCAATGTACTCTACTCGTCATACTGCACATCGAATACTGCAGCCCACCTGCCCGTGACTACACCAAAACCCGCCGTAAATGGCATCATCTCCAGCATCTTGGCGTCATTTCAACTTATTCACGTTGACTGTCGCACCTAAACCATTTTGCCCCTCGCAGCAAGGATGACCATGATGTATTCGCGCTAGTTCGCTGCTTTCTACTTGCTCGCTTGGACCTCAACACAGCTGGACTAATCCTGATGGCGTGCTGTCGAGCATGTACAGACACAAATATCGCATTTGCATGACATTGCATTCGGTGAAGCATTAGTGGACTGTCAATTGTTGGTCTTGGCACTGACTACTTTCGATTACATCCTAATGCTTTCTTAGCCACAAGTAACCCATTAACCACTACCTGTCACACATATGTTAATAGATGTCTCTGTATATGTCCTCTTCATTTTATTGGTTGAATCCCTTTTTCTTAGCGGAGAGAGGCGCAGCTTTGCGAATTTAAGTTTGTAATTTCGGTGTTCATCCTCAGCGGTACCTGACAGGTGAGCCACTTCTGGTCATCTGTTCACGGGTATTACGCAGACCACAAAAGCAACAACAAATAACGGTAGCAAATGGTGAAACTTAAGTGACGTGAAACACTCATCTTGATCGTTAATTTCGGTGCTGGCTGACGAAGCACTTTTTCTTAACCTGTGTGGCCTGTGCTGTCTCAGATTTGTTTGCTTTGTAGGTGTTAAATATTTTATTTTCTGTGTAAGTGTTTCAATGAAAGAGGTCAGTCGCGAATGAACGGGTTTTGAAAGGAAACTTTTGTTTGAGCTCTTTCTGAGATGTTCCCAATTTTACATAGACAGTTCAACTGATAAATCAGGCAACCATACCAAAGAGTAAGTCTCAAATACGAGCCCCAGCTGTCACGTTGCAAGACCCAAGTTTTTCATTTGAAATTTTTAAAGATACTAAAAGGTGAGGACTTCTAACGTAAAGCAGGGCAATTCTGGAATGAAAAGAAAGATAGAAAATTCAAAGCAAAAAATCGACTTCCTTTCTAGTTGGACTATTTTATAGTGAAGCACATGCCCTACCCTTTCAGTGTACTCATTGCTACGTGACTGGTTTCATCGTCGGTAGTACAGGTGTAATCACAGTTTGTTTTATCATGTGCAGTGCATCTGCGCTGTGGGTGGTGTCCAACTTGGTGGTTGCGCCGCCACATCTGAGCTCAGCTTGGTGCGTGTGCCGTGCCGCAGGTGTTCGAGATATTCGCGGACGAGCTGCAGGCGGCGCGGCGCGAGCTGTCCCAGAAGGCGTTTCGTCTCGAGCCTACCTACCCATACTACGCTGGTCAGGCGATCTGGGCCATGTCTCTGGTGCGCCGCATTCAGATGCCGATGCAGGTGAGTGCGCGCCAGGCGATCTGGGCTGGTGCGCCACATTCACATGCCGATGCAGGTGAGTGCGCGCCAAGCGATCTGGGCTGGTACGCCACATTCAGATGCCGATGCAGGTGAGTGCGCACCAGGCGATCTGGGCTGGTGCGCCGCATTCACATGCCGATGCAGGTGAGTGCGCGCCAGGCGATCTGGGCTGGTGCGCCGCATTCACATGCCGATGCAGGTGAGTGCGCGCCAGGCGATCTGGGCTGGTGCGCCACATTCAGATGCCGATGCAGGTGAGTGCGCGCCAGGCGATCTGGGCTGGTGCGCCGCATTCAGATGCCGATGCAGGTGAGTGCGCGCCGCCCGTCCACTCCGGACTGCGCCACTGACTCCGCTACGGCCTGTGGCCGCGCCGTGCTCGTCAACAGCCGCATCAGCTGCTTCATCGTAGTCGGGCAGGCTCGTTGGGTGCAGTTCACGGGAGGATTGAGACGAAGCATTAGTAGCACGGATGGAATAACTTCTGACTATCGTCCTTGTCTGGTGTGTTCATGTTTACAAATCGTTTCGGTCAGCTAACTTTCCGGCTAGATGTAGCCATGAAAGAACGAGTACCCATCAAGGAGGTCAAAAATGACATGATACTCCTAGCTGATAAAGGTAACGCCACAGTAGTCATGGACAAATAGGGATGCACTCGTTTGGTGAACAACCTGGCGAGTGATGGAACGTGCAGTTACCAAAGAAAGATCTAACATAAGCCGCCAAACGAATGCTGACCAAGCCCCTGAATAGAGAACAAGGCCGAAGGAAACATGACAGAATCTCGATACAGACGAATAAAACGCCAGCACAGAAAACACATACACACATTATATATATATATATATATATATATATATATATATATATATATCCGTGTGTGTGTGCGTGCGTGCGTGCGTGCGTGCGTGCGTGTGTGTGTGTGTGTTGTAACGGCCACACCCATTATCCGACTTGCAACGCGGCGATGAAGCAGCTCCTGGCATATGCGTGCAGACATAGCGGCTCTAGCGCTACGCAAAGCTGCATTCGTCCCAAGGATGTTCATGCATCATTGTGCCGGTTGCTGCAGCAGTACAACATACTATAAGCATATATAAATAACTCATTCCGCAGCCAGATAATCCCAGTGCATTTAAGCACATCATGCATCATGCCCAAGTACGGCACACTTAAGCGTAACCCAGAGCCATATGCAAACCAAATAGTGTCCTCAACGGGCTCATGTGGTGCATCGCCGGCTAATCTCGCGAGGAAAGCTCACACAAAGGAAAGTAGCAGGAGGCGAAAACGGCGCGACAGAGACAAGCGGAAAAGGATGATGAAGTGAGAGTTTAGGAAACTATACTGAAGCTGTATGTCTTGAGCCCATATATACATATATATATATATATATATATATATATATATATATATATATATATATATATAAAGGGATAAATATCACCACTGAAGATGTAAAGACCAACGTCCACTAAGATCCACCGTCAGCCGCCGGGGCTCCGCCTCCCACCCGCTGAGTCAGATCCTGGTTAAGATCGGCAGCCCTCTGCGTGGGAAGTCATCGCCGAGCGTGAAGAGCTCAGCCCAGCTCGTCTCATTAAAACAAGACGTGTGCCCAACGCCTGACACGTGAATGACCATATTCCACGTGCCTCTTCGTGGTGAGTCTGTTCACTAACATACCGCCACATGAAATGTTAACTGGGTTTCGGAATAGGCTAGAGAACGGTGCCACGCCCCTGAGCAGAACAGGCATCCCAACCAACAGCATCATGGAGCTGCTCGCGCTTTGTGCGACTACAACCCGTGTTTCACCTAAGCGAACAATGCTGTCAGCAAGCCGAGGGAATGCCTGTGAGGTCACCTCCGTCACCGGTGATCAGCCAGCACCGACGTGGAGCATTTCGAAGCGATGCCGATGGAACTGACGGCTGCGATACGACGACGCCTCTGTGCTGTGGTAGCACCAGACAGACGTAACGTTATTCATCGATCACACCAGCAGCTTGGGACCATCCATCCAGCTCACACAGAACGTGGGGACAGCAGTACGCTGCCGTTTCTAGCATGATCAGTGCGTGTATTTTTAGCATGCGGAAGGTCTCTGGCGTGATTGTGGACATTGTATCAAGAACATGCGTGATGGACTGCATGCCAGTGCATATATCTTCAAATGAAATCCGGCCAAAATATACATCATTTTGTAGGGTCGTATGCGTATATTGTGGCCTGTTTTTGATGCTTATGATGAAATGATTGGCCTGCATACGTGCTCATACCGTTCATATCGATCGCACGCATTGTTCATACCATGTCTGCGCATGCCAAAGATCCTCCGCCAGATCATGATCATGCCAGAGGTCCTCCGCATGCTAAACATAAGCAACCTTATCAAGATGTTACGCAGCAACAGGTACCCAAAAGGCTTCATAGACCAGGAGCATAACGACATGCTTGACAAGCAGGACGGCCGGAGGACAAACCAAAAGGAATGATATCGTTGTCTTAGACCAAGAGTCCGTTTGAGCGGATAAAAATAAGCTGTGGATGATACAACACCACGGTAGTCTGCAGAGGCGGCTCAACGCTCTGGAGAGGACTCACCATAGTCAGACCAACCGACATCTAAGAAACACGCGAATGGCTGCATATACGGCGTACCGTGCAGCTGCGACAGGTCCTACAAAGAAGAGAAGCCACCCTCAGTCGGTCCAGCTGTAAGAGCACAGAAAGGCAACCTGTTGGAGTGAGACTCTGTACTCTGACTCTGGTGTGGGAGAGCATGCTTGGGTCGGTGGTATGGGGTGAGATAACCATCATCGACAGAGAGCAACACTGGATAATTAGAAAGGATCAAAGAGGCAGCACACGTGACATTGGATAACATCCCTATTAGAAAACAAGCGTAGATATCAGCCCAACATGGCTCCCCAGTCTGCTGAAAATATCCGAATCCAGCAAAAAAAAAGACGCCAAGTTCTAGCACCGAAAGATTGCCCGTACTGGTTATTTCGGTTGGAATAGCACTGGAGTCGCAGTTGGAAGACCCTGGTTCAAATCCCAGCAAATCTAAGGAGAGGTTGTTCCAATTCTGGCCGTTATCCATCCATCTGACGGCGGGTAGAGAGTTAACTAGCCGAGACGTTGGACACTACTACTGAATCAACGCACCAGACGGTGACAATAGTCCGAACACCCTGCTCCTGATTCGCCCAGCTCCCAGAACCATCCGACCTGCCGCGCTTCTGCTGAAAGCACTGACCGAAACCAGCTGTCTAGCGGCGATAGGTGTGAACTGGTGAGATGGCCCGTCAGCCGGCGAACGACGCGGTCGCCGAACTTGCCGCTCAGTGAGAAACTGCTAGCAGATGTCTTGTGTGGGGCTGCTCCACCTTACTGGGACCAATATTGTCACACTGAAGACCTTGTCCTTGCCTTTAGCCACGGTTGCTCTTAAAGCTGTTGCACATAGTTCTCACATGTCACGGCCTTTGAGCTGAATCAGAAGGTCAACACTTGACCCTTCGTAATGGCGACCCAGTACAAGGCTTTCTTTCCACCCTGGGTGTGACATTCCACTTCAACTTTAGGGTTTTGTGGTGACCATTGTCTGGCATTCTGTTAGGGGTTTGCATCAAGTAGAACCACTTCTCATCAGCTCAATCATTATATCGTCGAACCTCTCACTGTTCAAGGAACCAACTGGAGGTGTTGACTGTTAACAATGTGGCTGGCAGTAAGGAGCGCGCCAGCGTGGGGGTGTAGAGATGCCACTCACCACTCCGCGGAGCACTAGCCACAGGGCTGCTAACGGATCTTATCATTGGTGCCAGTGGGATGGGCTTCATGCGCTCCAAATAAAGCTCAGAAAACTCACGCCAGCACACGACCGGCTCGTTACTGAGAGGAGGCCACCCACCACTCGTGACCTGAAGTCCATCAACTTCCGGCGCACTACAGTGACGTTCCACGTCGCAGCAGATTCCACAATATCCATGCCTTGTGCTCGGTCGTGTAAGGTGAATCTTTACGTTGTCCTCGGACGGGATACTCACAGACATTCTGGATTACCAGCAACAGACTGGTACTGATCGCGACTTTTACTTAGTAACTAAAATGTCCCACTTTGTGTGACATGTGCACACATATTCATGTGGTTTGTGTGCAATGATTGCTTTTAGCGGACATTTCAAAATGATAGTCCAATGAAAAGCCCTGCATCACATTGCTCCAGAGACAGAAGGCTGAGATCGTTAGCAACTTCCGTAAAGAGCAAAGAGCCGAGAGCTGAAAGATGGCGGTGCAAGTCGTCGTCTCCAGTGGGTGATATGAGCGCTGTGGTTGTGGTCGTGAGTGTGGTCCAGCGTCGGTAACGCAACACCGTCATCGTGTTCCACAGGCGATCCAGTCGGCGCCGTGGCTGCCCAAGATCGGCATCGGCGACGAGACGAAGGAGCAGCACCGTCAGCTGAGTCTGGCCGCAGCCGATGTCATCACCAAGACGCACGCCGACTGGTCGAGCTCAGTTGAGCCGTGCCCGCTGCAGCGGCTGGACCAGCCGCTGCTCACCAAGAGTCTGGAGCGCGCTGGCTGCATTGAGCCCAACTTCGACCGGTCAGCACTGCGCTGCCAGGAGGCGCACCACTGTGTGGACGGCGCGATAACTGATCACCCTGCTAGCTGCAAAGCAACGATTTCGAAGTTTAAGAGTACGCTTGGGCGCAAAGTGACCCTAGAAGTCGACGCGCCATAAAACCCCAATCATCATCATCATCATCTTAAGAGTACGCTACACGTTGCGACGTGTGTTTTCCTGAATGTGTGCTGTCGCAGTGCATGACCGGTTTCGACCCAGAGACTGGGACGCTTATTGGCTGTGACGTCATAGTCAGGTGCGTTTCAGGTCATCTTCTGAAGACCCCTCGCATCACAAATGCCGTGCTTACAGAAGGCAGCCGGCCCGGTCGCGCTGTTGCAGACTGATGTGGTCGGCGGCTGATGGTACCTGGTGCCACCAGGTACCTGCTCAAGCTGTTCCAGGAGGTGTTCTATTGGGAGCGGCTCAACATGGAGATTCCGCCGCAGTGTCATGACGTCTTCCGGCGTCGCGAAGAGATGCGCCACCTGCGCGAGGCCGTCGGGCTGCTCTGCCGCGACTTCAACCACATCGTCGCTTGTGAGTTGCTGCGCCCAGCTTTCTGCTGAGCAAGTCATGTCCCGAAGTCCGCGCCATTCGTTCATGGGGGGGACTTTCCGCAGAAGGAGACGAGGACAGGGACGGAGACAAGGACGGAGACAAGGACGGAGACAAGGACGGAGGCAGATACGGAGACAGAGACGGAGACGGATGATTACGCATACAGTTACCCTCCAGCAGCTCTGTGCCATTCAGCCAACTCAACGCACTCTTTTTGGCTCTTCCAGCGCTGTCGCAAGATGAGAGACTACTTTTTCGTGATCGCATCAGCTTCCTGAGCCGAAAGCTGGCGCCAGGCTTCAGCAAGCTGCTGTGGACCGGCAAGGGTGCGGCGGAGGCCTTTATTAAAGAGTCCCGGCAAGGCGCGGCCAAGGTAAAACATGTCGCTCACACGCACGTCCTCCCACTCAATCACCGAGCCGCATCCACACCCTCAACCACAGCCAGCCGTCCAGCATGCGTACTCACGCCAACGCCACCTGACAACCGCGCCCACAACCCGCCTCACCCCTAGACTTACACCCACACCTACACTCTTACGCACATACACATCCACGACCGCGCCGACGCTTACGTACACGCACACGCACACATGCACCCACACTCATGCACACACGCACACGCGTACACGAGCACGCATACGGACATGCACATGCACTCACGCACGCGTCTATCTACTTACGCACGCGCACACGTACCTAAGCGTCTCCCCTTGGATACGCTACGTGCACACCTACTTACACATACGCGTGCACGTCCTTCGCATACGCTTGCACGTACTTCGCTCACGTTTACGCAAACGATTATACGTACTTACACGTACTTACGCGTACGACATGACAGTACGTGACAGTGTGGTGGTGTACACGTGCGTTTACGCAAACGCGTATGCGTCCTTACACGTGCTTACGCGTAAGTACGTGTACGCGTATACGTATGCGCGTACGCGTACACCACCACACTGTCGCGTCCTGTCTTGTCGTACGCGATACGACAGTGCGCGTGGTGGTGTCCGCGTGCGTTTACGCAAACGCGTATGCGTCCCTACACGTACTTACGCGTAAGTACGTGTACGCGTATGCGTAGACGTACGTGTACGCGTACACCACCACATTATCACACACGCTGCCACACCCATACGTACACACCCACACACCCACACCCACGCATCCACACACCCACACCCACACACCCACCTACACCCACACCCACACCCACACCCACACCCACACCCACACCCACACCCACACCCACACCCACACCCACACCCACAACCACAACCACTCCCACACGCACACACGCACACGCGCACGCACACAGGACACTACAAACACAGGACACGCGCACGCACACAGCACCCTGATGTGCCTGCGCGGCTTGGCGTGAGACGAAGCTTCTAACGGCAGGCGATCGCCTCGTCCTCAGGTGCAGCGCATCGTCGACCACTACAAACTAGCCAACCGGCAGATCATGGAGAAGTGCATGGCGGTGGCGGAGTCCTGGCTCGTCGACATCGACACCAACCGCGTGTACACCTTCACGGAGCTTCAGGAGACGCAGGCGGAGCACAGGTGATGGACGCATTTGCTAGTGCTGCCGACCCATGATGTCTTAGTCTGTAAATCAGGGCATGGTCGGTGTGTTGGTTGAGCCGTTGATGCAGGCTTGGCCGTAGGGAAACGAAGTACTGCAACGCGAGTCGTAATGTTGGTCACACGTATTTTTTTCAGGAAGAAGACCTTGGAGCTACTTAAACAGGTGCAACAGGAGATCATAGAGATTCTTAGCACAATGTTCGAGTACTTCAAGAACGACTCGCAAACCGTAAGATATTTGATGGAGACAGCCTACCGACGTCCTGCGAGTTAGCTGCTACGCCAGGTGCAATGATTGACGGCCAAATGCCAACACAAAATATAGCTGCTTACATTTTATGTCCGCAACGTAGAGGGGTACATAGCACGGGAACGCAAGTGCCCAGTACCCAGCATAATACCACCGCGATGCTGTCAGGATCCGATCTCCAGCGGCATTGCGCCACACCTGTCAGCAACACGGCGCGAGCTTGTTTGCACATGTGCCATAAGTTCTTGCCAGAGGTCCACGTGCACCTTTCTCAGCTTCCTGTTGATCTCCCATTTGTTTCACTTGTCTCCTGACTTCCACCTCGTACATGGAAACCTTGAGCGGTATCCAGCTCGTCGAGATAATCCACGCGTGTCCGCCCAGGTCATCCAGCATTGGGGCAAGTACCTGGGACGTATCAGCCTGGCCCTACTGGAATCGATCCGGCACAACGTGCAGAAGTCTCTGACAGCGCTCAGCAAGATAATCAACGTGGACAGCAAGTCGGGGTCGGTGGCGCTCCTCAGCGTCAAGGTTCTGCTGGTGGAGAACAAGGTCGGTCTGGAGGCCGCCTGGGTCCCCATTACCCGGCGGGGCTTCTGCAGATCGGGCCCGACGGCGGCGCAGGCGCTGTGTCACTTCGGTTTTGATTTCGTCGTCATATTCGTATCTGCCATGCTCGTGAGCATTGTAGCCCACCTCTCGTCTGGGGTTTTAACAGCTATGGTAGGATGCTTCACACTTAATAAGTGGGACTGACGTGAAAAACCAACATGTTCAATTGATTCCTCAAATGATACGAAATGCGCAACGATCGGGGCAGATTGGGCTGAGCTTGCACGCGTAGAATGCGTAATTGTCACTTGTTACAGTCATTTTTGTTGAACACGAGTTTGCAGCTTCCAGGAAAAAAGCCACCAACAGCTCATTCTCCCAATCAACATCTTGCGGCTTAAGGAAACTGCATGAACACATTTAGTTTAAGTTAGCGCAAATTTGAAATTGCCAATAAGGCAATGGCTTCCAGTATTAGCGTACTGCCAATATTTGGGGTACGCTAGTATTGGCTTCCAATATTAGCGTACCCCGGATATTTAGCGTGTATATATATCTTGTTTTAAATATCAACCACGCATGTTTAGATGACGATCACAAAGTGTGACGCCTTTTCTTTCACGTAATCGCAATGAGGAAGAAATGGAGCTGTAGCTCAGCTTATCCCACCGATGTAACCATACTTCCAATGTTAATAGGTTCATTTCTGTTTTAATGCCGTTTTTTGGAAGTCAGCACACAAAATGGTCCATTTTGCCCAAGAATTCCATGGGCCGGGACCCGCCTAGCCCAGCGATGATTGCAGGAAACTGTCCCACGGCACCGATGCAGAATGTAGCGTGCCTATTTATACGGCGCGACCGGCCGCAGTTGCATAATACTGCAGAATCTCAACATGGGAAACAGCCGGTGTAAGGCAGCAGACATGTCGATGCATACAGGGCCTATAAATACAGCACCTTATCACGCATACGGAATAACAGATGCCTCCCTTCACTGAACTCGGACACCTCAAGGTACTCAGGCGCTTGGCTAAATGTTTTTAGTGGGGTGGTAGGAACCCTCACGATACGAAAGGAGGTAACCGGGCAGACCCTTGGGCATTGCTACTCTTACAAATCGCTTGGAAGGGGAAGGGGTAGGCACTTGGCGGAGGGATCTGTTTGCTTGGTGCCTTGGTAACACATCCAGATTTGATTGATTCAAACGGCGGTTCGTAGTGCGGGCAGTTTCATTCAGTGTAAGTGCATTTTGATCTGGAGGCCGGTAATAACATCACAGATTATGTCCTGTAAAATGGTCGCTATAGTATGGATAGTTTGTCACGGCTCACACATTAATCAGCACACAATAACAATATGTTGAGCCTGCAGATCACCAGTCCAACGTCCAACACAGTGGGAAGCACAATGCGCATGAATAAAAGTGCACAGCTGACGCACACGCGGTACGCATATTTTGCACGATATCCTACCCTGACATGCGCAGCTCCGTTTATTTTAGCTTGCTTGTATGTTGGTTCGAACTCGGCCAGCTTTTCAATCAAGGGCTTTCTCGGAATGCAGTGACTTTTTACGGTATCACATTGGTGGCAATTCGTCTGGGGATTATTGCAATTGATGCCTCCCCCTCCCTGCACACAACCGTGGGCGCGTACCACCGAGCGACCGCTACAGGCAGGCCGTATAAGGATGCGAGTCAACGTCAGTCGAAATACAACGTGCAGCAAGCTGGTTAAACACTCATGTTCCGTGCTAGCGGACGGCCGCGTTTTTGCTGTTGTAAAATGGTACGTGCGCTCAAACATGAAGTGTTGTGAAGGCTTACTGCCATACCCGTGTTTCATACTGGGAACGTGGTGTTGCCAAATGACCGGCTTGACGACTATTGACGTGCTGGGTGAGCTCTATACCGACTGGCGCACAAGCGTCCCCATTTGGGCCGCGGCAGTGCTGGAGTATGCTGTGCGGCAGATCGAGCTGGAGCCCAGCGTGGCGGAAATGGCCGAGCTGTTCTGCTCGTACATCCAGCTGATCGCCGCCGAGTTTGAGTCGTGGCAGCACATCCCTGGGATGCTGGGCCACGAGGACCGCAACCCGCCGCAGGCGACCAACTCCATCATCATGACTGACGAGGACGCCAACAAGGTCCAGATGGCCATCAACAACGGTGCGTGTCATGCCAGCCCCGCGGCGCCGACCGCCGTCAGCCGCTGCACTCATTGTTGGCGGGCGTGTTGAGCACATTGTCTTCTGCTGGTTGGCTGACATCCAGGTTTGTCTCATAGCGTGGCATTGACAGTCTGGAGGTTCACTGCGAAGCTGGCATATTGCCGGCCTGCTTCCGCGTCATTGAACGTGGCCTGGCGTTTCCTAAGGGGATGCGTCAGATATCTGGGATGAATTTCGGTTATTATGGGCTGACTGTGATGCATGTTTGGTGAGTTAGAAATTCTTTCCCACGCAATAATTGACCAATGAAATAGGTATACAACTTGGATCTGACTTATCCTGAAAATAACAAATTGAGACGAGCAGTGGCACAGGAAAAATGTTATTGCAGTGTACGCGGTCCCCGGGAGCCTCGGTTGTCGACTAAGTGCCGTAGTTCTCATCTTCACACGGGTTGGGCTCGCCAGGCATGGCCGTGGCTGCTGTCCAGCTGCAAAATTACCTGAAGACCTGGGACACGTTCCGCGACATATGGGAGATGGACAAAGACCTGTTCATCAAGCGCTACCATCGCATGAACCCGACTGTAGCGGCCTTCGATAGCGATATCGCCAGGTCAGTGCCTGCCAACAGCAACCGGCGGGCCCGGTAACCGAGAGCACCCCGATACCCCCAGCGCGTGTGTAATTGTACACAAAGAGGCTACCGGCGTACATTAACTTTAATTTTCTTATCATCTTTGAACTCATCTGACCCGTGAAATGCTTCGTTCAGAAGAGCTTAATGACGCAGCTCCAATGCAGCTCTAACGAGCTACCCAATCTCATACACCACTTTTGTTCAAGTAAAGCCCACTTGTCCTGCAGCCTTGTTCGTACTTTTTGTCTTGGGTATCATTACATTGACATGGCAGCACATTTTATACATCATTTTCATGCGATCTCATTTTCACCCGTGTGTGTTATAATTTGTATCGGTCTTCGTAACCTTCGTTCTCATTGGGTGGCACAGGTACTCTGAGGTGGCGAACAATGTGCAGATGCAGGACACGATCGTGGGCAGTCAGTTTACGCTGCTGGACTGCGCCGGTCTGAAGCACGCCATCGTGTGTCACTGCACCGAGTGGCAGGAGAAGCTGACGGAGCTGCTGCGGCAGATCGCTTCCGACAGACTGGTCGAGGTGCATCAGTACATCGTCGACAATACCGCCGGGTGAGGACAGGTGCATCAGTACATCATCGACAACACCGCCGGGTGAGGACAGGTGCATCAGTGCATCGTCGACAACACCGCCGGGTGAGGACAGGTGCATCAGTACATCGTCGACAGCACCGCCGGGTGAGGACAGACGCATCAGTACATCGCCGACAACACCGCCGGGTGAGGACAGACGCATCAGTACATCGTCGACAGCACCGCCGGGTGAGGACAGGCGCATCAGTACGTCATCGGCAATGCTGCTGAGTAAAGGCGGGTATGCAGATGTCAGCGGACTGTTGAGATGACCGGGACGGCGCTGGCTGTAGTGAGTCCTGAGGCCGCGTCTGTGACACGGACTGTTGAGATGACCGGGACGGCGCTGGCTGTAGTGAGTCCTGAGGCCGCGTCTGTGACACGGACTGTTGAGATGACCGGGACGGCGCTGGCTGTAGTGAGTCCTGAGGCCGCGTCTGTGACACGGACTGTTGAGATGACCGGGACGGCGCTGGCTGTAGTGAGTCCTGAGGCCGCGTCTGTGACACGGACTGTTGAGATGACCGGGACGGCGCTGGCTGTAGTGAGTCCTGAGGCCGCGTCTGTGACACGGACTGTTGAGATGACCGGGACGGCGCTGGCTGTAGTGAGTCCTGAGGCCGCGTCTGTGACACGGACTGTTGAGATGACCGGGACGGCGCTGGCTGTAGTGAGTCCTGAGGGCGCGTCCGTGACACGGACTGTTGAGATGACCGGGACGGCGCTGGCTGTAGTAAGTCCTGAGGCCGCGTCTGTGACACGGACTGTTGAGATGACCGGGACGGCGCTGGCTGTAGTGAGTCCTGAGGGCGCGTCCGTGACACGGACTGTTGAGATGACCGGGACGGCGCTGGCTGTAGTAAGTCCTGGCTCTGGCTGTAGTGAGTCCTGAGGGCGCGCCCGTGACACGGACTGTTGAGATGACCGGGACGGCTCTGGCTGTAGTGAGTCCTGAGGGCGCGCCCGTGACACGGACTGTTGAGATGACCGGGACGGCTCTGGCTGTAGTGAGTCCTGAGGCCGCGTCTGTGACACGGACTGTTGAGATGACCGGGACGGCTCTGGCTGTAGTGAGTCCTGAGGCCGCGTCCGTGACACGGACTGTTGAGATGACCGGGACGGCTCTGGCTGTAGTGAGTCCTGAGGGCGCGCCCGTGACACGGACTGTTGAGATGACCGGGACGGCTCTGGCTGTAGTGAGTCCTGAGGCCGCGTCTGTGACACGGACTGTTGAGATGACCGGGACGGCTCTGGCTGTAGTAAGTCCTGAGGCCGCGTCTGTGACACGGACTGTTGAGATGACCGGGACGGCTCTGGCTGTAGTGAGTCCTGAGGGCGCGTCCGTGACACGGACTGTTGAGATGACCGGGACGGCGCTGGCTGTAGTGAGTCCTGAGGCCGCGTCTGTGACACGGACTGTTGAGATGACCGGGACGGCGCTGGCTGTAGTGAGTCCTGAGGCCGCGTCTGTGACACGGACTGTTGAGATGACCGGGACGGCTCTGGCTGTAGTGAGTCCTGAGGCCGCGTCCGTGACACGGACTGTTGAGATGACCGGGACGGCTCTGGCTGTAGTGAGTCCTGAGGGCGCGTCTGTGACACGGACTGTTGAGATGACCGGGACGGCTCTGGCTGTAGTGAGTCCTGAGGGCGCGTCTGTGACACGGACTGTTGAGATGACCGGGACGGCTCTGGCTGTAGTAAGTCCTGAGGCCGCGTCTGTGACACGGACTGTTGAGATGACCGGGACGGCTCTGGCTGTAGTGAGTCCTGAGGGCGCGTCCGTGACACGGACTGTTGAGATGACCGGGACGGCGCTGGCTGTAGTGAGTCCTGAGGCCGCGTCTGTGACACGGACTGTTGAGATGACCGGGACGGCGCTGGCTGTAGTGAGTCCTGAGGCCGCGTCTGTGACACGGACTGTTGAGATGACCGGGACGGCTCTGGCTGTAGTGAGTCCTGAGGCCGCGTCCGTGACACGGACTGTTGAGATGACCGGGACGGCGCTGGCTGTAGTGAGTCCTGAGGCCGCGTCTGTGACACGGACTGTTGAGATGACCGGGACGGCGCTGGCTGTAGTGAGTCCTGAGGCCGCGTCTGTGACACGGACTGTTGAGATGACCGGGACGGCTCTGGCTGTAGTGAGTCCTGAGGGCGCTCCCGTGACACGGACTGTTGAGATGACCGGGACGGCGCTGGCTGTAGTAAGTCCTGAGGGCGCGACCGTGACACGGACTGTTGAGATGACCGGGACGGCGCTGGCTGTAGTAAGTCCTGAGGGCGCGACCGTGACACGGACTGTTGAGATGACCGGGACGGCTCTGGCTGTAGTGAGTCCTGAGGGCGCTCCCGTGACACGGACTGTTGAGATGACCGGGACGGCGCTGGCTGTAGTGAGTCCTGAGGGCGCTCCCGTGACACGGACTGTTGAGATGACCGGGACGGCGCTGGCTGTAGTGAGTCCTGAGGCCGCGTCTGTGACACGGACTGTTGAGATGACCGGGACGGCGCTGGCTGTAGTAAGTCCTGAGGCCGCGTCTGTGACACGGACTGTTGAGATGACCGGGACGGCTCTGGCTGTAGTGAGTCCTGAGGGCGCTCCCGTGACACGGACTGTTGAGATGACCGGGACGGCGCTGGCTGTAGTGAGTCCTGAGGCCGCGTCTGTGACACGGACTGTTGAGATGACCGGGACGGCTCTGGCTGTAGTGAGTCCTGAGGCCGCGTCCGTGACACGGACTGTTGAGATGACCGGGACGGCGCTGGCTGTAGTGAGTCCTGAGGCCGCGTCTGTGACACGGACTGTTGAGATGACCGGGACGGCTCTGGCTGTAGTGAGTCCTGAGGCCGCGTCCGTGACACGGACTGTTGAGATGACCGGGACGGCGCTGGCTGTAGTGAGTCCTGAGGCCGCGTCCGTGACACGGACTGTTGAGATGACCGGGACGGCGCTGGCTGTAGTGAGTCCTGAGGCCGCGTCTGTGACACGGACTGTTGAGATGACCGGGACGGCTCTGGCTGTAGTGAGTCCTGAGGCCGCGTCCGTGACACGGACTGTTGAGATGACCGGGACGGCGCTGGCTGTAGTGAGTCCTGAGGCCGCGTCTGTGACACGGACTGTTGAGATGACCGGGACGGCTCTGGCTGTAGTGAGTCCTGAGGCCGCGTCCGTGACACGGACTGTTGAGATGACCGGGACGGCTCTGGCTGTAGTGAGTCCTGAGGGCGCGACCGTGACACGGATTGTTGAGATGACCGGGACGGCGCTGGCTGTAGTGAGTCCTGAGGCCGCGTCTGTGACACGGACTGTTGAGATGACCGGGACGGCGCTGGCTGTAGTGAGTCCTGAGGCCGCGTCTGTGACACGGACTGTTGAGATGGCCGGGATGGCGCTGGCTGTAGTGAGTCCTGAGGGCGCGACCGTGACACGGATTGTTGAGATGACCGGGACGGCGCTGGCTGTAGTGAGTCCTGAGGCCGCGTCTGTGACACGGACTGTTGAGATGACCGGGACGGCGCTGGCTGTAGTGAGTCCTGAGGGCGCGACCGTGACACGGATTGTTGAGATGACCGGGACGGCGCTGGCTGTAGTGAGTCCTGAGGCCGCGTCTGTGACACGGACTGTTGAGATGACCGGGACGGCGCTGGCTGTAGTGAGTCCTGAGGCCGCGTCTGTGACACGGACTGTTGAGATGGCCGGGACGGCGCTGGCTGTAGTGAGTCCTGAGGGCGCGACCGTGACACGGATTGTTGAGATGACCGGGACGGCGCTGGCCGTAGTGAGTCCTGAGGCCGCGTCTGTGACACGGACTGTTGAGATGACCGGGACGGCGCTGGCTGTAGTGAGTCCTGAGGGCGCGACCGTGACACGGATTGTTGAGATGACCGGGACGGCGCTGGCTGTAGTGAGTCCTGAGGCCGCGTCTGTGACACGGACTGTTGAGATGACCGGGACGGCGCTGGCTGTAGTGAGTCCTGAGGCCGCGTCTGTGACACGGACTGTTGAGATGGCCGGGACGGCGCTGGCTGTAGTGAGTCCTGAGGGCGCGACCGTGACACGGATTGTTGAGATGACCGGGACGGCGCTGGCTGTAGTGAGTCCTGAGGCCGCGTCTGTGACACGGACTGTTGAGATGACCGGGACGGCGCTGGCTGTAGTGAGTCCTGAGGGCGCGACCGTGACACGGATTGTTGAGATGGCCGGGACGGCGCTGGCTGTAGTGAGTCCTGAGGCCGCGTCTGTGACACGGACTGTTGAGATGACCGGGACGGCGCTGGCTGTAGTGAGTCCTGAGGCCGCGTCTGTGACACGGACTGTTGAGATGACCGGGACGGCGCTGGCTGTAATAAGTCCTGAGGCCGCGTCTGTGACACGGACTGTTGAGATGACAGGGACGGCGCTGGCTGTAGTAAGTCCTGAGGCCGCGTCTGTGACACGGACTGTTGAGATGACCGGGACGGCGCTGGCTGTAGTGAGTCCTGAGGGCGCGTCCGTGAAACGGACTGTTGAGATGACAGGGACGGCGCTGGCTGTAGTAAGTCCTGAGGCCGCGTCTGTGACACGGACTGTTGAGATGACCGGGACGGCGCTTGCTGTAGTGAGTCCTGAGGGCGCGACCGTGACACGGATTGTTGAGATGGCCGGGACGGCGCTGGCTGTAGTGAGTCCTGAGGGCGCGTCCGTGACACGGACTGTTGAGATGGCCGGGACGGCGCTGGCTGTAGTAAGTCCTGAGGCCGCGTCTGTGACACGGACTGTTGAGATGACCGGGACGGCGCTGGCTGTAGTGAGTCCTGAGGGCGCGACCGTGACACGGATTGTTGAGATGGCCGGGACGGCGCTGGCTGTAGTGAGTCCTGAGGGCGCGTCCGTGACACGGACTGTTGAGATGGCCGGGACGGCTCTGGCTGTAGTGAGTCCTGAGGGCGCGTCCGTGACACGGACTGTTGAGATGACCGGGGCGGCTCTGGCTGTAGTGAGTCCTGAGGGCGCGACCGTGACACGGATTGTTGAGATGGCCGGGACGGCTCTGGCTGTAGTAAGTCCTGAGGCCGCGTCTGTGACACGGATTGTTGAGATGGCCGGGACGGCGCTGGCTGTAGTAAGTCCTGAGGGCGCGTCCGTGACACGGATTGTTGAGATGGCCGGGACGGCGCTGGCTGTAGTGAGTCCTGAGGGCGCGCCCGTGACACGGACTGTTGAGATGACCGGGACGGCGCTGGCTGTAGTGAGTCCTGAGGGCGCGCCCGTGACACGGACTGTTGAGATGACAGGGACGGCTCTGGCTGTAGTGAGTCCTGAGGCCGTGTCTGTGACACGGACTGTTGAGATGGCCGGGACGGCGCTGGCTGTGGTGAGTCCTGAGGGCGCGCCCGTGACACGGACTGTTGAGATGACCGGGACGGCGCTGGCTGTAGTGAGTCCTGAGGGCGCGCCCGTGACACGGACTGTTGAGATGACAGGGACGGCTCTAGCTGTAGTAAGTCCTGAGGCCGCGTCCGTGACACGGATTGTTGAGATGACCGGAACGGCTCTGGCTGTAGTGAGTCCTGAGGGCGCGTCCGTGACACGGACTGTTGAGATGACCCGGACGGCTCTGGCTGTAGTGAGTCCTGAGGGCGCGCCGTGACACGGACTGTTGAGATGACAGGGACGGCTCTAGCTGTAGTGAGTCCTGAGGGCGCGTCCGTGACGCCCCCGGTCCCTGGGCGACGCTGACATCCCTCGCTCTTTCGGCCAGGATGAAGTACGTACCGCAGAGCCTAGTGGAGCTGCAGGAGAGTATCAACCTGCACGAGCGACTGCTGCACGAGCGGCCTGAACTGGAGAAGACGTTCCCCACCACGGAGGAACAGTTTGTTGTTCTTGGTACGCGCGCCCAGCCCTGTCGGGCTGTCGAGGATCGTCCATGATGTTAAGGGCTGCTTTTGCGATGACTGAAAACATCGTTTCCTTTATGGGTGTCACTTCCTTTTAATACTTTTCCGAAAACCGAGTATCATCTGATTATTGTATAATCGGAGCTTTTTACGCAATATTGGGAAACTATCTTAAGGAATACCCACCATGCTCACATTACCAGCTTGATGTCCTGTTGTATGTAATTGCACCGGCAAATGTACATTTGTCGTCATAACGTTGAGCACGTATACTTGTGAAGGTGTGACTTTACAGAAGAATCCCATATTGTAAATAGAACCAAGTTTTGAGATATAAATACCAACCGGGGTTCGAAGCGCAGGTAGCGATTTTCTTTTGATATTTTACGGTATTATGACCAGTGTGAATGGCGACATGGCACGGTCGTATTGCTGATAAATCGCATTGTTCATCTGATAAACACTATACATCAGCAAATGTATTATCTTTACAAATTCGTCCACTCAAAAGGTGTTGATTAATCTAATTAGTTGCGTTACAGTAGCATTTGAATCACGGCAATGATGGCTGATGACTTGACTGGATGTTGTGATATGCTGCAGACAAGTACGAGGTAGCCGTAGATGAGGCAGTGCTGGAGGACCTACGACGCCTGCCGCCAGTCTGGGAGGCCTACTGTGACCTGCTCCTCGAGACCGCCGACACGTTGGAGCAGCACAAGGACAGGTTCCGGACAGGTGCGCGGACGGCCACGCTGCCGTGACAACTTTACGTCTTACATTATAGTATGCCCATTGAAGTGCATGTTTCACATTACTCATACCGGCATAGAAGCCAAAACCAACATCCAGCCACACACCAGCAGGGTATTGCTGGTTTTATGTTGTTGCGGTGGGCGGCCCGAACCGGACCCTAATCCCCTGTTCCATTCAAATGAACAGCCCGGGCTGAACGGCCGTGGGCCCGAGCCAGGTTTGTTTAGTGTCTGGTCAGTCCGTGGCGAATATCCCCGCACGTCTTAGGCATAGCAGACTTATCCGATCTTCCTTCAATATAACGGTCCTTGGAAAGGGAACTGTGTAAGACCACAATAGCACGCAATGCGCCGTTGCGTAATGTTGCAGCACGCCTCGCCCTACGAAGAACAGTAACGCCGATTGAGCACCGTTCCTTGAGGGTGTCTGTTAGTGATCTGGTAACATCTCTTCTCTTTTGACAGGTCTTCTGGCCGACGCTAATGATCTGAAGAAGAACATATCCAATTTCATTGCTGAGTTCAAGCAGAAGGGTCCGTTTACAGACGCGTGGGAGGTCCCTGGTGAGTGCTGAAGGCGTACAGACGCCACAGCATATGATCAGATGCCATAATTGCTTAGAAGTGCTGTCATCAACGATGTTGTTTCTTCGATGCTGCGTAGCTCCATCATTTACCAATGGCAGAGCAAGCCTTTTACTGGAAATATGGGATTTTCTGTCTACTTAGAACAATCTCGTGCGGTGTCTACAATCGGCAGCCTGTGCAAGTCGAACCGAATGAGGCGTCGAGGCCCAACTGGCATACGATGCAAGTGCGCACGTGGTGGTGAGCGGGGACTGATCAGGTCAATCCCGTACAGTCAGGGATGTGTGTGTGCTCATGAGGCACGATCACATTCTTACACGCGTGTTCTCGGCCCGTAATTAAGGATGTCGACTTAAGACAAGTTCCTTAGATTTTAGGCGAAAGTTGGTGCCATAACGTGATGGTGGGGCTAACCTGTTTCTGACCATTGTAGCTTGACAAGATCGAGTGTGCACGGGTTATAGCCTCGAGCATGTCTGTGAAATCGCAGAACGCCCTGTAGCACATGAGTCATACATCGCGAAACTTGACAAAAATTGTTCACTATCTGCTTCTAATGTTTACTTTCTCTATTCGCACTAACACCAGTGGAATTGCCTCGTTACCTAGTGTCACATATGTAGAGCCATAGTACTATGCAAATACTTCACTTGACCATCCATAGGTTGGATTACGACATCTAGTTAAGAACGGAGCAATGACAAAACATTTATATTTTGACTGAAGTACTCATACATGACGACTGAATCAGCTTTTTCATCCATTTTCCTCTTCAGCGATGCGCCAGACGCGAATGCGATGGAACGTTTGTACTTTTTGCAAAATGTCTGTTTATTGCTCGACGTTTGAAGGAGAAGCTCCGAAGCCCACCGCCCTGAGGCTTTGCTGGGCTGATTTTCAATGGCTTTGAGCACGGTGCTGCAATTGTGGTTACCTAAATTGATATCGTTTCATACATGATGTGAGGATTTGAACAGCCGCGGCCACTGGTGGCGCCGTCACCGCCACGGCTCCCACCTAATGTTACCACCACGGTGGCTTCCACAGCCGCGGCCACTGGTGGCGCCGTCACCGCCACGGCTCCCACCTAATGTTACCACCACGGTGGCTACCACAGCCGTGGCCACCGACAGCGCTGTCACCGCCACGGTCCGCACCCACTGTCACCACCAGGGCGGTTACCACAGCGGCGGCCACCGACAGCGCTATCACCGCCACGGCCCCCACCCGCCGTCTCCACCGTGTCAGCTATGGCGCTGATTTTCGGTGTGATTTTAATCCAAAATATGGTCCATACCGTAGTGCGTGCAAGCATAGCATAAACCTAACCTCAGTGGCAGGGGCTGTCACCCAAACAAGAAAATAGCTCAAAACGTCATAGATTTGAAGACAAAAAATGGAAACAAAAAATGCAGAAGGTAGATAGACAGTGCGTGTCGCGGCCGAATGTTTCCCCTTCGTCTGTGGTAGTCGGGACGACCAGACCCAGTGACGCAAGCAGCCGTGATTTGCGGGTGGGGCACGACCAGGATTTAAATATCATTCAGTATCACTCACCCCACCCGTGAATGCTATGTGTGGTATATAAAGCAGCACAGAGCATGAGCCATTGAGCTAATTGGCGCCCAGCGACTCCTTGACGGTAGCTACAGCACCAGTGCATCCCGCACCAGCCGGGGCAGGGAAAGCCCAGGAAAGCCAGCTCTTGTGACACCCAGGTGGGGAAGGCCGGCCCAGGGGGCATGCCCTGCCGGTCGTCGCCCACTGGTGCGTGTTGTCACGCTAACGTGGCTTCGCGTGTCCCCAGCCGCCCGAGAGAGCATTGCCGAGTATGGCGCTCAGTCAGACGTGTTCAAGGAAAAGGACTTGGAGATCAAGGCCGGCCTTAAGATCTTCAACATCGAGCACGCACTCTCCAAAGATCTGAAGCGATTCGACTTGGTAACGCAAACGTCACTGTTGGCGTGTTGACATGCATGCGTGCCTGGGAGGAGGCTTCTGCGTGTGTGCGCGTGCATTTGTGCATGTGTGCGTGTATGCGCGTACGTGCGTGCGTATTTGTGTTGGAACTGTAACTGTAAGGCTGAGGGCTGCTGGGGACGTTGACTCGGGTCAGTCACTGCCAAATGACGGGACGCTGTCTTGCCACAGTTTCGCCGCACCAATAAAGCGCGTTCGGTCATCCTCGCCACTGAACAGTCTTTGACGGCTGTGAGGTGGCCCTTGTATTGTGTGATGATCTTGTCGCGTTTTAGTGGTGAGTTGGCTCTGTAGCTTTCATGCTTGCAGACAATGGCAGTGTTGCTGTGCTGTGCTGCGAACGATTGCTGTATACTCTGAGCCGCTCCTTCGTAGTTAATCATCAGCGTGTGAGCAGCGCTTCGCGGTGCTGGCATGTCCCGCTCCGTTCCTCTGTCCCTGCGATGGCGGGCTACAGTCGGCGCGGGCCCAGTGGTCACAGGTGGTGTGACGGCGAAGCCGTGGTCTGCTGGCAGGACCTGGAAGCGATAGACTCCGTGTGGGCGCTGACCGCCGAGTGGGAGCAGTCCTGGAGCCAGTGGAAGCTGCTGAAGTTCCAGGAGCTCGACACCATTGAGCTGGATTCCCAGGTGCGGTCCGGCACTACACTGTCCGACGAGAACAGAACCTGGCCAAGCGGCGCCCACTGTACTGGGAGAGGGGTTGGAGCGATCGTGGTCCTGAGTTGAAACATGGCTGGCTGCCATGTTTCACTGACCTCGACCTATCAATGTTAGGCGGTGGGGTTTTTAACACCAGTAATGGCGTTTTGGCCCCGGGCAATTAAGCGTTATCGTCGTACCCAAAGATCCATTTGCACTGAAATGAGGAAACGCACATTGCCATATTAAAGTGGTTGCATCACAATGAAATGCATATTAAGGTGCTTGCAATAGGACGTCTGGGGCACACCTGACACCGAACTAAAGTTTGATGTTGTTTGACCCTTTATGGCACAAAGTTCAGACCTTGGGACCTCAATGTCACACAGTTGAATTCACATCAAAGCCTCCTTTCACTGTGAATTCGATGCCTGGCATTTGCAGTCTGAGATCTCAGGGGGGGGGGGGGGGGGGGGGCACATTGACCACCACCCGAGTGCGTCGCTCGGAGCCGGCGATCTGGGCGCCCGTTAATACATAAAAACTTCTAACTGAACTGAACCGCCGCGCGAAAAGAATACTTGTGTGTGGCACAGACGTTGTGCGAGTGCATCAATGCCTCGGGGTCATGCATCGGAGTGGTTTGTCCACCCCGCACATGATATACACTTTCGTATTAGTGGTCATATAGTGTTCTAGCGTCGTAAGCATTGTGCGTTGGAGCTAGTTAATCGTTACGATCTAGGCCGGGAGCCCGACCAAGGTCGGGACGGTTCCTTATCTGCGTGCTGCGGAAAATACGTCATGAGAATTGGAAAAAGGTTATCGTGAGGTGGTTGGTAAGTGGATGCTCACCATGCAGCTCCATCCCCCCAGGCCACGAGCGTGCACAAGCGCTTTACAAAACAGCTGAAGGAGTTCCGTGACAATGGCTGGGACATCATCGAACAGAGCAAGGCACGTGTGGACGCCTTCCGCCGTGCGCTGCCACTCATTATGGACCTGAAGAACGCGGCGCTGCGGCCCCGTCACTGGGAGGAGATCCGGCTCCTCATCGGCAGGTAACCGATGGACCGGGGTGCTGCCTCTCGTCAGTGACGTTAGGAGCGTGACACTGCGGCCCGACACTGAGAGGAGATCCGGCTCCTCATCGGCAGGTAACCGATGGACCGGGGTGCTGCCTCTCGTCAGTGACGTTAGGAGCGTGACACTGCGGCCCGATCCTGGGAGGGGATCCGGCTCCTCATCGGCAGGTAACTGATGGACCGGGGTGCCGCTTCTCGTCAGTGACGTTAGGAGCGTGGCACTGCGGTCCCGTCACTGGGAGGAGATCCGACTCCTCATCGGCAGGTAACCGATGGACCGGGGTGCCGCTTCTCGTCAGTGACGTTAGGAGCGTGGCACTGCGGGCCCGTCACTGGGAGAAGATCCGGCTCCTCATCGGCAGGTAACCGATGGACCGGGGTGCCGCTTCTCGTCAGTGACGTTAGGAGCGTGGCACTGCGGCCCCGACATTGAGAGGAGATCCGGCTTCTCATCGACAAACGGAGCAGCATGACAGAGCCAGCTCAAGACGGCCAGGTGGTCGTCACCTCGCTTGTGCCGCTCAGGCTGAACAGCGGCACCGGGCTGTATCGGATACCATTGCTAAAGCGTAACGAACAGCTCCACCATACCATAGCAGTCGGCCTCACATTTGGTTAACAAACAGCTCCACCATACCATGGCAGACGGCCTCACATTTGGTTAACAAACAGCTCCACCATACCATGGCAATCGGCCTCAAATTTGGTTAAGTCGATGCTATAGCCAGAGAGTCTGTCCTGGAGGATAGCATGCAGCTGGATGCGTAGCCTTTCGTCGACTCAGATGATTGATGTGAACTTGCACTTCGCGCTCCGAATCGCACATCAAGCTGTGTCTGTAGTTGCATGGTCCCGCCCTCGTCCTGCCTGTTCTACATACATGTGCAACGTCTCCCCAAGAACGTGCTTGGATTAATATTGTCGAGAATGGAGCAGGCTAGCGGTCTCTGCCACATTCTGCCGACCGCTATAGCTGGAATGCTGCCGCGAGTTCACCGAAGCTGCTCGGAGCGAATATAAGTCTTTATGGCGTCGCCTGCCTCTCGCCCTGGCAAGAACGGCGGGCACCGCACACACCGCACCGGATATCGAACCGGATAATCAAATCGAATTATTCGAGGTGCTCATGGCCCCAATGGAAACCATGACCCACCAACATCGACGTGCTGTGGTCATTATTTGATGTTTTACACGTGTCCTATTGGCCATAACCGAAGCCAAAACTTTGGTGCCTTTGGTTACTCCCTTGTTGATCAGTGAGCAGGTTATTTCAAGTACATCAGTGAGTAATAAGGCCTTATGAAATATGCAGCATCAACATAGAAATGACGTTTGATTTCGGCGCAAATGGACCCACACAGATCTGTCCCCAGCCGTTGACTTAATTTTGTTTGGTACATCTGGCCCATGGTGCCTTAGAAGGTGATCCGGGTCCTCACCGGTAGGTAACTGTCCCATCTCACCCTACGAGCGTCGCGAGCAGGAAGGTCAAGAACAACCCTACTGCCCTCGGCGTCTTCTGAGCGATAGAAAGTTTGTGAGGCGTGTCATATTCATGTTCATGTTTACGTAATACATGGCTGCTTGCAAGACTTGTGAAACGACGATCTGACCATGACACGATGCCGCAGGGAGTTCGACGAGAAGGTTGATCTGACCATGACACGATGCAGCAGGGAGTTCGACGAGAAGGACGATCTGACAATGACACGATGCCGCAGGGAGTTCGACGAGAAGGTCGATCTGACCATGGATACCATCTTCGAATGGGGCATGGACCAGTTTGCGGACGAGATACACAACATCTCTCAGTCCGCAACGAAAGAAATGACCATCGAAAAGGTGAGCCGCCACTCTTGAGCAATAGGAATATCTGATGTCTTTACAACGGCTGCAAATTGATTGCATCCTTATTGGTTACGGATGTCGCTGTCTGACGTCTAAATGTTCTCCGTATATTCTCTATCTTACACTTCGTGTTTGCCGATATTATACCATTTTTCTTAGCTTAATATCGAACATTTACGCACACTTACAAAACTCACCATCATGAGTGCTCTTGTGCGCGTTATGCAGTCTTGAATGATGAGCTTTTGAATGCGGATAGTGAAATCACATAGAGAACCTAACATAGGGTAACCATCGAGCATGAATTTCATCGTTCGGTCAGATGCCCACGAAGCTGCTTGTCAATATCGGTGGGCCCCGTCCCCTCCCCTACGCTCACTGACACATCTGGATTTTGTATATTAGCTAATATTTACTTGGTGTATTTTCTTTGATAATCATCATCTTCAGTAGTTCAGTAGTTCATCGACCTCATGCTCACGACGGCGTGCGCTTGTAGCACATATTTTCTACCGTCCTATGGTCGGTAGAAACCCTGTTCAAAGCTGGGTTCATCGTGCACCGCATGCACGCGGCTGGATCATATCACGTTGGTTTTCCCTACGACGATAGGTACTCCAATTTTTGTTATAACCATTTGAGGACCGTATGGTATTTCCTCAGCGGAATTCTTGTTTGTTTGGCACAGATCTGCCGCAGTGCGCACCATCCGCTCCGTTATGCAGATCATTATGATTTCCGACTTGCCTTGCCCCTTGTTTTGCAAAATAATTTGTTTCGCAAGTTAGCTATGGTCTCACACAGATCTCACGTAGTACATTTGTGCCACCTTGGCAAAATACATTTTTCTGCCTTTAATATCGATTATTTTTATGGACTGGATTTGTATGGTCGGCTGTGATCATGCCCCTTCCCTCGCCCGTAGATGCTCGCCAAAATGAAAGTGACGTGGGATGAGATGGAAATGGAGATCCTGCCGTATAAGGAAGACCGCGGCCTGCGCTGCAAGGTGCCTGACGACCTCTTCCAGATCCTCGAGGACAACCAAGTCAGCCTGGTCACCATGAAGGCCTCCAGGTGCGGTGGCTGTCGCCGCTGGCCGGCCTGAGGTTTCCCTTTGGCGCTCAGGCGCAGGGTGTTTGTCAGTGCGGTGGCGGTCGCCGATGGCCGGCCTGAGGTTTCCCTTTGGCGCTCGGGTGCAGGGTGTTTGTCAGTGCGGTGGCTGCCGCCGCTGGCCGGCCTGGGGTTTCCCTTTGGCGCTCGGGCGCAGGGTGTTTGTCAGTGCGGTCTGGGCGCGGATATTGTGTGCAACTCTTGACGGATGTTATTCCAAGTAGGATACTGCAACTCACCGTGGATGGCGCAAAATGGCTGCCGTCGGAAAATGCAGTCGGAAACCTCTGAATCCAAACATCAAAGCTCCAGCATGTCGATATGAGCTTCGTTGTACGGCCATTGACACAGCTGCAAACGTCGTCACCTGAGTATCGACAAACAGAAAAGTTATCTGGCAATGCCCGCAGCGCGAGCGTTTCCAGCGAATCGGGGCGCCTGGCCATTTATCTCCCCAAGATGAGTCATTAGTCCCTTAGTCCTTAGTCCCTTAGTCCCTTAGTCCCGTAGTCCCTTAGTCCCTTAGTCCCTTCTATCAAACATTTTCTCTTTTCGGGTGTTCCTTTGATTTTCGACATTGATACTACGTACTGCAGACAGATACTGATGTCCCGAGTGAGTGGAAAGGTTTGCACAGGCAAATGTTTCGAGTGATTCACGAGTGTGGAACAGGCTTGGAATGTTGAGATATTTCGTAATTTATTGAGGCACCGGTCAGAGTTATCTCCTGTCCAGGAACCGGTGTCGGGTCTTGCGCATCGAAGCCGGGCAGAACCGCTTGTTTTCCCTTCGGCATTTGCTTTCAGCGAACTTGCGCGGTATTGGGAGCTTTGCGCTCACCAAGATGTGTTGAAGCCGCACGGACGTTGGAACGTTTGATCCGCGCGTGGGCGAGGACAGGATCACATTGACCCGGGACGATTGGGTCAAAAGTACGACGAAGTAGAAGAAGAGAAGGAGCGACAGAAAGACTCGTCACGAACTGTATAGTAGTGCATGGAGACTGTGTTCACGTTTCCTAGCAGAACAGGGTGTACACGAATTCGTCCCTTGACCTGGTACGCTGCTACTAACATACCCAATTCAGAAAGCTCGCCAGAAGATCGGCTTCTTGGAGACCATCTATGAAAACCTTTCAGCAGTGCTGTTGTCAATGCTCGGGAATGAGACTTAGAGTAATTGCTTTGCTTTCGGCATTCAGCACTAGCAGGGTGGACATACGTGGACTCCAGCCGTGACGGGCGATAGTCGTCTGACTGGCCGACAGTGAGCACTGGTCAGGCTGTGGAGCCACATTACAGCCGCGCCCGTGGCTCAGCGGTGTTCAGCCGAATGGCTGGCAGTGCGAAGGCTGCCCGACCGTGCTCCGCCCGCACATCCGGTGATCAGGATCAGCGTGGCCAAGTGTACAGGCCACGGCGTGCCGCGGTCACGGAGCAGTCTGTTCCGGCAGGTTTGTTGAGCCGTTCAAGAAGGAGGTGGACTGGTGGGAGAAGACACTGACCGTGGTGTTCGAGGTGATCGAGGCTATCCTCGCTGTCCAGAAGCAGTGGATGTATATGGAGGTACGCGGACGAATGTGCTAGCTGTTTATATGATAACTGACTGATGGCATGTGATGACTATTTGCTAGCTTGCAGCTAAAATGCTCCGGGGATAAAGCTGAATGTTTCTTGCAGGGGTGTGGTGACTACCTGAGAGACCGAAAAGGCTCGCTGCAGTGATAGATTATCAAACGTGGCTCATCTACCTATTTCGTCTACGTTGAATGATAGTCTTTCAAAGACGACGTAAAAGTCCCTCGCCGGCTTTCTGTGTCGAGTTTGTACCATAACATGCTGCTAGGCTGCCTTTACACGGATCTAACTCCAGTGAACATCCGATGCTGATCACAAGATGTGGAAATCCTTTCAGAACATCTTCTTGGCTGACGACATCCGTAAGCAGATGCCACGTGAGACGGCAGACTTCGGAACTATCAACATCACCTGGCAGAACATGTTGGCCAACATGAAGTCCGACACGATGATCTTAAGCGCCACACATAAAAAAGGTGACGCCTGTGGACATGATCATTCCTTATGTCATCATTAGCGTTAGGTCAGTATTATTGGTCTCTTTCATACGGGGTAGGTTTGGGAGAAGAGGCAACATATCCGACTACCTTTGGATTTCGTATGTCCATTCCCAAACCTTTCCATTTTTATCCGACCAATTTCACACATGCAGAGGTGCAGCCAGCCTTGGTAGGGGGAGGGGGGGGGGGACAGGGTTGACAAGGCCGCTAATGGTTAAAGCCTCCCATAAAACATCGCCGGATAGTGATCCACTTGATTCTGGGCGGCACAGTCTTCCTTGTTATGTTATTCGTCCTTACCTTTGTCAGCTCAACAGAAGCCGGAAGCGACCGGAAGATGCAGCTCTGTCTGTATTTTCGAGTCAATAACCTAAAGAAACTGTGGGTTTAATGACTGCATGGAATTAGCCGCACACACTTCCTATTTCGAAATAGTTCAGCAGATTTTTATACCGATGGCACTCAGGGCCTTCGCTAGATTTTTGTATGGGTCTTACAGAGATATTGAGGACCCTGCGAAAGTACACCGCAGATGGAAATCGGGCCAACATTTGAAATTGACATGGCCAACTTATGCTCACTCGGGGTGTTCAAAGTTCATTCAGAATTTGATAATGGTAAACATATAAGATAGCTTTGAGCATACGCCCCCCTCCCCGCAAGTGTCAGAAACAAAAACTATTGCGGTTTTCCCAGGTCGCGTGGCGTCGATCCCGCAGTAACACGAGGCGGACAACGAGCAGACGAAAAGAATAACATACCTAGAAAAAGTATCTTTTAACGCTGAAGGGCAGCAATAAATTCATCTAGAAGTCAGCCCGAGCGCATATTTCACCTATGCAATCTCTAGATAGATAACGGGAACGGATTAATATTTACGGCACCGCGAAATGGTGCTGGAATCTGGTAGTGAAACTGAAAAAAGTAAAGACAGATACCCATTCCCGTGCTGCTGCGGCTGTATTTGCCCTTATTTTGAAGATCCGCACGTCTACTCGCGACTCAAAAATAGTGGGCGCGCAAGAATTGAGTCCTACAGTAGACTCATCATTGAAATGCAAAATGATGCACGCAATTTAAATTGTGTTTCGGTAAAGTGAACAATTGATGTTGCCCCAGTTTTCGCCGTCTTCGTGCGTTAATGGTGCTTTTCCTAACGGTTTTCGCGCTCAACTAAAGATTGGTGTAAACCAAACTTAGTTTGAGACTTTGTACGTCAAAATCGTTGCAGCAGAGTCCGTGACAGACGGGATCAAATGACCCACGCACAGACGTCACGTGGAAGTGGCCTCGATGAGTTCTGCCTTCGTGTAGAGCTGTTCACTGTTAAGCTTTGCAATAAGGAATCTCCCCTGCATGGCTGCGCCACCGGTTAGAGCGAGCTGTGCTGGACATGCTGTGCACATTTCTGTCACTGCCTGCAGCGCCCCGCGTCTCAGGTCGACACGACGACTCTGACTAGACGTACCGTTTTAATTCTCAGGACTGCTGAAAGAGCTGTCCGGCATGAACGTGCGCCTGGATGAGATACAGAAGAGGCTGGAGATGTATCTGGAGACGAAGCGGCAGGCCTTCCCCAGGTTTTATTTCATCTCCAACGACGACCTGCTGGAGATCCTCGGTCAGTCCAGGAACCCGGAGGCCGTGCAGCCTCACCTGAAAAAGCTCTTCGACAACATGAACAAAGTGAAGATGGTGAAGGTGCGTGCCTCGGCGTGTCTCGTAGCATTGCATAAGCAGTGTGGACTCTGCACAGTCGCTGGCCGAAAACACTGGTTACCTGGCTGCTCCAACGTGGCTGCTTGTATCCGAGAATTGGCAACTACACGCCAACTCTTAATTCTAACGGAAGCCTTGTACGGTTGTAATGGTGACGAATTGACTTATCATGTCGAGCGTTCATATTGAGCTACATGTACACACTACGAGTCAGACGTTTTCAAACCCTCCGCGCAGAGTGCGTTGCACAAACTGGAGGCGCTGACCATGATTTCCGGGGACGGAGAGGAGGTGGACCTGAACCACCCGATCTGCCTGGATGGCCCGGTCGAGGCGTGGCTCAATGATCTCGAGACAGCCATGCAGGTCAGTAGAGGTATTCATCGACTACTTGATCCACCAGCTGCCCGTGGGTTTGGGTTTTTATCTGGTTCGGGGTTGGGTTTTATCTTATTTTGTCTGGGCTGAAAATTTGGTGCGCTGAGGTGTCGTGTGTGGACGCATTGTGAATCGACGATGCGGCTGCCACCACGTCAGTGCCATTTTCCAATGAACCCCACTAAGCAAGATGCACAGAACTGCATGGCTTCGTGCCTCCCTGCATAAACTCTCTGTTCACGAATTTGCGTGCTAAGGTTTAGTCGGAGCATTTGATTGCAATAGGATTATGAACACAATTTGAAGCTTAAACTGTTCCATCTTAAGAAGGACCTAGTTTCAAGCCTCGGGCGCAAGCTCGGCGTGAACAGCACCAAAGACCCAGTTCACACAGACGCGACTGCCCGGCGGGGGCGGTTTCGGGCCGACTGCACCAGCTCCTCACCTTACCGCTGGTTATACAGAGGGGCGGGGAGGCTATAATCAGGTTCCAGGACTCAGTGCGTCTCTTGGAGCTGGTGAGCACGTTCCTCGGGCGCCTGGTTCTGGTGCGTAGATGCCGGCTGACGATTTCACGGTACAGCGTGGCACCATCAGTCGGCCTGGACGCAGAAGCTTCTCGGCTGTTTTGTGTCCCGATCCGGATAGTGTGTTGCTTTGCTTGCCCACGGCTATCTAGCCCTTGGGTACCGTAGTTTTACGGAATGATTGAACGACGTGTTAGTACCGTCGTACGAATATTAACTGAGATCCATTTCACGTTGTTAAAATGGGAGTCAACATCACGCCCCGCCTTCTAATGTTGACCATTTTTCTGGAAACGCGCCAAATAACATGGCAAGTAGCGATGTTCTCTTTCAGGTACATATGACCTGGGAATTGAGAATGCATAAATCATAGAAGTACCCACTTTACGTATTCCGCTACGTACGGATCATGACCATATACACAGTTCATAGATCACTCCGTCAAGGGCGCAGCTCACATGATTTGCGACGGGTGTGGGTCTGCATGTGCAGCGGGTGTTTAGCGCACACAGCCGGTACATACATAGCGATGATGTCGAGACGCGGTAAGACCCAACATGTTAAGTTTCAACTGCACGACATCACCCGTCATGCGTTAATTGCGCAGGGGCTCGAATTATTTAAGCACGCTCCCAAGTCAGCCCATGCAGCTACCTCACAAATGACAGTTGCGACTACGCATTCGTCGTGACCACCAAACAGTGCACGAAATTTGGCAATTCAACTCCTTTCCTTATCCGGGCAGGGAAGCGAATGTATGAGGAAGGCGAGCCTGTATCATCGTCTGTCATATTTAACTCTGACCAGGCTCGAAAAAAGCATCGTTGATATTCCAATCTTCCACGCACCCGGTGCGTCCAGTATAACTCGTGTTATGCCATTCGTTCAACAGTGATGGCACAGGAACACAAGTTTCTTGCGCATCCATTGGCTCCTGCAATCGTGGTACCATGTAATGTGCCAATGTAATGTGCCACCAATGTAATGTGCGATTCGTGCGTGAGTAGCTCACGTGCGCATCAGGCATCTGCCTGCACGCTCGTCCCTTTATTTTGTGTACCACACGCCCCATTCACCAACCAGCCCCATTTCGCCTGAATATCATCCATATCATATATCATCACATGTTGTATGCACCATACCATCCGAGTCACCCGAATTTGGCAGTCGTAGCTGGACCCGTTTCCGTGGTGTCTTACCCACATGGTTTTATGGTTTCATTAGTGGTTTTCTCAGAAGTCGACAACTGGCGACTGTCAGTAAAGTCAGATCGGTCAGTCTGGTAACCCCATAACTTTCCATCAAGTTGATAATGACTTAAACACAAAAAAATGAGACGGATCCAGTCTAACTGGAATATACGCCAGCGACCCCATCAGCAGTGCAACATCCAGACTCGACCTGTCGGACTGCGGTTTATTGCTCTCTCACTCTTCAGAAAAGTGCGTCACTTTGCGTATCTTTGTCATGGTGTGATAGATTTGAGGGCATGCTTTATCGTGCGCTCACGCGTGAGCATGTGCTATATCTTCAGGAGACGCTGCGGACAATCCTTCAGAAGTGTCTGGCGTCGCTCAAGAAGAACCTGAGCAAGCGGGACCGCTGGATCAAAGAATGGCCCGGACAGCTGTGCATCACATCGAGCCAGGTCAGACGCTGGTGCAAGGTGCTGCGCCATGCGGCCAATCTGGCGGCCATTTTATAGGAAACGCGGCGCACGTCGTCGCGTGTTTTTAACATCTTGTCCTATGAGTGAGGGGCTCAGAGACCCTTTACGGTAATTCCTCTGCGTGGTTTTCAGCCCGGTTTTGCAATTAGTTTTTGAAATTTGAAAAAGGATCTCCAAGATTATTCTCGTCTGGGAAGGGTTTTTGATTTTGCATAATAATGCTATTTGAAGTCAGAGGAAAAACGGTTTTTTTCTGGGACGCCTGGTATCTTGTAAACTGAAAAATGATAACGCAAAACCATCAGACTAAAGTCGATGAAGAAACCTATCACACGAGATCCCACTTTTACCCTTGTAATGACATCCCACGAGGGAAGCTTTTCATTTAAGTTCGACTTCTTGCTCTCGAGGACATACTCAGGAACATAACTAACTGGCACAACACACGGAATTCCGCTCCTATCCCTGAAATGAGAGGTCATGAGGAAAGTTTTTCGTTTGTGCTCTGCTCCGGATCCATACTAACGCACTCGGGAACATCACTGACTGGCAAAGACATGTCTCGCTCAAAGAACATGAAGCTACTTTTATGACCCATGTTGAACTGTGGCTGAAAGACACTCCTGGCTGATACGAATTGTGAATATACATTCCTTACTATATATAAAACAGTTGATGCATGCAGACATGGGGTTAAGAGGCGTCGTCACAAAAAGAACAACAAAGCAGAACATTTGTAATTTGCCCGATCTGATAGTGACACTTCGTTAGACCCAAATTGCCTTCGGCTAATCCCGTTCAGTTGTGCATGAGGCATCGAATGGTGTTCCATTCTTTCCAATCCGAAGATACCAATACGGGGATGTTCATATCTGTGTACCCCGGAATTCGGTGCGCGCGTCAGGTGAAGTAGGTGAAAACCGACGCCATTGTAGCGTCTAATCAGAACCTCTCAGTGACTGGTGGTCGATCATTTTCATAACATAAACTCCCAACTCATCATGCCGAATGCAGTCTTCCGTTGGTGCCCTGAAATTAGCCCTGACTCTACTGCACATGCCCCAGGCATGACGGAAAGAAAGGCTGTTCAGAGGTGGGAATGACAGAAGGAAATGGCGGAGAGGTTTGTGGGTTCTCCTTAGAGACTTCGGCATTCACGTAGCCCCACAGAAGCAATGTCGAATACAGAGACCCTGGCAGCGTGGTGAGCGCTCGAAGGCGGTCTCGCTTCGCCATCATTGATGACGCCCAGATAAAAATGGCCCTAATGACCCGATGTTGCTATTTATGGACCTCATTCCACACCGTGCAGAGCATTTTTGTGGTGCCGGCAGCGCTGCTGAAATGTTTGGGTGCGACGGGGCCTCCAACTTGTGTCTATGGACGTGGTGACGCTATTGGAATGAAAAAAGCGTCATCTGTGAACCACACCTGGCTCATCTAGCATCTTTCATCTAACATTGTCATGTATTTTTCGGAAGTATTTCGACACGTCCAAAATTTATTCCGTTTTTCTGACAACTGATCATGCGTCTGTGTAAAGTACGAAAAACTTTTAGCATCCTTCCTTAGTATCCGCCAGATTGTAGTTGCATCTAGGCAACCTCTTGACGGCGTTTTCATGTCCAGCACGTTACCAGAAAGGGCAGTGGGCTGGGGGGGGGAGGGGGGGGGGCACGGTGTTCTGTCCCCCTCCCCCTGGAAAAAGTCTTCCTGTAAGTATTGGGTGATTTCACAGTAGTTCAGTCTACATAAATTCGCAGGAGTTTAGTTAAAATTCGCAGGAGTTCGGACACAATTTGACACTCGTCCGTTTCCCAAATAAAAATTATGGCTGAATACCTGCTTCAGGTCACATGCTCGTAATCCTTGCCCGAGCCACCACGACCTATCCGCACTGAGGTCAGGCTGAGAGTGCGCCTGGCGGGAGGCAACACATGATACGCACAGCTGGAAACCAACCGTGCTGTTCAGGTATGGAGTGGCGCTTGTGGCTGTTTTAACAACATCTATCGTGTTTATGATGAAGTTTCTTGGCACACTTAGAAAACAGCGAAATTATTGAAACTTTTCAGTTTTAAAAAATAAATAAACATGAGCAATGGATTTTTAATACACTTCACACTAAATCAAGTTGGCCTCATTACATAATTTTATACATGTGCTGTGAGCTGGCTTGGTACTCGTAACTTTCCGCTTAGTTAACAGACATCTCTTCCTCCATGGCAGTTTTTTAACTGCCGTCGGATCTATGGCATTGTTGACATTTAAGACATGAGTGTTCTTTAGCATGCTAACAATTGCACCTAAAAAATAAGCAAGTTAAAAACGACAAACTTTCGGCCTATGACCATGTATTGCCCCTTCTGCCTCATTACTATATAATAGCCAGAGGCTGGAAGCTTGTCCGTTTTAAGCTTGTCCAGTGACTGGTTAAAATGTAACCGGTAACACATCAGAAATAATTATTTTCTATCCCTTTTCGTTGCTTCCTACGAGAAAAAAACTCCTGTGAATAACGACATTGAAAAAAGCTGTTACCCTCAGATACAATGGACGGTGGACACAACGCGAGCTCTACTGCTGGTCAAGGACCTTGGTGAGAAAAAGCCCTCTCAAGTCTTTTCGCAAGAAGATGATCAACATGCTGAACAAGTTTTCGGAGGCCATTCGCTCCAATCTAACGGTGCTGCAGCGCGTGAAGATTGTGTCGCTGGTCACCATCGAGGTGCACGCCCGTGACGTTATCGAGAAGCTCATCAAAGCCGGTGAGTGACTGAGAGAGATGATTTTGGCGATGTTTGGGGATGATGTTTGGAGTAAGATGCTGACTCACGAAAACGTGTATTAGCTGTGTCGGTGCAATTCCGGACGACGACAACGAGTCCTGTCCGACGACGACGTTGGCAGCCGACAGCCATGCCTGCCCGCAGGTGTGAACGACGTGAACGCCTTCGAGTGGTTGTCGCAGCTGCGGCTCTACTGGGACAAAGACGAAGAAGACTGTGTTGTCCGCCAGACCAATACGCAGTTTTTCTATGGATACGAGTACCTGGGCAATTCGGGTCGACTCGTCATCACGCCGCTGACCGACAGGTGGAGCCCAGTGTCGCATTCACCGAACCAAAGAATGTCGGTCCTGCGACTAGGCTGTTGGCAGAAGTGCGACGCTCAGTACATGTTACACAGGCGCTGGAATGGTTAGACTGACGTAGGACTGGGGGTGATGTACAGCAGCATAATTCGTTGCAAGAACGAAGGGCAGTTAACCACACTGTGTGTCACTCTGCAGTCAGGCCTAAGTTCGTCGGCTTGCGCAGGAGACGCAGAGTAGCCCGTGCAGTGGCGGCCAGAATGCGGAACAGCCCGAGATGTGGGCTAGCGGGGACTCAGAATGTGTTTGTATTCAGAGTGGCATCACTTGGAAGCTGCGTGTGTTTTATCCTACCATGGCAGTCATCAAACGCCCTGGACATGCATGCTATCGTTTTTAATGTGGGGTATTTAACTTTTTGGTCTTGTATTTTTTAACCGAATTGCTAATTGGACCAATTTTTAATGTTTCAGCACATACCATGTAGAGGGCAACACCCTCATCTGGTGCAGTGGTCATGTAGACACATTTATTGTCTTTGGAAAATCTGAGCCCAGTCTTGTCACAGGACCAATGTTTACGAATCATTGCCTTTTCAAGGCCAGTGAATGCGATTTAGTACAAAATCGAGTAAAACGGTATCGAAATGTTCAACGGTAAAAAAATGTTAAAACGGTGCCGAAAAACAAACAATCAAAAATTTCGTAGATACGCACACAACCTACAGTGCATCTGGGGAATGGGGTGGAGGGCTGTGTTGCCGACCGTCCACCCGTGATCTGTCGCAGTCCGGCTCTGTAACGGCAGCCGACAGTGTGGTGGTCCCAGGTGCTACATGACGCTGACCAGTGCACTGCACCTGCACCGCGGAGGCAGTCCCAAGGGCCCAGCGGGCACGGGCAAGACTGAGACGGTCAAGGATCTGGGCAAGGCCATGGCTGTGTTCGTGATCGTCCTGAACTGCTCTGAGGGGCTTGACTACAAGAGCATGGGCAAAATGTTCTCAGGTGGGCATTACCCCATGTGGGTTCTTCGGGACCAGACCTCTCTGGTTGGTCGTGTTTGCTGCCTTGCGACCCATAGGGCAAATAGGGTAGAAAGGGCACAAGATCATACACCGGACAAAGGGTAGCTTGACAGTTGAAAACAGGGACAATCCACATAATGCAGCGAAGTTAAAAAAGCAAAGCAGAAAAGCAAAAGCAAAAAAGCAGCAAAGGCAAAAGGCAGCAAAGGTAAAGTGGTGGCAGGAATAGCGCAGCGAAACTTGCACTTTGCAAAAAGCAGCAAAGCGCGCTTTTTTGGGGACAGTAGCGGTGCAAATTATTTGACGATCATGTGAGGCAAGACCGATGCAGGTAACTGACCTTCAGTAGATTAAAGATTGTATATATATATATATATATTATATATATATATATATATATATATATATCTCTCTCTCTCTCTCTCTCTCTCTCTCTCTCTCTCTCTCTCTCTCTCTATTCTTCGTCTGCTCTCTCTCTCTCTCGTCTCTCCTTCTCTCTCTCTCTCTCCTTCTCTCTCTCTCTCTTGCTCTCTCTCTCTCTCTCTCTCGTCTCTCGTGCGTCTCTCTCTCTCTCTCTTCTTCTCCTCTCTCGCTCTCTCTCCTCCTCCTCTCCTCTCTCTTCTCCTCTCTCTCGTACTCTCGTCTCTCTCTCTCCTCTCTCCTGCTCTTTCTCTCTCTCTCCCTCTCTCTCTCTCTCTCTCTCTCTCTCTCTCTCTCTCTCTCTCTCTCTCTCTCTCTCTATTTTTTATCAGCTCAGTTCAAGTGTTTATGTAAACAGACTAAGATGAGAAGATAGGAAAGACGCTGTCAAGTTAGTTGGCTAGGTAAAAAGCTGGACAAAATATTTGACATTGTGCTGTGTTAGCAAAACACGTTTTATCATGAATGATGTCTAATATTTAGTCCGAACCTGTTGGATGCTTTTTATCTGAGCTCATGTTTCGCATTGCCTGCTGCGCGAGTCCTGACCCCCTCCCCCTCAATCCATCCCACCATGTGCCATGATCGTGAGAGTGCAGGTCAGTGGCATGTTTACGTTGCGAAAATTTGACGTGCCGTCATCCTCAATATAGCCTTTCCAATTCTCGGACATCACATGACCTTTTAGCGTGATCACTACCATCCGCTGTGGGCCATCTCAGTCACGCGCAAATAGCGAACACTTGAAGCGACTCGAACCCATCCCACAGACTTTTTGGTCATCCTGTTTGGTTTCGGCACGCTTGGTTATGATGACGGCTCATTAAAGGAACTTTCTCGTGACTTTATATTGGCCATGCTAATGCTGCGTGCGCCGAGTTGACGTGCGCGCGCGTACCCGGACGGCTCGGTATACCAGCCAATGCCTGCGCCCGCAGGTCTGGCGCAAACTGGCGCGTGGGGATGCTTCGATGAGTTCAACCGGATCAACATCGAAGTGTTGTCGGTAGTGGCGCAGCAGATTCTGAGCATACTGCAGGCACTGTCCACGCAAGTAGAGCAGTTCATGTTCGAGGGTCAAGAGATCAAGGTGGTCTGGTCGTGCGGCATCTTCATCACCATGAACCCCGGTACGCAGGCGACCTGGTCGTCTCGCATCTTCTCGGCATCTTCTCGCATCGTCGCGGCGCTAGGCCAGTGCTAGCGGGAGGTGTGATTCTGTTAAGGGGAAGAACCTCAAAACAGGATGGATTTGAAGTGGCGGCTATTCTACTAAACCCATTGAATCTCATTCCTGGATTTAAGTAACGCCGTTTGATGGCCCTCGACGTCTCACCTGGGGGATCACAGAGGACATAGCTCAAACGGAACGTTGCTATTTGAATCTCAAATATGGCGATGTGGTTTGCGTTGTATGGTAGCAAGGTGACACTTTTCTACCGGGAATCACCTTGCGTCACCCGGCCTGCACGGCTACAACGCTTCCTAGTATTATGCCAGAGGACGGGTCGACGCCGTTCAGTGTATCGTAGTCGCATCGGCGGCCCGGACTGGCACTGTCATCTCCGCCTGCCGCGCCCGCAGGCTACGCCGGCCGGACGGAGCTGCCCGACAACCTCAAGTCCATGTTCCGCCCGATCGCCATGGTAGTGCCCGATTCGGCGATGATCGCTGAGATCGTGCTGTTTGGCGAGGGCTTCAACAACACCAGGAACTTGGCCAGGAAGGTAGGCAGGCGGCGCCAGTCTGGGTCCGATGGCACGCCATTTTGTCAGTGAACGATCTGTGCGTTGCATCACCCGCAAAAGTCCGATCTAAATGACCTGTATCCCAAATGCCCGTGGTTATTTACAAAGTCGCATTACGTGTCCATGCGAAATGCGGATACGTGTGTGGTTGGTTGCGTGTGAAGCTTGCATAGCTACACCACACACAGTTGTATCTAAAGTGGTGCCAAACACACCACACGCTGCGATGCATTCCCGCAATAACGCCCTGGAGTTATTGTCTGAGCAATCTTCAGTCGTGTGAGCGTAGTGTTGGATTCTGTCTATGCGCCCAACCAAGTGCTGTGGTATTGTCTGTGGCCAGGTGTTCACGCTGTACACGCTGGCATCGCGCCAGCTGAGCAAGCAGAGCCACTACGACTTCGGCCTGCGCGGTCTGATCGGGCTGCTGCGCTACGCGGGCCGCAAGAAGCGCATGTTCCCCGACATGAACGACGAGGAGGTGGGCTGCCGACTGATGGTCTTTGCTCACCTGCTCTGGGCCGGGAAGTAACGCTGTGCAACAAACTGGCACTTGGTCCGCGACCGGCATGATGAAGTTAGGGTCTAGATGTTCGCGCGCGTCAAGCTAGTCCTGCCTCCGCAGGTGGTTATAACGGCCATGAACGACATGAACCTGCCGAAGTTGACGTCGGACGACTCGCCGCTGTTCGACGGCATTGTGAGCGATCTGTTCCCGGGCGTGGAGACGCCGCCCCTCGACTACGGACAGCTGTTTGATGTCATCAGGGAGCAGCTGGATGCCAACGGCCTGCAGGTGGGTAGAATAATTGGGCTGGGTTGCGCAAGAACTGCCCACCTCATCGCGCTGCAATCGACCCCTCTTCATCGACCGTCTCATGCTATGTCCTTGTGATGCCTCATCGCGCGTGAGGTGTACTGCACCCGTGAGCTATAAACCGGTATAATGGTAGTCCTGGTTGAAATCCGTTCTCAAGTACTCGATCGCAAGAAAATGGAGAAGTGAAGCGTCTGTCGCAAATTCTGTTTGTCGGTGAAGACTGTCGCAGATAATCTGAAACTGTCGCGGGATTATCACTTTTTCTATGTACCATTAAACCCATAGCTTTTGAGATAGATTACTGCGGGTGGAAATAAAAACCGGCATTTTGAGCAAACGACCGATGAGGACTGGACCGTTTGTTTTCAGTCTATCGCCATACGGCGCTCAACTGATAAGGCTATGGCAGTATGGTGGGCTAGGCTCTGGTCACACACTGCAAAACGTGCGCATGACAAAAAAGTCAGGCGCAGTTGCTGACACAGACAGAGACAAACGCCTCAGTTCTTGGAGCATATCACTGGGATCGTCGGGAAGCTTTCATTAAGTTATTTCATGCCTTTCGATGTAGCTCATGGTTTGATAATGGTTTAAATTTTTAGATATGGCTTTATTTCTCATGCGTATTCTATGTGCTTTTTACTTGCACATAGTGTAAGTGAAATTGAGTTGCACTTGGTAGCACGTAGCTGTCATTGCGTAATAAACATGCTTAAATATGATTGAAATATGGTTAATATAGTTTTCGTACTTTTTAAAGCTCCAAATTATGACCCTAGGCCCAGTTTAAAGTCGTCAATTTCGCCAAATTCCAAAATTCATGTTTTCGACTCGTTTTTATTCAAAATTCAATTAGCAAAAAAACAGCGTCTGTGGCCATAGGATGGCATTTATGTAGGCAGGCATGCGCAAAACCGCCGCCAAACCCCAGTTAGTAGAAATATTCACAAACACATTCAACGCGACAAGTGACACAGATTCACTCGGGTCGATCAAGACATTATAGGTCGTCGACCTTACTTGACCTTGGAAAGACTACTGACCTTGAAAAGTGAGCTGACAGCCTGTATAATGTCATTACATGCTGATGTCATGTCTCCAAGAATGTTTTTTGGTGCCAGTAAGAGGGAAAACAGGACGAAGATTTCTTACAATTACGCTGTAAGCTTTCAGAAATAACGTTTTGACTCAATGCTGTGTCGTAACCCGGGACCAAATCTAGATATGTTGGCAACTAAGGTGAATGTTATCCCGGGATCGCTTTGGGATCAGAGCCCAGCATACGAAGGCCCTGATCCAGCCACTAAAAAGGGTAATTCCAGTTCAGGGATGCCTTTGCCGAAATACTGTGCCCTGTCACGTAACACCATCGCACGCGCCCTTTCGTGTTGTGTGCTCCTCTCTGAAGGATGCCAATGTGCCACCGTTACTAGCGTTGTTTCCGGGTAGCGAACCCACATACGTGGGATGCAGCGATCAGTCTCGGACGCTATGTCGGATGAGGCACGGAAACTGCACGCACTTTTGTTTTATTTAAGTGTAGCGCTCTGGTATCTTTTTAACGAGTTGTCTGACCCTTCCTCCCGCCATTGTACCATCATTTGATGCTGAGATGCTGACCAACCCGCTCTGTCCTCAGCCGACGCAGTACATCGTGAATAAGGTGATCCAACTGTACGAGACCAAGAACTCCCGCCACTCTGTGATGATGGTCGGCCAGACAGGAACATCCAAGACATCCATCTGGTGCACCCTAAAGCATTCACTAACAGAGATGGCCAGCCGGGAGGTGGAAGGGTTCGTCGCTGTCAAGGTACGCGACACGGTGGCCGTCCGCCCGGTCCGCTGAAGGCCGTTCACCTCGCTGCGCTTCGGCACCCAGACGCATGGGTCGCGTCCGCCTTCTGCATGGCCGTATACATATATGAAAAAACGGATACCTCCTTGGTTGATGCATGCGAATAAACTAGAATAAGGCTGTATATTTTTTTCTTCTGAAATTTGTTCCGGAATTAAAAACATCTTACTTTGTTGGAATTGGAATTGGAATCGAATCGACATCATGTCGTGTTGCTCTTGATGCTGTACTGCTGTTGCCATGTGTGCTGAAATGGAAACTCAGACAGCGTGTTGCCCAGTTATCTCCGGCAGTAGTGCGATTTGTTCAGAGTTGCGTGTTTGCTGGCACAGTCGCGCACTACCGGCGTCGGACAGCCTGAGATCATGCGTGCCCCGGTGCAAGCGCCTTGCGCTACACACCTAGTCAGCTACGCCCCTGTCCGGTCGGCAGGAGTTCGCGCTCAACCCGAAGGCACTGAACCTGGGAGAGCTGTACGGCGAGTTCGATCTGGGCTCGGGCGACTGGAAAGATGGAGTGCTGTCGGCCATCATGCGCGTCACCTGCGCCGGTCAGTGACACGGCTGTGTCAGGAGCACGCAGCTGACGCCGCGTCGCTGTGAATAGGGCGCCGCATGTACCCACGGGCTCATGCCGCTGTTAACATGTGTTCTACGCGCGTGTCCTCTGAGGCGGGCGACGTTTCGCGCTGTCCCACTGACGGCGATGGTCCGGACTGTTTGGCTGGACAGATGAGACGCCCGACCAGAAGTGGATTCTGTTTGACGGTCCCGTTGACGCCGTCTGGATTGAGAACATGAACTCAGTGATGGACGACAACAAGGTGCTGACGCTCATCAACTCGGAGCGCATTGCCCTGCCCCCACAGGTATGTCCGGTTTCGGTCCGCACTCCGGAGGCGCAGCGGCGCTAAATGAATTAAGGTTGGGAGGGGGGGGGGGGGAGACTGAACAGCGAAAATCGTGAAAGCTAATCCCACAATTTGCCAGCTGGTTTCTCCCCACATTTGGCCCATTTTCTTCCTAAAAATGGGGAGTGGGCTTCAGCCCGCCTAAGTGGGGAATACTGTACCGCTGATTTGGTCTCGCTCTTTGCTATCGCCGGCGAGTTTTGCCAACGGCACATCCATGGCGCGTCTGAGCGCGTTTGGTACTGAGATTGGCCGAGTGGTCGAAGTGGCACATTTTGCTGGCGCTGCCCGCAGTACCCGATCATGTGCTTTTTAACGACTTGGACAGCGGAGCGCAGCTATTGACTCATACCAAAAGTTTTGAGACCGACTTTGCCTGAAAAATTATTAATCGGTGTTACCACCCAGACACCAATAAGGTGTGACTCAATGAGAGCATAACGCACGCCGCACAGAATCAGCTCGACATGTTATTTGCCAGTGCTGCGCGTATATGGATGTCATTATATCCTGTTCGGCACATAGCGGGTAGTGCATCTATTTTTTGTTTGGTCGCTGATGTTGCACAGCTTATGACGGCTCATCAAGACATGACGTCAAGAAGACTAATGATTCCGCGATGAGGCCGCCGCCACTGTAACCCTTGTTTATGCCGCATATGTGGGCCTGCTACTGACAACAGCCATGCCAGGACATGGGACGCTGCTGATGTCATGTGCTGTCGCCGTGCTGAGGAGGCCGCCGCCACTGTAGCCCTTGATTATACCGCAGATGAGGGCCTATTACTGACAACAGCCATGCCAGGACATGGGACGCTGCTGATGTCATGTGCTGTCGCCGTCAGCTGGGCAGTGTGCTCTGCTGCTCTGACCAGATGGTCGTGCGGCCCGTCTACCGCAGGTGTCCCTGCTGTTCGAGGTTCAGGATCTTGATGAAGCTTCTCCAGCCACCGTCTCCCGAGCCGGCATGGTGTACACCGACTACAAGGCCATCGGCTGGAGGCCCTTTGTCGACTCCTGGCTCAAAAAAATCGAGTGCAAACAGACTACGGCGGAGGTATGGTGACGCGTATTGAGGTATATGTTAGTTGGTCTGCTTCGATGGCTACATGTCAGGTAGCTTTGTAAAGCGTGCACGAACCCGTACCGAAGTAAGGAAGTTAGTGTGGTGGGATCAGCGTACTTTGCATTTGAGGTACAAATCACCGTCCAGCACAGTTTCTTACTTAAATAGTGTTGATGCCCTGTTGACAAGAAAAATCTCCCCCGTACATTGTTGGGCGTAACTGCCTATATGTGAGAGATATCTCTGTCTTGCGAAACTAACGTTTGTCCTAACCATTTTGTCATGATGTGTCACAGCTTCAGAAGCTGTTCGACAAGTACTTAGAAGATTTTCTGGAGTTCAAGCGGCGCAACTGCAAGGAGCTGATGCCGATTGTAGAGCTGAACGGTATCATATCACTGTGCCGTCTGCTCGACTGCCTCTGTACGAAGGAATTCGGCGTAGATCCGGCCGATATGGACTCTTTCATCACATGCTCGAAGCTCTGGTTCATCTTTTGGTAAGTACTCACTACTTCTGACCTTCTTCCAAATTCCTAAGTTCCTTCCTTTGCGCAGATATATTGGGAATGCTGTCGTCCAGAGGCAAAGGCCTAAGCGGCATTAGGTTGAATAGCGCTTAGGTCTGTTTGCCGTTGGACGGCAGAATGATAAGCTTTGAAAGTAAATCCGCCATCCATTTGTGCGCACGAAGTGAAATCCGAACATGTCAAACTTGTCCTCAGCTTTAGGTCTCGAGCCGTTCGTGCCGTGATAGCCTCTGGTTTAAGGTACGACTTGAGACAAAGAAGGTGGCTTCATGTGTGTGATGGGATGCGCTCCGTCTCAGTCTCCTGTGGTCGGTGGGTGCGTCGGTGGACGAGGAGGGGCGCAAAAAAATTGACAACTACATGCGCGAACTGGAGGGCTCGTTCCCCAACAAGGATACCGTGTACGAGTATGCCGTGGACTACAAGCACCGGAGCTGGAGTCCGTGGGAGAACAGACTTCAGTCCAACTGGAAATACAACCCCAAGTGAGTAGCAGTCGGGCCAGTGTGCACTAAGGTGGCTGGGACTGTGGTGCTTCGGCTCGTTCAGGAATAAGTCCGGCCGCGCGTGGGCTCTTACGTCAGCTGCTGCCCTGCATGGACCCACTTTTCACCACACCCCGGAACACATCCAGTTTGTTACGTGAAGTGTTGTAACTGAGGAAATTATCCAACTCAGGTTAAAAATTAGGTGTTAATTTGAACACTTACGCTTTGTGTAATAACCCCCCCCCCCCCCCATCACGTTGTTCACACTTACGTGCGGTAGTCTTTACGTGCAGCCTTGACCAGGGCATAAGCGATGCCCTCGCTTCGCTTGCCCATTGCTTGTGCCGGCATTATGCAGAGTTAATGCAGTTGCTTCGTAAGTCTGAGATTATTAGCGTGAGCTAGGAAACACAGTTTGGTTTAAGTCACATTTTTAAGTGTGCTTGCCGGAAAGACAAATCTGCCCTGTTTTGATAAATTTAATTTCCCATAACATACAAATGACGTGTCACTTTGGCAAATGTATTGGTGTAAAAGATTCATCACGGCGATTTCTGTCCTGCATCGTTAATGCCCCGTCGTCCTCGACCGAGGCATGAGCGATGATGACTCGATCAGTGCTGTCATCTTGCAGGATTTTTTGGACATATTTTGTTGGGTCCGCAGTGATGATTTGTCTCTTTTGTGAATCCTTCTGCTGTTTTTTTCCCGTTTATGCTTTATTTAGGTTTAGCACGAGCCCGTCTCCTAGAAACTTCCGTTGGCCAAGACACATGGACGACTTTTGCCTTTCGCTCTATAATGAGCAGCACCATAGTAGCATGCAAACATCGACTTATAAATAAAACCTCACGTGGTTCTATGCTATTACGGTTCCGTGATACGCATGCCATACATGTGCTGTTAATGCTCCGTCACACACATGCTAAGCACTTGCACATGCACATTTTACGCAAGCTGTAGGCGCATGTGAATGCTGTACAATTCTAAACGCATGGGAACACACAGAAGGGACGCTTTGGTTATTTATCTGTGAATGAAATGAGTTACACCACTGCATTTCATTTGTATCAGTCGGTGCATGACTTTAAAAAAGATTGTCATGAAATTCCAGTGTGCTCCGTGGCGAATATGTTGTATTGTGTTTCATTTGAAATTGATTCAGACGTCCGGTGCTCACGAGCTGAGAGTGGGGAGGGGCAAACCCTCATTTTAGACATGGGTCCCTGCGTCATGGGTATCAGAGCAGAGTCAAGCGTAACCCAAAACTGATCTGGCCGCCTTGACTGTAGCGGTTGCAAAGCAACTTGTAAACCAGTGGTTTGCAGTTGGTGTTTGTAGAGTGGTATCCATGGTACCAAGCTGCACCCATGGCCCGAGCGCATTCGAGCCTGATTTGTGTCGTTTCAGTGTGCCCTTCTACAAGATTCTGGTCCCGACAGTGGACACAGTGAGATACGAGTATCTGCTGCGTACGCTCATCGCCAAGCAGTACCCAGCCATGCTGGTCGGGCCCGTCGGCACGGGTATGTGTAAACAAGGTGCCATTAGATCCCTGGTAACTTGCTGACTGTGGTCATTGGAGTGTCGTTATGCCGCATAATGTGTTTTCACCCTCGAAACTTAAAGAAGATACTGCTGTACTGTGTTCGTGTTTGTGTGCGTGCGTGCGTTCCTGCTGGTGTGCATGTGTGTGTGTGAGTACGTACGTGTGTGTATGTATGTGCGTGTGTGTATGCACGTAAGTGTAGCTTTTGCGAGGTGTTTTTAACCCCCTGGTCGATGGTCTTTTCCTTTTCTGAATACTTCTAGCCTGTTTTGACATGTTTCCCGTACAGCACATGCGTTCTCGGAATGTGTTATGCGCGCCGGAACGGAACGCGCGCCATACCTTATGTATTAATATCATGCAGCCCACGAAAGAAAATATACCACATAACAACGTATCATCAAATACGTTGATGGTGATAGCACTATCAACGTATTTGTGTGCAGGATGTGTTTGTAGACAGCGCGCTACCGTTTCAGAAAAAAACAGTAACGAACGCTTCCGAAGCCCTTCCGGTCTGCAAGACATGCGGTAGTTGCCGTTGTGTGGTGCAACTAATTGTACTTTGTGCGATTAAGCCGTAAACAGCACTTAACCTGGACGGTGCCGTCTCGATGACCGTCGGTCACCGGGTCGAGTACTTTGGCTGGGCGACCCTTGACGACCTCGATAGATCAGGTTTTGACACACCTTAATGCTGTTATATGCACATGTCACTGTGACACCGGCGCCACAGGCTTTTACAGACGCCGGAATCGCTGCCTGTCATCAGGAAAAAGTTTGCTAGCCGTGACACCGGCGCCACAGGCTTTTACTGACAACGGAATTGCTGCCTGTCGTCAGGCAAGAGTTCGCCAGCCGTGACACCGGCGACACAGGCTTTTACTGACACCGGTATCGCTGCCTGTCGTCAGGCAAGAGTTCGCCAGCCGTGGCACCGGCGACACAGGCTTTTACTGACACCGGAATCGCTGCCTGTCGTCAGGCAAGAGTTCGCTAGCCGTGGCACCGGCGACACAGGCTTTTACTGACACCGGAATCGCTGCCTGTCGTCAGGCAAGAGTTCGCCAGCTGTGACACCGGCGACACAGGCTTTTACTGACACCGGAATCGCTGCCTGTCGTCAGGCAAGAGTTCGCCAGCCGTGACACCGGCGACACAGGCTTTTACTGACACCGGAATCGCTGCCTGTCGTCAGGCAAGAGTTCGCCAGCCGTGGCACCGGCGACACAGGCTTTTACTGACACCGGAATCGCTGCCTGTCGTCAGGCAAGAGTTCGCCAGCCGTGACACCGGCGACACAGGCTTTTACTGACACCGGAATCGCTGCCTGTCGTCAGGCAAGAGTTCGCCAGCCGTGACACCGGCGACACAGGCTTTTACTGACGCCGGAATCGCTGCCTGTCGTCAGGCAAGAGTTCACCAGCCGTGACACCGGCGACACAGGCTTTTACTGACACCGGTATCGCTGCCTGTCGTCAGGCAAGAGTTCGCCAGCCGTGACACCGGCGACACAGGCTTTTACTGACACCGGAATCGCTGCCTGTCGTCAGGCAAGAGTTCGCCAGCCGTGACACCGGCGCCACAGGCTTTTACTGACGCCGGAATCGCTGCCTGTCGTCAGGCAAGAGTTCGCTAGCCGTGACACCGGCGACACAGGCTTTTACTGACACCGGTATCGCTGCCTGTCGTCAGGCAAGAGTTCGCCAGCCGTGACACCGGCGACACAGGCTTTTACTGACACCGGAATCGCTGCCTGTCGTCAGGCAAGAGTTCGCCAGCCGTGACACCGGCGACACAGGCTTTTACTGACACCGGAATCGCTGCCTGTCGTCAGGCAAGAGTTCGCCAGCCGTGACACCGGCGACACAGGCTTTTACTGACACCGGAATCGCTGCCTGTCGTCAGGCAAGAGTTCGCCAGCCGTGACACCGGCGCCACAGGCTTTTACTGACGCCGGTATCGCTGCCTGTCGTCAGGCAAGAGTTCGCCAGCCGTGACACCGGCGACACAGGCTTTTACTGACACCGGAATCGCTGCCTGTCGTCAGGCAAGAGTTCGCTAGCCGTGACACCGGCGACACAGGCTTTTACTGACACCGGAATCGCTGCCTGTCGTCAGGCAAGAGTTCGCCAGCCGTGACACCGGCGCCACAGGCTTTTACTGACACCGGAATCGCTGCCTGTCGTCAGGCAAGAGTTCGCCAGCCGTGACACCGGCGACACAGGCTTTTACTGACACCGGAATCGCTGCCTGTCGTCAGGCAAGAGTTCGCTAGCCGTGACACCGGCGACACAGGCTTTTACTGACGCCGGTATCGCTGCCTGTCGTCAGGCAAGAGTTCGCTAGCCGTGACACCGGCGACACAGGCTTTTACTGACACCGGAATCGCTGCCTGTCGTCAGGCAAGAGTTCGCCAGCCGTGGCACCGGCGACACAGGCTTTTACTGACACCGGAATCGCTGCCTGTCGTCAGGCAAGAGTTCGCTAGCCGTGACACCGGCGACACAGGCTTTTACTGACACCGGAATCGCTGCCTGTCGTCAGGCAAGAGTTCGCCAGCCGTGACACCGGCGCCACAGGCTTTTACTGACACCGGTATCGCTGCCTGTCGTCAGGCAAGAGTTCGCTAGCCGTGACACCGGCGCCACAGGCTTTTACTGACGCCGGTATCGCTGCCTGTCGTCAGGCAAGAGTTCGCTAGCCGTGGCACCGGCGACACAGGCTTTTACTGACGCCGGTATCGCTGCCTGTCGTCAGGCAAGAGTTCGCCAGCCGTGACACCGGCGCCACAGGCTTTTACTGACACCGGAATCGCTGCCTGTCGTCAGGCAAGAGTTCACCAGCCGTGACACCGGCGACACAGGCTTTTACTGACGCCGGTATCGCTGCCTGTCGTCAGGCAAGAGTTCGCCAGCCGTGACACCGGCGACACAGGCTTTTACTGACACCGGTATCGCTGCCTGTCGTCAGGCAAGAGTTCGCCAGCCGTGACACCGGCGACACAGGCTTTTACTGACACCGGTATCGCTGCCTGTCGTCAGGCAAGAGTTCGCCAGCCGTGACACCGGCGACACAGGCTTTTACTGACACCGGAATCGCTGCCTGTCGTCAGGCAAGAGTTCACCAGCCGTGACACCGGCGACACAGGCTTTTACTGACGCCGGTATCGCTGCCTGTCGTCAGGCAAGAGTTCGCCAGCCGTGACACCGGCGACACAGGCTTTTACTGACGCCGGTATCGCTGCCTGTCGTCAGGCAAGAGTTCGCCAGCCGTGACACCGGCGACACAGGCTTTTACTGACACCGGAATCGCTGCCTGTCGTCAGGCAAGAGTTCGCCAGCCGTGACACCGGCGACACAGGCTTTTACTGACACCGGTATCGCTGCCTGTCGTCAGGCAAGAGTTCGCTAGCCGTCAGCGTGATGTCCCAGCTGGACGTCAAGAAGTTCACAGTGCTCCCGGTCAACATGTCGGCACAGACGACGTCCAACAACGTACAGGCCATCATCGAGAGCCGCATGGAGAAACGCACCAAGAACGTCTACGTGCCGCAGGGAGGTTAGTGTCCACGGCTGACCGGCTGCACGGCGCGCGCTCTGGTTAGCGGTCCGCCCTCCCGACCAAACGCAACGGTGGTCCCGTGCTCGCGGCTGCCAGTGTGTGTGAGTGATCGTCCACTGCTTTCATCGGAGGAATGGGACTGATGGTAATGGCAACATCAGTCGCTGGCTGTCCCAGAGCTTCGCGCGTGATCATCCATGCAGGATAACGGTACGGTCGGACTCGTGCAACCAGAGGCGCAGGCATCCATATCCATCACATTCTTAAAATAGCCTAGAACTTATGGTACTGCTCCTACCTTATTCCACACTTAAAGGTACTCCGAAATTGTGGTGCCCAGGTCACGTCGGGCCAATGGCGTAGTATGCTTGCCATGCCGGCCCAAAACGTGTTTGAATGTTATTTGATAAAAGTTCATTGTTGTGTGGTTGCGCTTTCGTTTGGTCAATCTTTGTACGCAACGTGGCCACTGCTGGATCTCCAAAGGACAATGTGTGCTCGTTTTTCATCCTTAGACTCTTGTTGTTGTCATTTCCTTTCCGTGCGACATCTTGCTTGCGAGACGTCACCATATGTGACAGAGCTAGACTGTCCGTGAAATGACAATGACTTGACACTTTTGGCTTAGGTGAAACACCAGCGGTGTTTTATCATGGGTGGCGTACAGTATCACAGCCTGCTCAACCGTTTAATCGGTAACAGGTTAAAACGGCAGACGATTTGTGAGCCACGTGTTCTAAAATTAGATGACAGCTGATAAAATACAGAGTAAAGATGATCCAGGGTAAGGCTCGTGTGTGTGTGTGTGATTGGGGGTTTACGATGCACTCAGCTGCTGAGTCTATATGGCGTTGTCCGCCTCTCACCCTGGCAGGAAGGGCGGGTAAGGCTCCTGAACATGTAGGAGATATGGGAGATATAACGAGACCAAAGGCCTCGTTATGTTCCCTTGGCCACGAGAGTAAGGGAACATGAGTTATCCGTTCCCCGTCCGCTCTAGGTTAACGTGGCGGCCCTGAAGTGTCAGTTTCTCTTTACACTCTCCAGTGTGACTAGTCTGTGAGCAGCACCCCACAGCTGGACGCAGCGCGAGGCTGCCTCAGTGCGGCCGTTTGTATGTGATGCGAGTGGAACTGACAGTGCGTGGTGTGCTTGCGTGACCGCCAGGGAAGCGCCTGCTGGTGTTCCTGGACGACCTGAACATGCCGGCCAAGGACACGTACGGCTCGCAGCCGCCGCTCGAGCTGCTCAGACAGTGGATGCAGTACGGCTTCTGGTACGACCGCACCAAGCAGTCGTCCCTCTACATGCAGGTCAGCTGGCCTCCGGGGGCGGTGCTACCTCGCTACCTGTCAAGTCTTACCCAGCGTTCACTCACCTATAGTGGTGTGGCTGCCTGTTCGATGGAAGCGTAGTACCCATTTTGTGCTTTACTTCATCGGAGGTTTTGTAGACCATATAGCAGATCTAAGGGGAGATCAGCCAGTAGTAATCAGCGTTGGTGATGTTCAGTTGGCCTTATTCTGGCGCTGTGTCGGCAAGCCACGGACCATGGAACTGAAATCATGCCCGTCATGCAGGACGTGTTGCTGGTGGGCGCCATGGGTCCACCCGGCGGTGGCCGCTCCTTCATCTCTCAGCGGCTGCAGGCTAAGTTCAACCTGGTTAACATGACCTTCCCGCAAGAGTCCCAAATCATCCGCATCTTTGGTACCCTCATCACTCAGAAGCTGTCTAATTTCTCCGAGGACGTCAAACCGCTGGGTAAGAAGCGCTGGGACAGGAAACATTGAGCAGTAATAGTCTGATGGCTTGAACCATTTACACCGATACGACATGCGACAGTTGGCGTTGGCCTGGTTTTAAAGCGATATAATTTTTAATGGCATCTTTGTCTTGATATTTCGGGATGCCACTGTCGTCAGTAGTGCATATATTGTATCATTGTTTTGATATGTTTCGGACAGCACCGCTTCCAGTGGTGCATGTATTGTGCTGCTGTTTATCATCCAGATGATAGGAGACCCTGTGCATGTTGCGCAGAAGTCGTGCGCATGATATCAGCGTGTCAGCCAAGTGGACTCGTTCACGCCACTCAGCCTTGTGAGTGAGCCGGTGCTCAGGAAGGACATGGATTTTAACGAGGCGCCCTCGGTCGTCAGGCGATCTGGTAACGGCGGCCAGCATCGAGATGTACCAGGCGGTCAGCGCGAACATGCTGCCCACGCCCGCTAAAATACACTACGTCTTCAACTTACGGGACATATCCAAGGTGGGTGGTCAGATACCGCGACCCGCTGCAAGTCTTTGTGATGCCCATGCTGTGATGTGGGGTGCACGTGGAATGTGCATTTCGTTGCGCCAAAGTGTTTTATCATTAATGTCCCACGACAGCCGGAAACTATCGCGTGGAAGCGATGCCTTGTTTTTTCAGCAAGATATCCTGGCGTAGAATGCAAGTTCAGATATTTTTTTTATCTCAGGCCGTTACCCGAAAAGAAGCGGTGAGTTTAGCGTGCCAGGTGATGGCTTTACAGGACCGTTTTGTGGTTAAGCTTGTTCCTTCAAGTCGGGAAAAACGAAAAAAACTGACCCCTCTTGTAAGGTGGAGCAAAACGATCTTTTTGCTCCAACCCACATCCGAAATGGAAGGGGCCCTCGGGTATCTGGCAGCTCTTGCTTTTTCGTTATCAAAGTATGCGTAGAGGGCCCATGTGTGGTCCGGAAAGGACCCATCTTAAGCTCAAAAGGGAAATTTTTTGGTGTCCGCGAAATGCCCATCTTGAGCTGGAAATGGCCCATTTTAACACGGAAAACACTCACGTCACTTCCAGACACGGAAGTGACACGCTAGTTTAGGTTAGCACGGTTAGTTAGTGACACTTTCTGGTCTGGAAATGGCCCATCGTAATGCCAGGTCGGCAAAAGGGTCCATGGTAGGCTCAGCCTTGAAAGGGCCCATCACAAAGTCAGAAACGGCCCGTCTCAAACCAGGTAGGGACCCAGTATAGGCTGAGGAAAGTAAAACTCAAGGTTCGGAAAAGGCCCATTGCACTTTCTGAGCCTGGGAAGGGGCCATCTCTGATCTGGAATGGGCCCATCATAGGCTCAGAAAGTCAGAAAGTCAGAAAGTGGCGGCGTAGCCACCAGATAGACTCTCCAATGTGTGAAGTAAAGGCCAAAATCGCCTGTTAGTCTTTTCCTCCAGATTTCAGTTGGCCCGAATAGGGACACCGATGGATTGGTGAAAGACGTTCGTCTATTGCGTAGCATCAAAATGGGCGTAGATAGTCCATCTCAGGTCCGGAAAGGGTCATTGTCAAGGCGGGACAACTCCTATAAGAGTTTTAGGCACTGAAAGGGCCTTTTCCGACCTGAAAATGGCCCACTGTAGACCCAAAAAGGGCCCATTTCTGATCAGGACAGGCCCATCCTAACCTCAGAAGAGGTCCGTCTCGAATCCGGGTGGGGCCCATCGTGAGAACAAAGGGCCTTCTCAGATCTGGAATGAGCCCATTGTAGACTCAAGGAGACCCCCACTTAAATTATGAAATGACACATTATATACTGTAGGAATGGGCATCTCAAGTCTGGAAGAACCCATCCAAACTCTTAAGCCCGAGAAAGATCCCCCAAACTCCATCTCAGACCCGAGGAGAGACCAGAGTTTTGGTAATAAGGGGTACAGCGGCATAGGGCTGGGTGAAGGGCTGTCGGCTACAGACATCCCCGAAAAATTACCGGACTGGGTCCATTTTATTTCGAGAGCTCCAGCTTTCTTCACTTTTCGTCATCATGCCGACAAATACGTTTGTTCAGGGTCCCAGTGGTCTGAACACTAAAGAGACCCCTTGCCTTTCGCGGACAGGGAGCCCCTTGGTAGAATACTAGGAGTCCCTTGCCTTTCTTAGTCAGGGGTTGAAGGGAATTTCCTTTCGAGCCTGCCACCCGGGGTGCTTGCCGGCTGTCATTCTGGAGACACGATGACTGGAGGCCCTCGGTCCGTCCGGAAGGCCACATAGGGTGTATCATCGATCGGTCGCCTCTCTGACTCGGAACCGGAAAAGAGCCGTCTCCGATCAGGAAAGGCGCATTGCAAACTCAGTAAGGGACAGTTTTCAGCTATGAAGGGGCCCATTGCAGGCTAAGAAAGGCGCTTTCAGGTTTGGAGAGGGCTATAATAGACTCAAAAGGGCTCTTGTCAATCAAGGGACTTTCCATTTTGGGTTGAGAAAGTAAACATCTCGTGCGCCGAAATGGCATCTCGTCTTTTAGGCCCGGCATGGGACCGCGTCTGGTTAAACTTAGAAATGGCTCACGTTACGTCTGGAAAGTGTCACTCATTTCGCGCCCGAAAAAGGCACAGGTCAAGAGAGATGCGGGAACTATGTTCCATTTAGGGGCGGAGCGAAATCCAGAATACAAAAATGGGCTCTCCTGCTCCCTACCTACCGTTTAGTTGACCCATTAATTCGAATTTAAAAGATAACATTTTACCCACGGCACATACTACTAAATTCATACGCTCAGAAGAGACTTACGGGAGAGCGGGGAGGGTTGTTGCAGGAAAGAGTTTGACACATCCGTCTATGCTACTGCAGCGTGGATCTAATCAGTTGGTAGAGCTATGAAACCAGCTTAGACAGGAAATTGATCGGGACTCCGTGATTCGGCAGTGGCGTTCAAACCCATTATCCGTTAATGAAGCAGTTTTGGCAGGCGACGATTTAGAGCGCACCGGAGCTTTTATTCTCAAGGTTTGGCTGCACTCAACGAAAGTCAAGGGCACTTCCCACTCACGCGCGGCATTAGAAAACGCACAGGAAAATGTGCCTGTAGTTAAGGGCTATCGTAACGGGCCGGAGCCATGCTCACATATCAGCGGTAACCTCCACCCGGTCTGACCTGTGGTTAAGGGCTATCGTGACGGGTCGGAGCTATGCTCTGACGTCAGCGGTAACCTCCACCCGGTCTGACCTGTGGTTAAGGGCTATCGTAACGGGCCGGAGCCATGCTCAGATATCAGCGGTAACCTCCACCCGGTCTGACCTGTGGTTAAGGGCTATCGTGACGGGTCGGAGCTATGCTCTGACGTCAGCGGTAACCTCCACCCGGTCTGACCTGTGGTTAAGAGCTATCGTGATGGGCCGGAGCCATGTTCTGATATCAGCAGTAACCTCTACCCGGTCTGACCTGTGGTTAAGGGCTATCGTGACGGGTCGGAGCCATGCTGTGATATCAGCGGTAACCTCCACCCGGTCTGACCTGTGGTTCAGCGCTATCGTGACGGGCGGGGACTATGCTCTGATATCAGCGGTAACCTCCACCCGGTCTGACCTCTAACCCGACACTGCCTGATCTTCGGCCGGTCTGTTCCAATCCTGCGGTGGGTGAGGAACAACAGCTTCGAGTGGTTGTGAAGGTGGCTTGTATTGTATTCCCAAAGGGCTTCGAGGAGGCCTCTACGTTTCGACTGCTGACGGTGTATGACATTTAGATAAAAACTGTTATTTACGAATCCGCCTGAAGCGGCAAATACCATCTTCTAATAAGTAACCCTTGTTTCGGTAACGTGTTGGAAAAAGTCTGTTATTAGTAGGTAGTGCCCAGATGAATATGGCTGAAACAGCTGTTCTTATGTTAGCTTATATTTTTATAAATTTAATTTCAGTAACGGTATTTTGCGGTACAACACGACTGGAATTGTCTGGCTATTGCTAACCGTTTGGACCCACCATGCCGGTAACATTAACGTTCGTAAATTAAATTTATTTGCCCAGAATTAACTAGTTACAAATTGTGGAGCATAGCCTTGAACATACTGGCTCGCAAGTCTAAGAAACAAAACCCCGACGCCCGGAATTGTAGCTTCCATAGGCCACGCCGGGCCGGTCTGGTGGTTGACACCAGCTGGCGGCCAATGGGCGGACGAGAATGATGGCGCACCTAAAAGAAATATACCATTAAACGCTTTAGGACATCATGTCGACCTGACCTATGCGATTTTACGATTCTGGCAGCGATGGTAAATTTTGTAACTAGCTTTTAGATAACTTTAACTAACATTTAACTGACCTGAGTGGCCATTGCTTTGATGGTGTCAGTAACATGTCTGCCAGAGTGTCTGAAGTACAGAACAGGTGTTTCCAGAAGCAGTCTTAGTCTGTGTACTGCCGCAACCATGCGCTGGACCTAACGCTTGCTGGGGACACAAAAGAAGTGCTGCTGGTGCCCGAGCAATGAAGCTGGCGAGGAAAGCGTCGAATCGCCTGATCGCTGCAAAGAGCATGTTCGAGTAGCTCAGCCGGAGCGGGGGTGACAGAGAAGGCGGCGTCGGTGAAGCTAGAGCACGCCGTCCACAGAAACTTCTGGTTTTGCGCCCAACGCGGTGGACTGTGAGGTGTGATGCATTCCGGCGCTTCTTGGACAATTGGCACACTCAAAGGCTTGTCTGAGCAAAGAGGAGCGCGCTCAGATACACGAAGCCAGATGAGAGAGACCCTGGCTCAGCTGCGGTGGCTTGACATCATGTTTGCACCGTCCATGTGCATCCGACTTTTCTCGCCATGTGAGCTCTTCGCCAGGCAGCTGTAGGGACCTTCCATGGCTGCTGGTGAGGTGCTCCTCAGTGCGTAGACGCTCATCAGGATCATGCAAGGTATGACAGAGGAGAAAACCTTCACAGACCTCTTCAACAGAGTCCAGCAGAAGGTCGCAGAAGTAGATGCTCATGTCGACCCTCCAGCAGTCTCGAGACTGACCAGGCCACCGAAACGTCGGGAGCGGCGCGGAGGTGCTGTGGGTGACACGGAATTTGACAGCCGGACCTCTGTCCGTCGCCAAGAGTATGAGACAGTGGGCCCGATAACGGTCGAGCTGTAGCGTCGCTTCGATCAGCCCGGGCTGGAACGTCCCCAGGTGCTGGCAGACAACGTCATCAAAGACCAAGTTAAAACAATAGTCGAGCTTTGAGAGTCACTAGGCGCTCATAGATCTCCGGGGCTGCTGGCTGCGGAGCTGCTGGCCTGTCGCACCCGACGTCGACCCAGAGCTGCTCTCAGCGCAGCTGAAAATCCTTCGCGAACCGTGGCCGACGGACCATCCGATTGTAAAACTTTAGCCTAAACGGCAGAAGTTCATGACAGAAGTTAAACGTATCGTGATGTTCGGCTCGGTTCACCCCGTCCATCGTGGGCGGCCACTGACGCCGATCTCAGGTCCTCCCGGTTATGGGCAAATAGCGAGCACCAAAGCGACGCGGACCTTTTTCTCGATCAGTAAATATGCTCCTCAATACGTCATTGTCTCATTACGTCATCCGATTTTGCACAACATTGATTGAAAGCCAATTGATGGCCGTCGTATCTGGAAATCATGCTCACAAACGCCAGATATGAACGACTCGAAAATTATATTTTTGGCCTGGATTTCAGCAAGGCTAATGAAAAAGCGGATCTGGATAACGTTAGCATGGTATCATGGATGCTGGGGTAACCTTGAAATAATTACACGAAATAGCCTGCACATTTTCGCGGGCGTGTACCTCGAAAACCAGATGGGTTTAGGTCTCAAGGAAGGCAAACCTGTGAAGTGCACCGAAGGATCTTCAAGAAAGCTATTTCAGTTAAAAATTCCACACAAGTGTAGAATATTCCATTTACCCCAGCCACCTTGGCGCAGCTGAGTTGAGGCAGGCACTGTTTGAGATACAATGACGGCCACTCGTTGGTTTTACGACCGAATAAAAAGCTCACTGAACTGTAGTTGCTCATCACTTGGGGGTGGGCTGCGGGTGCATCGGTGTAATGAGACCTTCGTTAATTCATTGCCTCCCTCCCCAAATTCGGAAACGCTGCCACTGCACAAAAAGGGTCTTGAGTCATCGAGGCTCTCAAAAGAAAAGAATGCTATTACAAATGCGTATCTATACCGCGAACTTGACTACTGTTTTTGGAACCTGTTGGTTTGAATCCCAGAGGTCATCTTCATTTGAGAACTCAACTAAGCCATCATCTGCGCATCTATAAATAAATGGACCGTCTGTTTAGCATACTTCCCATTGGTTTAAACATGACAACTATCAGTAAATAACATGCCTAGCGGGATCCCGCAACGTTACAACACCAGCAATCTGTGTGTACATGTTTGCCTGTGGACAAATGGAGACAGCCTCTTCACTGCGAATTCACAACATTCTCTCAATAATGGGCAAGGGAACTCACATATACACAATATTCTGTCAAGAATGGGCACGGGAACTCCAACAGCTGAAAGAGACGAGTGGTGATAGACGTAGTTCAGAATGATGCCAATAGTAGCATCAACAAAAACATTAGTGAACAGTTATGTCGCGTTCAGAGAAGTTAATGTACCTCGCACACCCCATGACTTATTTGCCCTAGCCCTTCCCTATGCGTGCCAGTTCCGGGGACTCATCAACATGGCAATACCAATATGGCAATATATATATATATATATATATATATATATATATATATATATATATATATATATATATATGAAGCGTCTGTCCTAATTTTTCTCTGTCGCTCTTTCTATCTACATACCTATCGAAAAGCTCATGTACCTTGATAATGCATTGGGATGGTCCATGCTTCCTCGTTGAAACTCTCGACCTCTCTGAACATCTTCATGCCTCTGCTCGGCGTAAACCCACTTAGTGGCATAGCGAGAAGCTGTTAATCACTTCGTGTTCACGAAGAGGCCTTGCTTCCAGACTTGACCATAATCCTTACCGCAGGTGTTCCAGGGACTGCTCCGCTCCAACCGCGACTACTGCGACACCAAAAACGCGTTTGTCCGCCTCTGGATCCACGAGTGCCTCAGAGTGTTCGCAGACCGTCTCGTCGACTCGAAGTGAGTGTTGGCGCCGCGCGGTCGCTGTCTACGGAGCGCGGCTTGTACGTGAACTCTACGAGCTTGTTCCCAATAACCGGCGCAGTTCCATTCTTCGACGTGAAACTACGGCAGCTGCTATTGTGCTGTTTATTCAACAGATGTGCATTGCCCCTCCCACATGAACCATTCTTGTAGTAGTCTTGGCACCTATCGACTCGCCGCGACTGCGTACCATATTTTCGGCTTCAGGCTGGTGGGACAGTCTTCCACTTACAGGACATCGTTTTGCTGCTGTGCTTGTTTGCTAAGTACCAGGGTGTTAAATACACAGGTTACACACTTAACGCTGGCGTACACTATTTACCACTGTTGACCGCACTATTCATTCCATGCTGAAAAACTCACCGCGAGTGGAATGCTCCGCGAAAACAGCTTGCACCTCACGCGAGAGCATATATCCGCTCCGTGAATAGATCAAAAAGCGTCGAATGACTTCTGTATGCCAAACTGGCATTCTTTGTTTCAGAGACATGGAGTGGTTCATGGGACTGATGGGTGAGAAGCTAGGCTTGCACTTCGATCAGACCTTCCACGCCCTGTGCCCCAGCAAGCAACCGCCAATATTCGGTGAGTGACATATGACGCTGGCATCATTTCGATGGAAAACTGTACATGGATACTATGTATAAGTATATATATATACATATATATATATACATATATATATATATATATATATATATATATATACGTATGCATGTATGTATGTATGTATGTATGTATGTATGTATGTATGCATGTATGTATGTATGTATGTATGTATGTATACATACATATAAGTGGTGCTGTGGAGCAGGCTTTCCTTCCGACATATCATTGAAAATGACAACATATATGACAATGAATTTCTTTTAGATAATGACTCAGTTCTCAAAATTAGTCATTTCCTGTCATTGGGAGAACTGTTAAGAAGGGCGCCTTTATTACTTTGTAACATCTTATTGGTCCTGCCAACATCATCAGCCAACTTAGGCGCAATTGCACATAACAATAATATGCGAAACCTTTGTGGTTGCATCGGCTCAAAATTACGTTTGTGCATTTCTCTTGCTCAAAATAGGTAATTGGATTTTACGAAAGAGCCGCTAACATGCACAGCACTAGGGTCCACCCCGTGTTATGACGAGCACTGGTAATGTCTTTACCGGCTTAGTCGCCCCCCTCCCCCTCCTTTATTTTTTTGCGTAGTCATCCGTCTTGAGAGTGTGGTCGTAACAAGGCCGATTTATGAGGTTGGTCGACGTGCGCAGGCGCCGATTTGGCATTGAACTCGTGGACAACATTGGCCACTTTCAGTAGCGAGCTACTTTTGAACAATGCAATTTGTTTTTCATTGAAGCTCAATGTACGTTAAACTCACCTCAAACTACGCATACCGGTTTTCTGTTTTCTTTTCACATTTTACGTTCTCTTCTTCCACTAGCATTTTTCGTACTGGACTGGAGATAGAAACGCGTCGTAGGTATACCCGTAGGTATACCGTAGGTAGGTGCTACCCTTTTTGCCACTCACGCCTATTTTTACATTACAGGGGTCACGCCATGATGTCCAGATGACATTTATGAATATATGACACATTGATAAATGTCAGAAGGTAGCACTGAAAATCTCATTCATACCATTTAGTAATATATAAGATATTGCTAAATGTCGGGCGGCACTGAATATTTCATTCATGCCATTTGGCAATATATGACATATTCCTAAATGTCAGAAGGTAGCGCTGAATATCTCATTCGTGCCATTTTGGAGTATATGAGATATTCAGTGCCGCCTTTCGTGTGGTGCCAGTTTGTTAAATTTTGGGAACGCCAGAGTTGCCTGGCTCCCCCCCCCCCCCCCTCCCGCCCGTCTAAGGACTATGAGAGCACTGCCATAGTCATGCCAACGCTGCGTGTAGAATCTGGCGAAGGTTAGTTTTTTTATTTGTCTTCGGGCTCTTGTTAACCACCTGAGTGAACCATATCAGCCTATTGTGTTGTTCTGTCCGGACAGCAGCAACTCCGAAGCTGTGCGTTGCTACCATTTCACTCCCGTTGTTACCTCAGGCGATTTCATGAACGCCAATGAGACTTATGAGGACATCGTGGACATGGAATCTCTGAAGACCTACATGGAGGCGCAGCTGCAAGAGTACAACAGCACAGCCGGCGTTGTACCCATGAGCCTTGTGCTTTTCCACGACGCCATCAGCCACGTGTGCCGCATGGTGCGCGTGCTCAGACTGCCGCGAGGAAACATGCTGGTCATCGGTATAGGTACGTCGGATGCGGCAACTCCTTCCCCTTTTTGGCAGCGCAGTCCTGGAATGAGCTGATGGAAGGGGGTGCTGTCTCGCGGACGGTGCGTTGCATTCCGCCTCCACCGCATGCCTATCCGTTCAGGAGTCAGCAGCGTTACTGGAGCACTGCATGCAATGATATCGGGCCAGATTTACTTAGGGGGTGATGTTAACGGGTGGCTGCGATTGGTTGTTGTCTTTCCTCACTCCTTGGCTGGTTGAAAGACGTAGTTAAATACATCCTTCGGCTGCATTGCCGCTCAGTTTTTCAGTCGTGTGCTCTTAATTTTGATAATTTTGGGGCGGTTACTGAGAGACATTGAAATAAAATTTGTAGTACATGGTAAAGAAAAGAGACTGCCTTATTATTCAAAATACGTTCACCCGAGACTCATATAAACGCAAAAACACTAAGTGTGCCAAAACTTATGTCCGTGTGATGTCTATGCATTTTGCATGTCGCTTGTTGGCTCAAAACGGATCAGCTGGTTACGTTTGTGTTCATAACGGGTTTAATGTATTGAATAATTGTTCGTTATTCAGGTTTGCGTTCAAACTGTGGACAGATCCAGAAAAAGGTTGAAGCTTTTTGTAACAAAAAATGTCGCTTCGCTTATCGTGCGGCTGCACCACCCTTTTAGAACTGAAAGCTGCTATTTTGTTGGTGTTGGTGAGTTAGCTGTCTGGGCTTGGTACCATGCTCATGAGTTGGCTTTGGTCTGTACAGGCGGCAGCGGCCGCCAGTCGCTGGCTCGGCTGGCCGCCTACGTGTGCGGACTCTCCGTCTTCGTGATCGAAGTGAATAAGCACTACCATAGGGTGGAGTTCCGGGAAGATCTGAAGGTGCTGTACCGCACCACCGGTCTGGACAACAAGCCCACCGTTTTCATCTTCAATGACGCCCAAGTAAGATTGTCGGCCAGTCCAGGAATGATGATACCTCTCGGGGCGTGCTGTCCGCGTGGACGATCGCTGATTGTATATTTCCGCCATATTTATGCTTGCACTGTATTTGACATTGTTTGCATCGTGCAGTATTTATATTGCTTTAAGCATTGGCATCTTCGCTGGCATTAGTGGCATCATGCCGCTGTGTATATCATGTCAATGGAATATCAGCGTCTCCTGGGTGTCTAACTTGCATAGGTCCCTCAGATAGCAGTCACGTTTCGTTCATGCTGCCTCCAATGGTTTCGATTGTCCTGCCTCTCTGACGCCGACATCCCATGGACAGGTGACCGAGGAAACGTTTCTGGAGGACATCAACAACATATTGAGTAGTGGTGAAGTGCCCAACCTTTTCAAGCCCGAGGAGCTGGAGGAGGTAGGTTGCATGCCGGAGGACGTAGACCACTGTGGAGGGCCAGAGGCGGTCATTGGTCGCGTAAACCACTGGTGACCAATTCGGAGCGGTAGATCTGCGATTGCGCGCAGTGTTTTGGATAAAAAAGTCTGGGTGCTAGCAAAGCTAGCAAAAAAAGCTGGGTGCCGGTATGGACACGGAAAACAGCTTTTGAAATTTTGGGTATAACCACAGCTGCCAGCTGTACAAATAGACGACTTTCTTGAATGTGAAAGACGCCACAAACATATTGTACAGGGCAATAATCATAGCACTGTGTGAAAAAGATCAAAATTATCAAAAAGCCATTTTTTACAAATACTGATAAAACTTGTCACGTAAACATCCAAGCAAAGACAAGGCATGTACAACAACTAGGCATCACAAAAATGAAGCCATCAACATGTAATAGCTTACGCAAGGGTGATCAACATTTCACTATCAGTCTGTGTATCTACTATCGAACTTTCGGCATGACATACTTAAACAATGTGTATCAACCTTCCCAGCTTCCCAGGTACGTTGACTAGAGACCTATTCAATAATACATAGCATACAAAACCATAGCAGGCCATAGGCTGCACACATCACAAAATATGATGCTGGCAAGCATCTGCGGGAATGGGTGTAGTCACGGGGGTTGGGAGTACAAGGACTCGTCAACCAGTCTTCTCTTCTCTTAAACTTGGGGGTGTCGTTCCCTCTCATCGAGAGCAAAAGCATCATGCGAACAACAAATCAACATGCAAGACTGTAACTAGTGAAATCCTGGGTCCCCCCATTGACAACGAGTGAACAAACATCTGCATGGGCTTCAAGTTCCTGAATTGAAAGGTTTTGCCTTCGTTTCCTCAACAGCACGCAGCACAGAGGAAGGAGTTTGGTGACGCCTTATGCAATGCTTAAGTTCCAAGTAAGGCGCACAACGACATTTCCGCGCAACTGCGCTTGGGTCGTTCAGCTGGTTGCCGATTCGGAAGAAGGTTGTCACTTTTAAGCCTGCAGGCCCGCAAGGCACCGGCTTAGAAAGTCAGCAGCACTTTGAGCGAGTATTGTTGAGTACATTGCAGGTTTTTGGCGGGTATTATACACGTAAAATTCACCTTCTTATGTTTTCTTCACCATGTACGTAGATGTTGTTATTCAGCAATTGTTAAGAGATACTGATGGAAAAAGAGGTTCTTGCACAAAAACGATGAAGCAAGGAAGTGACATTTCAATTAAAAGCTTTCCAGTCATGCAATACGTGTCATATTACAACCGCACTCTATTGTACATGCAGGTTGTAGCTTCAACAGCAGGGTAGCATGGCTGAATAGCTGTGCTGCCTATAGTTACATATTACCACAGCTGGGGGGCGGAACGGCCTGGTGATCAGCGTGTCGGTGTGCCACGTGGGGCCTTTGATGAGCCATGGCCTCTGAGCACCAGTGCAATCACTGCCAATCCATAAACGGGGCATGAGGACCTGTGTCGCGCTCCCTTTTTTAGGAAAAAACTACAGCTGGCATTTTTATATATCTTGCCGTACTCTGCCATACCGCACACACAGTGACTTATACAGTAGGTATCCATCGGAGGTATATGTACACTAAAAAACAATTGCAAGAATTATGCGAAAGTCAGGCAGAATGCAACAGTGTATTCGGCTACCGGCCTTCATCATTTTGAGAGAAAAGCACAACCAATCGTGTGTGCTGTAATATTTTTTCAAACTGATAGCATTTTTGTCGTAGTTTCTTCAGGCTCTTGGCCTACGACTGCTTCTTTAAACATAAATTATCATGGTGCTCAGTCACCCTCCCGCTTCGGCATCACACACTGACCTCGTTACCCATTAACAAAATGCCTTGACAAAAAAAAACAATGATATGAAGTGCGCTAACGTTTAGTGCCGTTTTCCCTGCTCGGACCCGACCAGCCGGTGCCCGTAGGACGGCAGTGCCTGCGGGACTGACGCCGGCAGAGGCCGGACGGCAGTGCCTGCGGGACTGACGTCGGTAGAGAGTGCCTGCGGGACGCGGGACTGACGCCGGCACAGGCCAGACGGCAGTGCCCGCGGGACTGACGCCGGCAGAGGCTAGACGGCAGGGCCCGGCTAGACGGCAGTGTCCGCGGGACTGACGCCAGCAGAGGTCAGACGGCGTGCCGCGGGACTGACGCCGGCAGAGGCTAGACGGCAGTGCCCGGCTAGACGGCAGTGTCCGCGGGACTGACGCCGGCAGAGGTCAGACGGCGTGCCCGCGGGACTGACGCCGGCAGAGGCTAGACGGCAGTGCCCGGCTAGACGGCAGTGTCCGCGGGACTGACGCCGGCAGAGGCCAGATGGCAGTGCCTGTGGGACTAACGCCGACAGACGCCAGATGGCGTGCCCGCGGGACTGACGCCGGCAGAGGCCAGACGGCAGTGCCAATGGTCGTGGGTAGCGCAGACGCGTGAGGAGCCGCAGTCATCGGCTATCAGCGGTCCGATGTGCTTAGCATTGCCGGCCTGGTGTGGTTGGCCATTGCGACGCTGGTGTGTGGTGCGGAGCGTGTAGATTGTACCAGTCCGCCGTCCCCGGATTGCTTGGCCCGCGGGATGTGGCTGTGCACCATGGCGCGTCCGGCCTCGATGGGACCTCCTCTGACAGCTCACAGCCGGTCTGATAAGACTCTGTTCCGCAGATCCGCAATACACTGCAGCCCGTGGCTATCCGAGAGGGCATCCCAGAGACCCCCGAAAACCTGTACGGCCTGCTGCTGGACCGGGTCAGGTCCAACCTGCACCTCTGTGTCTGCATGAGTCCCGTGGGCGATGCCTTCAGGTCAGCACTGCTTAGGCTGTCATGGTGCTCGGAACTGGGGTTAAGTCTGTGTCGCGTCTGAACGCCTATTGCGTGTCTTTTCGCACATATTCGTCGTACATTTATCAAACATGTGATAAGCGGCTATTACCAAAAGCGTTATAATGACATGATGGCATGATGGCAGCGTTACAGCTGTAGACAGGACACACAAAGTCTCATTTAAGGTTTCGAGATGTGTCGGAGTTGTTGGCGTTTTTTATAACCCAGATATTGGTTACGCTGGAGAGAAATTAAAAAGGAAACTTTGTTGTATAGCTAAGTTTTTTTTTAACTCCATATTTGGGCTTGCTGAGATGAAAGTAAAATTGAAACCATTTTGATGTGCTGCACCCTGTAATGTACACCATGACGCGCTCCAAGCTGTTACCGACCCAAATCGTGTGACATATCAAGAATGTCTTTAGCTCCTGGTTTTTGGCATCATTGTTTATTCTGCTGGGAATACCCTATTTGCAGTAAGCCAGTGGGTCCTGATTTAAGTGACATTATCAGCCATCATCAGCATATACATGGTGATGCAAAACACATCAACAGTAGCTTATGGGTCAGCTAGGTCTTGTCTTAGCGGTCGTAAGGCAATGCCAGGATTTTTTTTCTTCAAAGTATGCAACATGATCTGCAGAATAGGGTGGTCCCCATACAACATACTTAAAAGTATAGCTGTAGAAGACGTTGACACGCTCGGGTAGGGGTCAAGTTGACCTCTCCGAAGATTTTACTGAATGGTTTCTGAATGGAGCGGTATAGCCGCGCCAAATTTTGCATGCCTGTAGACAGTTGAGTAGCGGATCGTTTGGTATCAAAAATTTAGATGTGCCTCGTAGATCGCTGACCTACGGCAGGCCAAAGTCAGGTCATGGATTCAGCGTAGTCGATTTCTAGGAAATCGTTCAATCTGGTGCAACAACGGAGTGTTAGGCGAAACCATGCATCTCTGAGATAGTCTCCTAGGCAACACAACAATGGAATGAACAAATTCCATTGACCTGGGGTCAGGTATGAAGGTCAGACCAAGGTCAGAGCCAACCTGTCTTGTTACTCTAGAGTTTGCTGTATGGGGTAGTTTGTGGTACCCATTTCGAATTGATTGACGACACGAGACGCATTGTACATCTTCCATATTTTGTCCACTTGACTTGTCCACGGCCATATTATGTCACTGACCTAAAATGACCTTGGTCAACGCTTTGTTTTTAGGAACATACCGCCTAACGTAATCCTTGTCGCTTATTCACATGCAAAACTCAAGGCAGTATTGTATAATTATGGTCACCATAACTTTCAAAAGGTCAAACAAGGTCACTGATCTTGAATGAGCATGTGAACTTTTGCTTAGAACGGTTACAGGGTTCTGGGGGTGCTTTGAAGACCAACCTGAAGTGTGACCTTGTTTGACCTCATTTGAGACGAAAGTCATGACCAATGAATGTCAAACTTTGACCTAAGTGAGCTCATGTACAGGCCAACACACACTGTGAATTTGGTGTCTCTAGCTTCCTTAGTTCGTGAGATCTTAGCGGTATCAAATTAAACCCCACCCGAGCGAAGGATGTCCAACCGGCCAACCGGGAGCGTGTTAAAACAAACACTGCTCAAAGTCCGCATGGAATGCCTGTTTCTCGATGAAAAGCCACTTTATGCCGTGTCTCAATGAATGATCGTGTCGATGTGTGTCGACACATCTTGAACTCCTTTTTTCTAGGTAGCTATCACAAAGCTACGAATCATAGAAGGATTGTAGTGACGAATCATCTGTTCGTCATGTGTTAATGTTCGTTCACTTCTGCGTCGCAGTAATGTGGCCGCATCCGCAGACGTGTGATCTGGATATTATGCTCGCTAGTAGCTGCGTCTTGAATGCAGATTTACCTGACACACGCTGGAGTGTACGCACGGTACATGACACCATGGAAACGGTCGACGGCAGTGGTGATAGTAACCGCCAGATCAGGAGCAGATCAGAATCAGTCATCTCCGATCTCACGGCATGTGATTGAGGCCATTGTAAAGCTCATCAAGGCATGCATCGCCAGCCACGGTACTCGCTTTGGACATTTAAGCTTGCGTTTGCATTTTACGTTCTACATTTGTGTGAGGCGATTTTCAGTAATGACACTACGGTATGCATTTGCTGCGTTTTATGTGTGGGGTTTGAGGATTGATTGGATGGGATATCAAGACCTAAGTTGATACAGCAATGACGTAAATTGATACTATCATGGTTCGTGGGCTTTCATGGCAGGTTTATGACCCCTTCAAACATTGGTAGCCGTTCGACAGATCGGTGTGCGCGAGGCTAACAAATGGTTGTCGGGGCGCCGATCAGCCGCATCTCGGATATGCGTGACATTGAAACGGGTCAATACGCCTTTGACCTGGCGAGGCGGAAGTGCAATATTCAGCGGGGTAGAAAAAAAACGTTTGCAACTCCGTTAACCGAAAATCAAACATCAATCACGATGCGCTTGGCTGTTTGGGAAGATACCACCGGAAGAGACTGCAAGGCTTGTCTCCTTTCGCGGCGGTGTGGGCAAATATCAAGCTAATCAAACGCGCCTGACGCCCATTTTGGCCTTGGGCGCCCTTTTTGGCCACAACTTAGCTTACGGGGTGGCTGGTGCAAACTCATGATCAGTTACAATGATATTCTAAAAGATCTTCCCGCTCATCCATGCGCCATGATCTGCTTTTTTCTGTAGTGTCTGCGGTTCGGCATAAGAAGTGCCTTCTACTTGACTACATCTCGTTCAACTGTTTTCAGAAACCGCATCCGCATGTACCCTGGGCTGGTGAACTGTTCGACGATTGACTGGTTCGGCGAGTGGCCGCTAGAGGCGCTGATGGAGGTGGCCGAAAGATACCTGGAGGGCATCGATCTGAACCTTGGCGCTGACACTGAGCTGCTCAAGGTTGGCATCAGTTGGACTGCTGCACTGCAGACTTGTCGTCAATGGCTACGCGTTGTTGACAGCTATGATGTGTCACTAGATCATATGTCTCGAAGATGTCATTGATAATCCGTCCAAACAAGAGACCTGTCCTGGTTCATTGTCTGAGCTCGTGACCACCGCTCGAAGCTATATGTGAATCATGTAAGAAAGGTTTCTGGTGATCCGTTGTTCAATGCTTAATTTTAAATTTGTCGACCTGCGGTGCACCATGGCGCACATTATGTAAAAAATTGTAGTTTATGTAGTGGATATACTAATTTTCATGTGTTTTATTTTTATTGGTGTCGTTATTATTTGCGTTTGTTTTCAGATTTTGGTTACCATACTCAAATTTGCATTGTCTACCCGAATGAACACCTTCGTTCAGGCAATGGCCAATTAACTGTACATTGATGGTTGGTTATTTTCAGCATACGAATTCCCGACTGCTTGAAGCCAAGGAGTGGAACGATACAGAATGTAGTAACATCCTCAGACTTTTCCGCACACAAAGCGTGCCAAAAGCCCTCGAAAACATAGACAAAGTGCAACACCAGAAAGTCTAACTATTTTCGAAGCAACTACCACTGCTGTTGGTAATGTTGGTTATTCGGTAGGTTATACCATGGTCTCTGGTCTTCAGGAAGAGCTGCAGGCGGCCGTAGCGCACACCTTCTCCGTCATCCACCGGTCCGTGACGGACTACTCGGCCCGTATGCTGGCCGAGATACGACGCCACAACTACGTCACATCCACTAGTTACCTGCAGCTGGTGGCCGGCTACAAACAGTGAGCTCCGTAAACAACAGCCTTTCGGGAGGACTGTACAAGCGAGAGGACTAATCTCTTTCTTTCGGCCGGAAAACTGGTCATTTTCCTAATATAACAGGCAGATGTAGTTAAAGAGGCTGTTTCCATCCCAGCGTCTTTAAAAGATGAGGTCCTCCGAGCGCCGAAAAAAGCCTCAAAACGGCTCGCGCTTTTCTGAAAGACGCTACCCCTTCTTACGAGATGGTTACACTGACCAGATACTATTCATGCATGCTGGGCCGCGGACCACCAATAGCCATTTATCTGGCATTGGGTGGATCACGAGGTACTTGGCATTGCCCGGCCCCTGACTAGGCCGGCCGCATTCCTGAACTGAAGTGACCCGTTTGTCAGCGGATCCCGTCGGCACTGTGGGTGACATGACCCCGCCCCCACCTTCACGCTCTTCAGGCTGCTGGCAGAGAAGAGGAAGGAGCTGGGGGATGCGGCTAACAAGCTAAGGAACGGCCTACACAAGATCGATGAGACAAGCGTCAAGGTCGAGTCTATGTCCGTCGAGCTGGAGATCGCAAAGGGCAAAGGTGAGTGTCAGAGGGTTAGCTGCGCATTTGAAACACCAGAAATCCAAACCTTTTTCATGGTGCCTATCGTGTCATAGTCAAAATGCGCAATCGGATTCGCAATCGCTTTGCCGCATAATGAGCATCGCTCTTCCCGCAACCTGCCGTTGAAGATCTCTTTGTTTTGGTTGTGGTCGAGCTCTAGCAGCAGTGTCAGGAGTGCCTAGTGATGGTTATGGAATATTTCGTGTTCCGGCAGTGGCTGAGTTCCAGCAGCAGTGCGAGGAGTACCTGGTGGTTATCGTGCAGCAGACCAGAGAGGCGGACGAGCAGCAGCGATCCGTACAGCTCAGGTCGGTTACGATGCTTCAGCACAAGACCGGGGCAAGAGCCGCTCTCTGGTTTGTGATAGGGCGTTAAACAGCGCGAGCTCGCCAAATTATCACGCATCACATGAAGTAGAATCATGGAAACAATGGCCGACCTTTGCAGGTGCTGCAGCGTCTCCATTACAACACACCAAGTTTTAGCTGCGCTAGCATGTGATTAGCTTCAGATCGGCTCCCAGGTGGGAGGCCCAGCTTGTGATTGAGCCCGGTTGCGCCATGGCCACTGGTCGTTAATGTGGCCAAAGTGAGCATGCCCGCTCCGTAAAAGGATACGTGACGACGTGCCTCTTGTTCCCTTTCACAACAGCAAGGCTAACTGCGGATCATGGTTTTTCATGTTTCCTCGAAATCTTTCGGGATAGCTCAGAATTGTGATCTGAAATAGTCGCTCCTGTGGAAGAAATCTCATTTTGGAGTCCCTGCTCACCACTATGAAAGCAATACATTTAATTTGGGATGTTTTTTTAACGTGCGTGTTCTGTAGTGTTCCTCCTCCTTTTATGGAGCGGACGTGCCCACATCGGCCACATTAACGATCAATGGCCATGACGCAACCGCGCCTCGAAGTCGTGCGGATCGAATCGCATGCGTCTGATCCAACAACAAATGAGATGTGCGACAAGGGGGACATACTCCCTTTAGCACAAACAAATAACCTCCAAAACAGTTTCCATCTCCAAAGGCGCGATCAGCCATGAAAGGCAAAACAGCCAATATCAAAGTTTTCGAGTGTCCAGGATTCCAGGGGCGTAGGACGTTCTCTATGGGAACGTTTTGAACTACGCTGTGGAAGGCAGATCAGTTCTGTCTTCTTCAGTCACTGGAAGGTCTAGAGCCCCGGGCAGGTACACGTCTCAGGCAAGCGGACCCCGGTTTTGCCGTCCGAACCTTTCTCCATCTCGAGCACACGACAAGAACTTGTGGTCCTGGGAGAGCCACTGAATGACGAGAACGTAAGGGTGCTTGCTGGTCCGCCGATCCAGCTGGACTAGCCGCCACCGTGGCTGTTGTGGAGAACGGATGGAGATGCGCGGGACGACGCGTCGCCAACACCGTCTGGCTGGGGCAGGCCTGGCGTCGACAGTCGCGACCTCGCAGGACCCCGGCTCATCCCTCTGTTTGGGATCACGCTCCATGCCACGGCCACCTTAAAGCTCCGCAGCAGAATCCGGACCATTCGGACTGCACTTCACTAGGAGCTGCTACTGACGCTGACGGCACTCTCGGCGATGGATGTAACTTCTAAGACGAGGGAGGGACAGGGCCAAGTGAAACAAGTGTGAACTGAGCTGCGCCAACTCGCCCACCGTTATGCATTTCACCAGTTTCAATGCGTTAATAGCAGAGGGTGTCACATGGGGAAAGTTCGTCGTTGATTTATTCGGGCATTCCCGTATGTCCTTTGGCCAGTTTCAAAAAAGAGGATGTAGGTTTTTGTCCGAAGTCATGATTTTTGCGTATATTTGCATAATCCAGTTTCTGAAAGCAAGTATGTACAAGTCACGACTGCAATCTACGACACATAAATGATGCTCAGTAAATAGACAATCTACGAGACAAAAATACACACTAACAATCTTGCCTCAATTCCTTAAGTCAAACATCAATGTGTTCCAGAATATATATATATATATATATATATATATATATATATATATATATATATATATATATATATATATATATGGTAAAACTTAAGCGCACTTGCCGGTGCAATGAACGCAAACGTTTGCGTAAGTTACTCAGCGCATTAGCGAGGAACATTCTTTACATAGATAAGACAGTAGTGATAGCCTTATTACTCGGAGAAAAAACCAGGGTACCCAACTACTTCTCCTTTATCCTGGTTTTTATCTGAGGAATAAGGCTATTACTACTGTCTTATCAAACGCTTGCATCATAGATTATGACAAAATGGTGAGGTGGCAAGCCTAAACAGCATGCAAAAGCTCCAAAAACAAAGGAATATAGCACTCAAGGGTGATAAACAGATGGTGGCTGTTTCAGTCTTTCCAGTCCTTTCCAGTCATTCATTGAAATAACGGTCAATTGGTCATTGTATGCGGCATCCGTCTCGTACCGTACGATAAGGCCTTCCACGCTGCTGGACATTAAACGCTGTAGATATCTTCTGCCAGGTTGTCTGGCAATGCGGTTTGTTCCTAGGCCATCTGACAGTGCGGAACAAACTGCCGTACACAGAGTTGGCGGGTCGTCACGTTGGCAATAAAGTTGAAAATAAGTCTGAAAATGAAGCTGAAGTCAGCAGAAAATGAAGCTGTTCCTCGGTGCCGTAATTGGAAATAGTTGTCTATAGCTCAAAGATTGAGACCCAAAAAACGCTGTTTGCACCCATGATCCTGCGCATTTTGTTCATGACAGCGTCCTCGGGTATGCCTGATATTTGCACTTAAAACTGACAAATTTCGCGCTTTTTAATTTACCTCCACGGTATGTTTTGAGCAGTTGTAACCGTCGGAGTTGTGCGTGACGCACCGATCAGGTTATGTACTTGCGAGATATAGACAATAACCGAACTTGTTAGAGGCAAGAGTGGTACTCAAATGTTGGCTGCTGTGGTTTCCACCAGATCCCAAAAGATTGCGGAGGAGGAGGAACAGTGCAAGGCGATGGCCGAGGTGGCGTTGGCGGAGCTACAGGAAGTGCTGCCCGTGCTGGAAGAGGCTGTCCGGGTGAGCATCACAATGGCAGTGGAGGTATTCGTGTGCACAGGACATGAATGCACTGATCACATATATTCACAGCTTCATGTGCACTGGCCCGCAGCGCCGATCAGTAGGCGCTCATGTCTATTATCTGGAGCCGGGTCCAGCTTAGTCACAAGGCTGGTTGGCTCTTGATTTTCAGGCGCTAGACGCTCTTTCAAAGCGGGATCTGAACGAGATCAAGTCGTACGCGCGGCCGCCGCCGCTGGTGGAGAAGGTGATGGAAGCCGTGATGCTGCTCAAGTGTGTGGAGCCCACCTGGGCGGAGGCAAAGCGCCAGCTGGGAGACCCGAACTTCATCACCCAGGTCAGGCAGCAGCCAAAAGCTCGGCTATAAGAATGCAAGGATTTGTCTGGCCCCACCATTCTATTCTGTAATCTGCCATCGCGCGCACCGCAATATCAGGTGGTATCTAAATACTAAAAGGTATGTGTCTGCCCCCCAAGAACGTACTTCGGATTCTGTAGACATTTCCGGTGATGGAAGGTGGGTGCTGCATTTCGCTGTCTGTTTTTTTTTCCCCAATGGAGCCACATGCTTGTACAGGTTGACTTTGGGACCTCCTTTGTCCTCTTTAAGAAAATATCCACGGTCACGTGACAATGCGATAGCAGTGTGCTGCATCCATGAAAGCAACGGTAAGTTTTCGAAATAGGCATATTGCAATTGGCGCCCGCAAGCAGTGTGTTGGTGGTTAAGTTGCCACGGTGTGTGGGCCTCCACGTGACCGATTGGCGTCTGGCCCTTGCGTACAGCTGCGCGACTTCGATAAGGATCATATTAGCGACAAGACGCTCAAGAAGGTGGGCGGTTACGTAGCGCAGGCCGACTTCGATCCGGACATGGTGGGCAAGCAGTCGCTGGCCGCTAAGTCGCTGTGTCTCTGGGTGCGCGCCATCGAGTCTTACGGCCGCGTCTATAGGTGAGAGTGGCGGAAACGCTCCCACCGGAAATCAGGCAGGATGTGCAACGCCAACGTACACTTACCTGCTCATGTAACACCGCACCCGCAGACGCCGTGGTCGGGGCAACCAGAGTGAGTTGGGATAGAATCCCAGCCCTGTTTATCAGATCGACCAATGAGGTGTGTCATTTAATCACACAATTGGCTGTGCGTATTTTGTTTATATTCTCACAAGTTCTTACCATGTTGGATGTGAAGGTTTACCGTGATTTTGGTCCCCATGGCTTCCGCTTTCTTACCTCGTGACTGATTAGAGCAAATGAAAGTCACGCAGCCCTAAATTTAAAGATCCTACATGGCATAGGCCGAGTCCCGCCAGTCTATGTATGACAACCTCGACGATTTATCACCATAATCTCTTCAAGTGTGCCAGGGCCTATACATTGCCACTTTCCCAACTTCCGTAGCGTGTTGTCCTGAAGACAGAATTCTTACCCGCAAATTTTACCCTATTGAGCTCTTTCCCACTGCTCACCTTCCATTTAATTTCTTCTGTCTTTTCCTCTTCTCTCCCTCCTCTTCTCCTCTCCTCTATTCCCCTTATATGTCCTCTCTTGTCCTCTCCTGCTCATTTCTGTCCTCTCTTGTCCTCTTCTCTCCCCTCCCCTCCCCTCCGCTCCCCTCCCCTCCCCTCCCCTCCCCTCCCCTCCCCTCCCCTCCTCTCCTCTCTTGTCCTGTCCTTCCCCTCCTCTCCTCTCCTCTCCCTTCCCCCTCCTCTCCTCTCCTCTCCTCTCCTCTCCTCTCCTCTCCTCTCCTCTCCTCTCCTCCTCCTCTCCTCTCCTCTTCCTCTCCTCGCCTCTCCTCTCCTCTCCTCTCCTCTCCTCTCCTCTCCTCTCCTTTCCCTCCTCTCCTCTCCTCTCCTTTTCACTTCTTTTCGTCTCTTCCTTTTTCTTCCTTTTTTCTCTTCTTTTTTCCTCCTCCTTTTCTCCTCAGTTCCAGCAGTTCCTCCTCTTCTCCCTTCCTCTACGCTTCCAACACCCCTTCCGTCTTGCCTTGTGTTGTCTTGTCTTCTTTCGTCTCGTCTCGTCTCGTTTCCTGTTCTATCCTCTCATCTCATTTCATATCCCGCCCTCTCGTCTCATCTCACATCACATCACATCACATCACATCACATCACATCACATCACATCACATCGCCTCATCTCACCTCTTCTCACCTCACCTTACCTCACCTCAACTGCTGTCACCTCACCTCACCCTTCTCTATTTCCTCTCCTCCCATTTTCGTCTACGTTGTCGGACAGGGTGGTGGAGCCCAAGAAGATGCGGCTGTTGTCGGCTGAGCGTATCCTGGCCGAGAAGCAGAAAAACCTTGCTGATGCCAAGGCAAAGCTGCAGGAGCTCAGCGAGAAGCTGGCCAAGCTGCAAACAGAGTACAACGAAAAGCTTGCCCAGAAGGAAGAACTAAGAATTAAGGTACGATGGCTCATTAGCTGTTTCTTCTTCCGAACATAATTTTGCATTACATACATTGTTCCTGGAATGGGGATGATTCAATTACATTCACGTGATTTCGAGCTGCGTGATGGCCGACCTACAGCCTCTGATCCTTTCATTCGACTCCTGGTATGTGGCTGATGTTTCGTCTGTAGCGGTCTGGGGCAGTGACACTGTCCATCATTGTTGGGTTGGCTAGGTCGCTACGCATTTCTGTTTTGTTCGCTAGCGTTACCTCAGACTGGCAGGATCTGTGACAGATGACAGTTTGGCCTCGGCAGGAATCTGCCCCCCCCCCCCATGCATCTAGGTTTAGAGAAGATTGTCGAAACTACTCGACTTCGGGAAGAAGGACGTTGGCATTGCGATCAGCGCCTAAGCCGAATGTGTGGGTGGCCCTCCTCTTGGTTTTCCAAGCTAGCGGGCCAACTAGCCTGGCTGGCTGGTTGACTGACTGGCTGGCTGTGTGCATTTCTTCAGCCAGCGAAACAGCACACAAGTCTGTATGGATTGCCGTGAAGCTGCGCACACGACTGGTTGAAATTTCATGACGATCCAGTTCATAAATTCACGCCGTTCCCTTACCGGTGTCGGTCACTGTCAGGGGGACACTTGCATATGTGGGACATACAAGTAGACCGCATCAGAGGCAGTATCCTGCTGCCGGCGGGCGAATCATCGTGGCCGTGTGCTTTTTCTCCCATCCCCCGTCAGACTCCACCCACGCTAGACTTTTGTTTGATTTTAAACCAACAAAGAGCGGCCAAACCGGCTCACCGCTTACACACGTCCGGCGCACACTGCCCGACACGAGCTCCGCGATACCCCGACTAGGGCGCAGCCCCGCGCGCCTGCCGGCCGTGACCTGCACTTCACTTGTACGCTGGCGAGGTGGCAGAGACGCATTCAGTGGCCGGCACTGCATAGCCTGGCTGGGGCATCCCAACCAAAGCACAGACTAGGCCACGGCTTAACGCGTTTCTTGGCTGTGCTTAAAATCTGTCACGCTGAGCTGTTAGATTCTCTTCTAATTGTTAGTTGCTGTGCTACACAGTGCACAAAATAACCAACTGCTGTCTTTAAGAGACTGGATATCGTCACTACTCGCATCGACCACCAGTTAATCCATGTTTCACTGGACGAAGACGGTGCGATTGTCTCATTGCGGTTCCTCCTGGGACCATCATCCTGATGATGACGATGAGCAAAGTGCAGACCATCGAAAAGTCGCAACTGCTACCAGGCCAAACGTCAAACAAGGCCTCGCCGCAAAGGCCAAGCCGCTGCACATCACGAGCAACGTTTAAGATGGCGCCGCCACACGAAGGGGGTGCTGATTGGGGCAGGCTTTGAAAGATTAGAAAACCAGTGGAGATGTTCTGCACATTACTGAGATGCGAACCATTGTGATGTGGCAGGAGGTGGCGCTATACTGAGATCAACGGCGTCGCATGTGCTCACACCGAAGCAATTGGAAACTACAACTAGATATTCGCATTTTATTTCATCTCATCTTACCGATGTCTTGAGTTTGTGGATCATTGTTGTACGAGCAACGTGTCTGTGATCTACGGGTATTGAACAGCTTTCAAATGACGACCTAGCGGGCCACAAATGTCAAACTGATGTTAACGCGCTGTTGTTGAGAGGCGAGGCAACGTCATATCGCGGGTAGTGGCACCATCCGCGCCAACGGATCCGTTTATTTCATTTACTAAAGGTGACGAATGCTGGCAGGTCAGCTTGGTTACGTGACGAAGCTCGCAGGATGCAGCGGGGTTGGGCCGTAATTTGACGGGCTGCCGGCCGGAACTCTGTGTGACGGGAGGGGAATGGGTGTCCGGTGTTGATGGAGTGGCCCAGTCAGGTGGGCAGTTGGGCGTCACTGGCACTGTGGCTCGCCTCTCGGGCGGAGAACGTGAGCTTGACAGGCACTGTGACGGGCCCTCCAGGCTGAAGGTCTGGAGCTGAAGCTGGATCGCGCGGCGAAAATCGTGTCCGGTCTAGCCGGCGAGAAGGTCCGCTGGACGCAGACTGTGAAGGATCTGGATGAGAGCTTCGGCTTCTTGGTGGGCGACTGCCTCATTGCGGCCGCTTTCGTCTCCTACATGGGGCCGTTCACCTCCAATTACCGTGACGAAATCATCTCCAACATCTGGCTGCCCGAGGTAGGCCACGAGCTTGTCCACCATGAGCCGGTCCCTTGCGGTCGTCATTCGGCCTTGGCTGTATATTGGGAAGCTGTCCAAGAGGAGCGTTGCTTTCTGAACTAAGTCGGGATTCGACCAGAATATGACGGGACCTTCCCTTAAACTGCGCCAACAACGGGTTTCTTCCCGGATTTGGCCCATTTTCCTCCCAAAGTTGAGAGAAGGCTAGAGCCCCTCTCAAATGAATTGGGCAGCTCCATTCCCGGTGTCTTGATTGTTCTGTTACCCTATCTTATTTTCGGCATGCGCGATTCACTTGATCTCGCCGACGTTAACCTTGCATAAAACTAACCAACGCCTGCCGTAGCAACAGAATAAGAGTGACGCCATTTTACCACTTTTGTTAACAAAGGGAGTTAATCCACTACCTCAGGTACATATTTTCTGTTATTTCAATGCTGCGCAACTTCGAAAAATTGGTCTTGTTTGTGATCAAACACTGGTCGCTTTCAGGCTGTATGTAATCGCCCGGTAATAAACACACAGTGCATTCACCTACATCGTGCAGTTCTTTCCTTTCACACCTGTTTTCGTCGTTAGGTTTTATACCCGTCCCCAACAGCGCCCAACACTGCCGGCTGTATGGTTTGCGTTCGAGTGCACATGACTGGCAGCACGTGTCGGTCCACACATGTCCGACTGGTCGTCCCATCCCCGCCGTTGCTACGTTGTGGTCAGTTGTTTGGTCGCTTGCTGCTCGTGTGTATCAGACGCTCGGTAACGCTGCTTCCGTGTGATCAGATGCGCGCGTTTCTGGTTAAGCCTGCTCCGTGTGATCGGATTCGCCACTAAGTTGCTCAGTGTGCTTATATGCGCGGTAAGCTGGCTCCGTTGTGTGTGATCAGGTGCTGCGGTAAGCTGCTCCTGTGTGATCAGATTGCGCGGTTGAGCTGCTCCGTGTGATACAGATGGCCGCGGTGGTCAAGCTGCTCCTGTGATCAGACGCGCGTTAAGCTGCTCCGTGTGATCAGGTGCGCGGTAAGCTGGTGCCCTGCTCGCCTACGTTCGAGCTGCGCGAGTTTCTGGCCAAGCCGACCGTCGTGCGCGACTGGAACGTGCAGGGCCTGCCGTCCAACCCCTACAGCGTGGAGAACGGCATCATCGTCACGCGCGGCCAGCGCTGGCCGCTGCTCATCGACCCGCAGGGCCAAGGCCTGCGCTGGATCAGAAGCATGGAGGCGAAACATGTGGGTCGGCTGCGCACGGCAGCTGCTGCTGCTCTCCTGTAGAATGTGTGTGCGGTTTTTGCAACGTAAAGCAATAGATGAATGGTTGCGACGCGTCATCTTAGTAATGTCAGCGGGAGCTCATACTAATCGCAGCATCGATAGACACGGAATGTCTTACGCTAGTTCTCGGTAATTGGAGCAGTGGTCAGTCGTTGTGTTCCTCCATTTTCTGCCCTTAACCGAATGACCTGCACGTTATTGTGGAAGACGTTGACCCATTGGCGTTTCTGTCTCTGTCCACCACTGCAGGACTTGAAGACAATTGACCTCCAGCAGAGCAACTACTTGTCCGTCCTGGAGCGCAGTATCACCTTCGGCTTTCCAGTGCTGCTACAGAACGTGCAGGAGACGCTGGACGCCTCACTCAACCCCATTCTTACCAAGTCCGTCATCAAGCAGGGTATGGCCCAAACACGTCGTGGAGCTGCAGTCGGCTGTCAGCGGTATTTCGAGCGCAAAAGGCGGTGTAGCTGACGTGGAATAGGAACCTCTGTCAGGTGTACGTGCGCTAAGATAGTAAAGTATAGTTGTAAGATAGACTACACGCGGTTTGTTCTCAACTTCATTATATGAAGACATGTTTATGGTTAGTTACTGGCGCTTTCGGCTCTTCACTGTGGTCAAATTGGTGCCACAGTAGGCAAGGGACTACCTCGGTACTGTTTTGTTCTTTGTGCTTTTGTGCTTTTCAAAACATGCGCAGGGAAGTTTTGCGGTTTTGGTCACTGATTTTATGATTTACCTGTGGGAAGTGATTGCCTCGGGTTCTGCGTCCCGCAACCCGCCATCGTCCGTCGAGGGTTACTTAAGAAGCGACCGTTTGACACTAATAATCGTAGCAGTGTGCTGTGATGTGAACTGTATGATACAGAAGATATACACACTATGGGCAGGGGGCTTATATCTAGTTAGTGACTGTGCCTTATTAAAGTGTCCCAGAAGGTTACGTCACCTTTGTTCTCTCACCGCAATTTCTCCGCAGGCGATCGTCTGTTTACGAAGCTCGGCGATAAGGAGGTGGAATACAACCCGCAGTTCCGGTTCTACATCAGCACAAAACTCTCCAATCCACACTACCCGCCGGAGATCGCCACCAAGACCACCATCATCAACTTCACCGTCAAAGAGGACGGTGGGCACACGCTGCTTCAGTGATGTCACATATTTCTCTACTCAGGGAAATAGATTGTCGTTTACCCCTTGCGTGTCCGTGCAAAATGGAATTTTTCACCAGGCAATATCTCTGGCGCGTGGCTGCTGACACCGCATGGTTTGACTTGGCAAAATGCTTTTTAATTTTTATTTACAAAGATGTTCGTGGTTAGGGATACGCATGGCTCAAATTTGGGATGTGATGCTTCTTGGTCGAAATCAGTACCAGGAAAGACGCATCTTTATTTTCAAACAACGCACAGCGGTTGGTCCAACATATACCTTGCAGATTTGATACCAAGAAGCCGTCCAATTTCGTAGCGTGTAATTCAAATAAGAAACGACTTTTCGACACTTATCGTGTATGCCCGTAGTGTTGTGTAAAGGCTGTAAGGTTACGTGGGCATTCATACGGGTTTACACATTCTGTTACACGCAATACCGTATAACTATGGTTGGGTCGTCGCAATGCGCGTTATCGACCTCATATGCGTCGACGACCGGTTTCTGATCTGCTAGGATCGCAGACGTAAGGCTGTGTTAGAGGCGTACGTCGAAACCAATCGACGTCGGGTGTCCGCATCATACGATGTATCCAGGGCAGCATGTCGCAAAATAAATGACTTTTGTGATTTACCTCAAGATGCAAAACTCGCCCTTGGCTAGACCGCGTCAAATACAGGGTATATATTGTGCAATCTGTACATTTTCTAGCGTGGTTTATTTCCGAAAGCCACTGCGCTGCAATCGTGACATGGTACTGTGGCACGAACTCATGCCAGGTGCGCAACAGACCACGTGAAGGGTACGCGCAATACAGTGTAAGGTACCGGAGTTCAACTGAACGTTCAACACCGTCACAATGTAGGACATCACGGACACGGGATGACTCTTGCGTAGCGGTTTAAGTCCGCTACGCAAAATGGTCCACATTTAGGTCCTGAGTGCAACAGTGGGAATACCGTTTTGAAAACATGAAAGATGGTCTTTCGCTTTAAATGGGGGCGAACCTCTTCGCATGCACATCATTCATTGTGTCGAACTGGGTGGATGATTGCAACACTGTTATTATGTACTTGTCACTTCATGAGGACCTTTCTGGCGTTCGTGAGCACGATTTTCAGATATAACGGCCGCCAACTGGCTCTCAGTCAATGTCGTGCAACGCACTGTGACGTAAACAAACCGTGACGCACTGAGAAACATTTGTACTTAACAGAGAAACTGTGTTGTATAGAGCAGTCTTTTCCACTGAAAAGTATGCCAATGGCTATAAGTGAGCTTATTTCATCATGACCCACGCATGCCTCGATATCTTTAAACGTGGCACATGCCCTTGAACTCAAGGCTGCTATCCGAAGAAGCATGCCTTCTTTAAAATGTCACAGTGACTGCGTTGTTTGTTGCGGTTAATCGGGTCACCCGTAAAGACCGCTCAATGCGAGGCCTATTCCTCTGTCAGGCCCTGCATAGCATTTCTATGTGCGGTACAGGCCTGGAGCAGCAGCTGCTGGGCATCGTGGTGAGGAAGGAGCGGCCGGAGCTGGAGGAGCAGAAGGATACACTGGTCACCAACATCGCCGCCGGCAAGGTCAAACTGATTGAGCTGGAAGACGAGGTGCTCAGGTCAGGCGCAGGCTCGTCCGTCTAGTTTTTCACCCCTCGCTGATACCGATTACCCACGACTGATGGGGTGGACCTTCGCCCTCCCCTGAACCGTTGCACACAGGGATAACTAGAGGTTTGAATTGGCCACGGTTAGTTGTGGATGTCCTGTTGAAGTAAAACCGGTAACGGGCTGCAGTGATAGTCTTTTCATTGATGTTGGCACCATTTTTGTTTTAGATGATGGTGGTTAGGGCTACATTTAGGCGAAACTCCAATAAAAACATTGTTTCATTATTGACCAACAGAATACATCCAACAAGTGCATTTAAACCGATCTGAAGGAGTCAAACTGTTATGGGTGTGGTGACCACACCCCTGAGATGGGGGGGGGGGGCAAATCCATATTTGGGAGTGGAATTGTAAATTGTGGGAGACAACCTAACATAAAACTGACTTGATGGCAAAACGTAAAAATTTTGCATTCTGTGGGTCAGGTTTTAGTGGATAAATTCCATTTGGGGAAATTAGGGAACATATTCGCCCTCCAGTTGTTAAACATATGCAAAGTGGTATGAGGTGATTGCTTCATAGTTGGCACCAGAGTTCATAAATCCCGTTTAGAGGATGAGCACAACGTATGTCCTATGGATCTAACGTCCAACGCTGGTTAACTCCAACGTGTCGCATTTCAAGCAATAGTTTCGGTTGATTTCACGCATCGATTTCCAGAAGAGTCTCATGCTCTGTTTGTCAGGTCCATCATTTTCCCATCGTAAGCCCGCTGATCGTTACTGACCACGTGCACTAGACGCATAATTGCTGTCGAATCGCTATCTAACATTGCAGAGTAGGTAAACATATTTGGATTGGATCCTCAGTTTCGTGAAAGCGGCATCACATGGTAGACTGTTCAGTTGACCCAAAGTTAAGCTGGATTGGTGGTGCTGCGTATAGCATTTCTGCTAACGCTGGTGGTGATGTGTGCGCTTTTGTGTACCATTGTACCGATCATCTTTACGTGTTGTTGGTTCAGTTATTGTAAGCGTCGGCGCGTGTGCCTTTTTGCCTTTACAAAGTGTTGGTGCTGATACGTTTGGTTCTGCTGTAACAGACTTCTGAAGACAGAAGGCTCACTCCTGGAGGACGAGGCGCTAGTGGTGACTCTGCAATCCTGCAAGACGACGTCGGCAGACGTCATCGAACAGCTGGAGACGGCCGAGGAGACTGAAATCAAGATTGACTCCGCTCGAGAGGCAGGTTCACTCCCCGACCCTCACCCCCACCTACATATGCCCCACACACTCTTGCGCACATGTAGCGATCACTAATAGACCACACTTGGCGGCGCACATAGCACGTGTGGATTTCAAGTCAACTCCCCAGTTGTGGACAAAAGGGTGAAATGTTTACAGCCATGAAATATGGCGTTGTTAGATCAATGCGGATTGCGTGGAGGCGACGTTTCCAGGCGACGCAGTGCACTGCTCGTATTTGACAGTGTGCAATCCGAGTCATGGAACATTAGTAAATGCCTTACAAAGTTAATTGTATTAAAACGGGATGTTCGTGCGTTGTATATATTTTCGGTAACAGCCGATGATCGGATGCAAGGCCCCAAAAAGGAAGGTTACTTATGCATAAACTGGGATCTTAAACTAGTGCCTCAATATCCATACGCGACGAACTATATGTTTATATGTATTTCTTTGTTTTCCTTTCTCGGCAACAGAGCAGCGCTCTCCTAACAGGCGAAATCGTTTAAATAAAATGCAATAAGTGCATAGTGTACAGTAGTATGAACATAAATGTTGGATGACATACCTCAAAGCTGACTGAAGATACTACGAAGCTAAAGCATTCTTGATCACTCGAACTCGGAAGATGGCAAAACCGTCGAGAACGACATATGGGCTGGTGTTGCTAGTTAAAAACTGCTCGCAACGCTTGACAGCCTGCAAAACAGACCGCTCTGTACTATTTGCACACGAGCGCGAGGTACAGCGAGCAGAGTTCAGGTGCGGGTCGATCGAGGTGGCACAGGCAAAGGGAAACGACTGAGTAAGGTTTGAGAGTCCAGTTTACATTAGAAGGTGTTCCTCAGAAAGAGTAAATCGTGCTGCACTCTTCGTACTGCTAGGGATGGGATTTTGAAGTGAGGCAGTAGGCTGTCATAGGAAAGAGAATTTGTTTGCCCGGAGAATGTATGAGTAATTAATCACATAGAAAGCTTGTACTGCCCTCGGTCGACCGGCACTGTGTGGGCATCGACCGCCTCGTCCAGACTGCGCCGTATATTTTAAAACTGATCGCGCGTTTGCGAAATACGCAGCCATCACTGCGCTTCGGTTGAACTTCGGCCTGCTGGTACCGACACGAAAGGGCCGAATAAGGAGACCAAGTACTCGACCGGCCCTTCTATGTCAGAGACGGGTAAAGTGAAAATTTGTTTGGTATTCAGCGTTACGCCAAGGTCGCCAAGGTCCATTGTGAACGTTTTAAATCTAACAGGGTTGAGGATCAGCCCCCACATGATGTACCGCGCTACCAGATGATCGTGACCATTCTGCAGCCCTAGTGCATCAGTCGGGACGTAATTTTACGCGAAATTTTGACGTCATTGGCGTACGAAAGACAGCCAACTAGTTTCCAATCGGAAGTTTTTTCGTTGACGATAACCGCCTGACGTCCGTCAGACAGATACGAGGCAAACCATAAACCGCAAAGGCCGTTGCATAAATGGGGTTACTTTGTTACTTTACTACCGCTACTTTCGTGGATATAAATATTCACAGATGTGACCTCAAAGGATCGTGATCGATAGCCGAGTTGCAACTAATGTGCTGCACTTCGGAACGATGTAACTGGTTTTGAAGAAAAAGTTTCACAAGCATTTGAAGGTGTGGGTGTCGTGACAATGAGATACACCTGACGCGAGGTTGATGTCGTGTGGCCTTGAACTCAGTGCACGCCGTCCATTGATTCTACAAACCAGGCTCTGCGCTCGCATCGGATGCTGTGCGCTCGAGCTGGGGGCTGACCTGGTGCCGGCTGCACTCTGCTGCAGGCGTACCGGCCGTGCGCGCGACGCGCCTCCATATTGTTCTTCGTGCTGACTGACCTGGGCAAGATTGACCCGATGTATCAGTTCTCACTGGATTCGTACGTCGACCTGTTTACGCACTCCATCGACAAGTCGCAGCGGAGCCCCAAATTAGAGAACCGCATCCAGAACATGAATGACTTCCACACCTATGGCGTTTACAAGTAAGTGAACACCGAAATCGCCTGAACTGTGCTGCATGCGGAGTCTCAACCAAGTCACGACTGGCTGTCATGGATGACAGCCAGGTGCGTCAAAATTGGATTAAATGTCCAGGAATGTAATGATGGCCGGGCCAAATGGTGTTCTTTTTCATTTTGTTAAGCTGAACGTCTTTTTAGCTATGTGTGTTTTTTAATATTACGTTGGCACATTATGACGAATTATGCAATTATATAAGATGTGACTTCGTCGTTATTTCTGGATACTGCACTTTGCACTGATTTAATGGCCGGCTTTATGCTTTTTAGTCGTTAGTTGTCATTCTATTTGCAGATACGCCTGTCGTGGACTCTTCGAAAGGCACAAGCTGCTGTTTTCGTTCCACATGTGCATAAAGATGCTGGAGAGCCAGGCCGTCGTCAACGGGGACGAATACATGTTCTTCCTCAAGGGTGGTGTGGTTTTGGACCGAGAGGAGCAGATGGATAACCCTTGCCCAGGTCAGAGGTCACCTGGATGGTAAGCATTTCCGGTCTGTGAGGCCGTTATCGATATCTAGTAACGGTTGTGGGATTTTTTTGTTTTTGTTCGTTGTTTTTTATCGACGTGGCTGCGTTTGTCGCGCGAAATCTCCTGAGATAGCGTGAACTCTTAATCCCCCAATCAGAAATTCGTTGCCGGCATGGATCCTTGAAACATATTCGCACAAAAGCAATGCGAATAGCTTTTTAAACTTTGAAATGTTTTTTTCCAAACGTTGCGTTTGATGATTTTACTAAATAGATGTCATTAAGCTAGCTGTGCTGCGACGCGGACTGCTGTGTGGACCCTTGTGGCTGATTGTTGGTGTCTCCGGCCATCAGAGTGGCTGTCGGACTCGGCCTGGGACAACGTGACTGAACTGGAGCGGCTGGCCAACTTCCACGGCGTGATACAGTCGTTTGAGCAGGGGCACCGCGACTGGTACGCCTGGTACACGTCTCCGGAGCCAGAGAAGGCCACGCTGCCCGGTCAGTCTGAGTTCTCAGTGCCGAGTCGGCAGCTTGACACCGCCGCCTTTGAATCTCACCCCATGATTCAGGTGTGCTTGGGTACCGGCAGTAGGGGTCTTGGGTTTTGATTGAGTCTTTTCTAGGGACGCTCAAATGCATTGTTGCTTGGGCTTACGGCCCAGGTCACGACCTCTCCATCCCGCGTGCGATCCGCGCCAGGGTCCGGATCGCTCTTCCCCATCCGCGAGCTCGAGCGGCTTATTGGCCTAAGTCACGACCTCTCCATCCCGCGTGCGATCCGCGCCAGGGTCCGGATCGCTCTTCCCATCCGCGAGCTCGAGCGGCTTATTGGCCTAAGTCACGACCTCTCCATCCCGCATGCGATCCGCGCCAGGGTCCGGATCGCTCTTCCCCATCCGCGAGCTCGAGCGGCTTATTGGCCTAAGTCACGACCTCTCCATCCCGCATGCGATCCGCGCCAGGGTCCGGATCGCTCTTCCCCATCCGCGAGCTCGAGCGGCTTAGGGCCTAAGTCACGACCTCTCCATCCCGCGTGCGATCCGCGCCAGGGTCCGGATCGCTCTTCCCCATCCGCGAGCTCGAGCGGCTTATTGGCCTAAGTCACGACCTCTCCATCCCGCGTGCGATCCGCGCCGGGTCCGGATCGCTCTTCCCCATCCGCGAGCTCGAGCGGCTTATTGGCCTAAGTCACGACCTCTCCATCCCGCATGCGATCCGCGCCAGGGTCCGGATCGCTCTTCCCCATCCGCGAGCTCGAGCGGCTTATTGGCCTAAGTCACGACCTCTCCATCCCGCATGCGATCCGCGCCAGGGTCCGGATCGCTCTTCCCCATCCGCGAGCTCGAGCGGCTATTGGCCTAAGTCACGACCTCTCCATCCCGCATGCGATCCGCGCCAGGGTCCGGATCGCTCTTCCCCATCCGCGAGCTCGAGCGGCTTATTGCCTAAGTCACGACCTCTCCATCCCGCATGCGATCCGCGCCAGGGTCCGGATCGCTCTTCCCCATCCGCGAGCTCGAGCGGCTTATTGGCCTAAGTCACGACCTCTCCATCCCGCGTGCGATCCGCGCCAGGGTCCGGATCGCTCTTCCCCATCCGCGAGCTCGAGCGGCTTATGGCCTAAGTCACGACCTCTCCATCCCGCATGCGATCCGCGCCAGGGTCCGGATCGCTCTTCCCCATCCGCGAGCTCGAGCGGCTTATTGGCCCTAAGTCACGACCTCTCCATCCCGCGTGCGATCCGCGCCAGGGTCCGGATCGCTCTTCCCCATCCGCGAGCTCGAGCGGCTTATTGGCCTAAGTCACGACCTCTCCATCCCGCGTGCGATCCGCGCCAGGGTCCGGATCGCTCTTCCCCATCCGCGAGCTCGAGCGGCTTATTGGCCTAAGTCACGACCTCTCCATCCCGCATGCGATCCGCGCCAGGGTCCGGATCGCTCTTCCCCATCCGCGAGCTCGAGCGGCTTATTGGCCTAAGTCACGACCTCTCCATCCCGCATGCGATCCGCGCCAGGGTCCGGATCGCTCTTCCCCATCCGCGAGCTCGAGCGGCTTATTGGCCTAAGTCACGACCTCTCCATCCCGCGTGCGATCCGCGCCAGGGTCCGGATCGCTCTTCCCCATCCGCGAGCTCGAGCGGCTTATTGGCCTAAGTCACGACCTCTCCATCCCGCATGCGATCCGCGCCAGGGTCCGGATCGCTCTTCCCCATCCGCGAGCTCGAGCGGCTTATTGGCCTAAGTCACGACCTCTCCATCCCGCGTGCGATCCGCGCCAGGGTCCGGATCGCTCTTCCCCATCCGCGAGCTCGAGCGGCTTATTGGCCTAAGTCACGACCTCTCCATCCCGCGTGCGATCCGCGCCAGGGTCCGGATCGCTCTTCCCCATCCGCGAGCTCGAGCGGCTTATTGGCCTAAGTCACGACCTCTCCATCCCGCATGCGATCCGCGCCAGGGTCCGGATCGCTCTTCCCCATCCGCGAGCTCGAGCGGCTTATGGGCCTAAGTCACGACCTCTCCACCCCGCGTGCGATCCGCGCCAGGGTCCGGATCGCTCTTCCCCATCCGCGAGCTCGAGCGGCTTATGGGCCTAAGTCACGACCTCTCCACCCCGCGTGCGATCCGCGCCAGGGTCCGGATCGCTCTTCCCCATCCGCGAGCTCGAGCGGCTTATTGGCCTAAGTCACGACCTCTCCATCCCGCATGCGATCCGCGCCAGGGTCCGGATCGCTCTTCCCCATCCGCGAGCTCGAGCGGCTTATTGGCCTAAGTCACGACCTCTCCATCCCGCATGCGATCCGCGCCAGGGTCCGGATCGCTCTTCCCCATCCGCGAGCTCGAGCGGCTTATTGGCCTAAGTCACGACCTCTCCACCCCGCGTGCGATCTGCGCCAGGGTCCGGATCGCTCTTCCCCATCCGCGAGCTCGAACGGCTTATTGGCCTAAGTCACGACCTCTCCATCCCGCGTGCGATCCGCGCCAGGGTCCGGATCGCTCTTCCCCATCCGCGAGCTCGAGCGGCTTATTGGCCTAAGTCACGACCTCTCCATCCCGCGTGCGATCCGCGCCAGGGTCCGGATCGCTCTTCCCCATCCGCGAGCTCGAGCGGCTTATTGGCCTAAGTCACGACCTCTCCATCCCGCATGCGATCCGCGCCAGGGTCCGGATCGCTCTTCCCCATCCGCGAGCTCGAGCGGCTTATTGGCCTAAGTCACGACCTCTCCATCCCGCATGCGATCCGCGCCAGGGTCCGGATCGCTCTTCCCCATCCGCGAGCTCGAGCGGCTTATTGGCCTAAGTCACGACCTCTCCATCCCGCATGCGATCCGCGCCAGGGTCCGGATCGCTCTTCCCCATCCGCGAGCTCGAGCGGCTTATTGGCCTAAGTCACGACCTCTCCATCCCGCATGCGATCCGCGCCAGGGTCCGGATCGCTCTTCCCCATCCGCGAGCTCGAGGGGCTTATGGGCCCAAGTCACTTCTTCATCCATGGCAACGTACCTATGCCTACACCCATGCAGCACCCATGGACCAACCCGAACACTGCAGATCGGGATGGTCCGTGCCTCCCATTCGGTGTTTCATTCAAGCGCAAAATCTGCTTCCATTTTATAAAAGCTGTGCGAGCCGCTTGGTGGTTCGCTTGCTATCACAAACCGCCCCAGTGTCAGTTTTTCTTGTAACGGAAGGTCGCAATGTCATGCGGTCGTTCCCCGCACTGTTGGCGCCGACTGCCGTCACGGCGCACCACGTGGCCGCAGGCGAGTGGGACACCTCCTGTTCGGAGCTGCAGCGGATGATCTTCGTGCGCTCGCTGCGCCCGGACCGAGTGAACGTCTGCGTGACCACGTTCGTCGTGCACAACTTGGGCCAGCGGTTTGTCGAGCCTCCCGTGCTCGACTTCCACGGTGTGGTAAGTTTCCTCCACCGCAGGTCGTATCGTACGCCCTCTTTTCCACTGTCTGACAGACGTGTAGTAGCACCGCAAAGCTGGCTTCCTCGCTTCCAAAACGGCTGCTGAATGCTTCTGTCACGTTCGTGCATTTTCCGCTGAAAAGTGCCGATTGGCACTGAATCGATGTGCAATTGCTAATGGTGTAAGACAATTAACTCTCACCCCAGGACCTGCGTAGCACATCGTGTAAGAAGGCCACCTATCGCCTAACTTTTTTCGCGGCTCCAAGTTCCGAGGAAAAAATTGTGGCGTGTATCTGGGCGTTCGTGTATCTCTAAGTTCATGTGTCTGTACGTGGTCATCGTCGTTCCAGTCGCGGCATAGACGGCTATGCTGGCGACGGTAAAATTACACACTAACACACACACGTGCGCGCGCACAATGAATTAAAATTTTACTTTAATCTACGCCATAATTTCGTGCCGTTTTGGCCACGGGGGGGGGGGACATGCATGTGCCCGAACTCTGTCAAAACGTAATGTTGTCCCAACCACCTTACACATTACTGCACAATACCACGTGCATTGTTTGTTTTGTGTTGAATAGTACAACCACGTAGTTAAGAGTTTGTAAGAAAAAAAAACTTGAACATTGATATTCGTTGAAGGTTGGTGGCGGTGAAGCCATCGGTGTGTGGATGCGAGGTGGCCAGGTATGTGTGGGATGCACTGTCAGCACCCATGTCTGCGTGCCGGCAGCTGGAGGACTCTGCCGCCAAGACGCCGCTGATCTTCATCCTCTCGCCGGGAGTGGACCCGACCACGGCCCTGCTCCAGCTGGCTGAACAGAACGACATGATGGAGCGCTTCCACAGTCTCAGTCTGGGTCAGGGTCAGGCACCCATTGCCACACGGTGAGTGACAGGCCGCCTCCCCTCGATTCAGCCCATCTCAGTCTGGGTCAGGGTCAGACACCCATTGCCACACGGTGAGTGACAGGCCGTCTGGCATTGACCCAGCCCCGTCTCAGCCTGGGTCAGGGTCAGGCACCCATTGCCACACGGTGAGTGACAGGCCGCCTCCCCTCGACCCAACCCCGTCTCATTCTGGGTCAGGGTCAGACACCCATTGCCACACGGTGAGTGACAGGCCGTCTGGCATTGACCCAGCCCCGTCTCAGCCTGGGTCAGGGTCAGACACCCATTACCACACGGTGAGTGACGGGCCGCCTTCCCCCGATCCAACCCCGTCTCAGTCTGGGTCAGGGTCAGACACCCATTGCCACACGGTGGGTGACAGACCGCCTCCCCTCGACTCAGCCCCGTCTCAGTCTGAGTCAGGGTCAGGCACCTACTGCCACACGGTGAGTGACAGGCCGCCTTCCCCCGATCCAACCCCGTCTCAGTCTGGGTCAGGGTCAGGCACCCACTGCCATACGGTGAGTGACGGGCCGCCTCCCCCCGACCCAACCCCGTCTCATGACGATCTCTGGAGGCGTCAGCTCGTGGGTTTGCTGGTTCGTGCATCGGTCTATGGCGAAATTTCGTGGAGGGAATGTGGTGCTTTCTCGCTTCTCTCGTTTCCGGCGCACCGTGGCTGCTGTTTCGTTTGACATTGAATACGGGGCTCAGTGCAGGACGTCATCGGCCGCGGGTTTGATTACGGCCCAGCGTGACGGACCGTACGACGATCGGTTCGTCTTACAATTGGTGCACACAGGCGGAGCAGCGTCTCAGAAAGAAACGGTGTCAACACTAATTTTGCAGTCAATTCTGACCATGCGTGGCCATAGAGTATATATACACCCTTTGAATAAAGTGTAGTTGCCGTGGCACCCTCAAACTCCATTCCTACGCATGTGAGTGCACATGTGCACATGCATTGGCACTCCATGGGAGCGGCCGGGTCCCAGCACACCAACGATGTATGTTAGATGCCCGTTATCCGGACACTTGGCACTCTCTGACATTCGTGCTTCCTGCGCCCCCCCCCCCCCCCCCCCCCCTCCCCCTTCCCTTGTTCAATCGGGGCCCTCGTGCCATTTTTCCTCTCTCGGGCAGAATGCTGGAGTTGGGTAAGCGCGACGGTGGTTGGGTGTTCCTGGCCAACTGTCACCTGTCGCTCTCCTGGATGCCCGAGCTTGACAAGATGGTGGAGGAGATCCAGGACGGCGGTGCTCACACCGAGTTCCGGCTGTGGCTCAGCTCCAGCCCGCACCCGGACTTCCCCATCTCGATCCTGCAGAACGGCATTAAAATCACCACCGAGCCGCCCAAGGTAACTGATGCTGGGGGTTTATGACATGTGCACCGCCTCCATACTGACTGAAGTCATCCAGATATCCCTTACTTTTCTAACCCAGCGAGAGCATACCGTGTGGAGTATGATAGCAGCGCGCTTTATTCGTTTTAAGCCCAGCTGTACCGAGAAGTGACGTTAAGGAGTGTGTCACTCGTGACTCGCGATCCTACCGCCTCAGGGTATCAAGGCCAACATCAAGCGGCTGTACCAGAACATGACTGAGGCACAGTTCACGCAGTGTCCGCGCCAGAGTACCTACAAGAAATTGCTCTTCTCTCTCTGCTTCTTTCATTCCGTGCTGCTGGAGCGGCGCAAGTTCCAGCAGCTCGGCTGGAACATTTTGTACGCTTTCAACGACTCCGACTTCGAGGTGCGTGGCTGAGCTGGGGGCTGTGTAGGAGCACCAGCCGGTTAGCTATAGGTCACCCTGGGGAATGAATGTTCATTCATCGTGAAGTCAGGACTGCTGCTGCAGTGTGAACTAGAGCGTTCGGGTTGGCTCAAAGTTTTGCTGTCAAACGACAGATTGACAAACAGCAGCTTGACAGCAACTGCTGCGTGGGTGGGAAAATCAGTGGTAACATCGGTGAAGTGCCGGCTGGGAATCTCCCTAAAGTTGGTGCACCGTGCTGATAACATTAGTGTCGTGAACTTGGCTCTGTTCTGGCAGTGGGTGTCTACCTCAGGTTTTCGCTGTCTTTCCACCTGGTTCCCTGCCTTGTTAGATCGTGTATTTTTTTGATATTTTGGTCATGTATGAAAGGGTATTTTTTATATTTCAGGCTGTTGGAACATAAATGGCGCGACTTTCCGGTATAAAGCGTGCCCTTAAGCCAAGAGGCATCAATTGGAATCGCATATAAGCAACTCGTCAGCCATGGTTAATGATCCGCAAGTGTGAGCGAGGGAGCCTGCGTGCTGTCAGGACTGTGTGTGTGTGCGTGTGGGTATCCTTTCACGTGAGTGTGTGCGTGTGAGGGGGGGGGGGGAGGCGGTCCGTTAGTCCGGTCGTGTTCTGTATTGGTCGATGTGCCTTCGTGCCAGCCGTTGATACGGCGGCTGGTTGGTGCGTGGGTCGTCTCGGTTGTCCCCTTCAAGCGCTGCCCGGCGCCGCTCAGGTGTCCGAGTCACTCCTCAACATTTACCTGCGCGAGTACGAAGATCCTCCGTGGGACGCGCTCAAGTACCTGATCGCCGGTGTCATGTACGGCGGCCATGTGACCGACGACTGGGATCGGCGCCTGCTTATGACTTACATCAACCATATGTTCAATGACGAGGCGCTCACCGTCACCTACTACAAGTGAGAGCAAAAGGCTATGAATGCATTCGAGTGGAAATTCCGCGGCATTAATCGCAGCGGTATGCATTACATTTTCGTCTTACATGCTATTTGCGTCAAGTGTTTCTGTCTGTTTGTCGTCTTTTTCGTTGAGCTCGTCTGCAGGTCAAACGTTAAGAGATAAGGGGTGAAATATGCACACGATGAACGTGCGCATGTTCCGCATGTAGCTCGCGATCCGCTGCGGTCCAGGGTTTGGGCGTGGCACGCACTGGAAGTTCCGTTTCAAGTTTCGCGCTGGTGCGGTCAGCGGGTGGCGCGTGACGCGCGCCGCCAATTGCATTTTTAGCCTATCGGTTTCGCATGGCGGCCCGAAGAAGCCAGCCGCATCAAAACCGGCGAGCGGTCGTTCGAGTCCAGGGCCGCACCTCAGTGATCGCCGGACGGAGCGACGCAAAATCAACGCGCTCTGAGATACTTGAACGGTGTATCGCATGATTGCATGTGTGACGCCGACGTGGCACGTGCACAGCATTGGTAAAGACAGATTTCCCGTTGGGTTGGGTTTTTACCGTGTTTCACGTGGTATGCCAAGTATTGACAGCGAGAGCCGGTGCAGGCGTGAATCCAATTTCAAAGTGTTGGCCAATATACCATCTGCAATTGATGTGGCTGACACTAGACCGCGCGGCGCACCGTTACACCAGTAATCGTCTTGCAAGCTGGCAATGTCTGGATTTGGAAACATGGCGCCAAATGCAACACAGTCTTCCGAACCATCGCCAGGGTCTTGATGGCCGAAAGTTATATCACCGCAGGAATAATTCCGTGCGGCCTTCCTTTCAAACATTGTGTGCTTCTTTCTTTCGACCCAAATGCTCACAAATTATCTTTTACGCAACGTCAAAATACCACCGGTAGCCAGTCACCGCCGCTGAGTAATTCAAGTAAAACGTGGAAAAGTGCACGTGATTGCCGATGCTCAGCGGTACTTTATTCATCTTCTTTTCATTCATTCCGTGCGGGCGGAATAGCTAAGCAACGGTAACAGCAGCATGCATCAGTTCAGCTCTTTGAATGCCATTCCACAGATAAGGCAAGGTCACAATGTGATGAAAATGTGACGTTGGTTGACCATGGCATGTGTTTACTTGCATAGATAAGTGGGAGCTGAAATATGGCTGGCACCGGCAGTCACGACGTTTTATTGAAGCATCCAACATGTACAGCAAGGCCCAAAACTCAACAGACGCTCAGAGGGCGTCAAAATGACGATGCTGCAGCTTTACGCCTTGGATAACGTGCCACGGCTGTTGTGTGCCGCTGGGGTTGGGTGCCATATCAGCGTGGCCGTAAGGCTATGGGTTACCGCACCTGTGCACGCTAGGTAAGCACTTCGCTTAGCTTTTAATTATCGCTACCTCCGCTGCATGCTGTTACTTTTCAAAACTACTGGCAAGGCTTTCGTTCTCTGTGTAATGACCCACTTACGGGACATGGGTATGAACGATGCGGAAACGTGGTCACTGACTGCTGTTTGTTCGCTGACACTTTTTAAGTCAACGTTTTGGTGATTTGCCCCTGTGTGCATGGTAGAATGCGGCGCTGCATCGGCTTGGCCGTAAGAGTACGTGCGTGACTCTCCACCTTTGTACGCTATGTGGGTGGTTTATCCATATTTTATTTAAGAATGCTCATATTGGTTTATGGTGCAGTGATAAACAGCTAGGATTTTTTCAGCTTGTGTAATAACCTGTCTACGGCAGATGAGCATGAAAAGGGCGAGGAGGGCTGTCAGAGGACTTTTTTCAGACCCACTTTTCGCCAAAGCCGCAACGAGTCTTGTTCGTGGAACCACGCGGAAAAATTGGCTGGCACATCGGGTAGCAATGCAGTCCTTTTGTGTTGCTGCGGCTTGGTTTCTCATCGTCTAAGTTACGTGACGATGTGGCAAAACATCTGTTTACGCTATGAGAACGTTTGTCTCGGGTTTGAAATAGCGCTATATCCGTCTGTGAACGGAACGGGCTGGACACACTTTTCAATATGCTATTTTCGCGTGGGGTTCTTCTGTCTGTCCCGTTTTACTCAGCGCCGTCTGTGGGCCGAACGGCGGGTCACGGCGGTGGAATGTAGCCCAGAGGGCGGGCGTAATATTCGGCTTTCACGGGAAGATCGCGAGCCGCTGCAGTCCGGGGTTCGAGCGTGGCACGTGGTGGAATGACCGTTTTAGACCCATTGGTTTTGCACGGGCGCCCCGAAAGTGTGACCGACGACGAGGCCGGTGTGAATTTCGTCACGAAAAATGTGAGCCATAGTGAATCGAATGCATTACCCGAACGCATTGCTTCGAGAAACATCAGATAAGCGATAAGAAGAGCTGAGAAATGCAGCACCGCAAAACACAACTCCCACTGGCTTCGTGGTGTGCTTTGGAGACAAGTTAGGACAGTACAGATAGGCTGCAATAGCGTTGGCGAGGCAGTAGCGAAATTAGGGAGATATGGCGGCTGCACTGGTAGAAAGTGCGGCTTTTTTACTTTTGGAATACGTAACAACGCTCCAGCCGCGGTGGAAATCTGGAGAGCAACATTTGAGCGTTGATCATTCAGAATGCCAGAAATGATGTTTCCGCATCATTTAATTGTGATGTGAGTTGTGCCACATCAGCTTCGACGCATGACTAGGTGGCACGAAATTGGAAAGCGCTATGGCCGTCTTTATCTTAAGTTCTGCTTAACATTATCCCATGGGTTTAACCATCGCGAATAACAATTTTCCATGTAACGCAACGGGTCTTTTCATCCGCTTCCTAAGAGTCAGCTCCGTCCGCTTAGCGGAGCAGCGATCGCAAACGCTTGTTACACTGCTGTCGATTAACAGACATCCACTCCGTCCGCGTGCTGCGACCCAGACGTGAAAGTCCTATCCTGTCTTCCAGATTCACGTTGTGTGTGCGATGTTTCTGTATCTATTTTTCAAAGAGTACAGGAATGTGAATGCTTCTTTGGAATGCGTTCCTTGTAAGAAATGCCACCTTTGGAATGCGTTTCTTGAAAGAAATGTCACCGGCATGGCCTCGAGAAAGTGACCGTAGGTCATGAACCGTCGAGATTAGACCTTCCAAGCTTTCACTTGTGTAAAAATGATGTAACCTCAGGTTTTGAAAGCTTCAGCAACGCGTTTAAAAACGCTTAGATGTTATTCTGAAAAAGCAGGGGCCTGTGACCCCCTCCCCCGCCTTCCTCGGTCGGCGAGGTTTAAGTGACTTCAGAGTTTTGAGATCATAATGCAACATGCACAATGCAGGCCTAGTGCGTGCATTTGATCCCCAGCGTCAGCACTGCAATGCTAGGGCCGCCCTGTTCCAGATATCATAGCATGCGTGTGTTTTCAGGCTGTCGTCGCTGCCGTATTACTACATCCCGCGAGACGGCCACCTCTCCTACTACCAGGACTTCAGCAACAGTCTGCCGACCGTAGACCACCCGGAGGCGTTCGGTCAGCACCCGAACGCCGATATCGCCAGCAGCATCGGCGATGCGCGCACCCTCTTCGAGACGGTGCTGTCGCTGCAGCCGGCAGTGGCATCCGCCTCCGACGGACAGAGCTCCGACGACAAGGTCCGATGCCCTGCCGCGAAACCCTGACATTCCCGCTTGCCCTCCAGCAGTGGCCTGATGTAGTGCTCTTGGTCTGCGTCGCTCCTGGAATTGGGTGCGCCAAAATGGTTTAAATTGTGCTTTTCCTGTGGGGGGCAGCGAAACTGTGCTTGGGAAAACGGGTTTTACCTAGTCCCGACTTACACCTAGTACCTCAAAGCCTGTCG